GGGGTGCTTTGACAATCCATGTGCTAGCCAGCTCTGTGACTCTTTTCTTTTCTGATCTTTCCTGAATTGGCCAGAAGTGGGAAAGATACAAAACGCGCATCGATTTCAACCTCGAGGGAACAGTCGCTTCTCACTGGACAGTCCTTCTAGCATCCTCCAAAAATCCATCAACAACTTTCAACATGGTAGACAACCTTCCCGTCCTCATCGTAAGCCTGCAATCATCATGTTTGCGAGCTGAGATCCCTAACCCAGTGCTCTACAGGCTGGAGCAGGTCCATCGGGACTGGTCGCGGCATTGACGCTCGCTCAAAACAGGATCCAAGTCCGTATTATCGACAAGGCCGAGAAACCGCACGTCGGTTCTCGTGGTTTTGGTATCCAGGTGTCGTGTCTCAGCTCCGCATCTACGAGCACCTCTGACGTTCACATTTCAAGCCACGAACATGCGAGTTGTTCCAAACGCTGGGAATCCTCGAAGACTTCCAGAAGCGAGCCACGCCGATTCCGACAATGCGAGCTTACAAACTCCCAGGCGGTACAGTTCCTGTGAAGACATGGGACTTGTACGCGAAAACAGGAGTTTGGCCCGATCGCCCTTTTGTAAGATCATATTGAATAGAGCCCTCCAAAAAGAAAGCTGATTTATTTAATGATGGTATAGGGAAACGGTGTTTGCCTCAGTCAAGACCAATTAGAGGACATATTAATCCAGCATCTCAAGCAACACGGTATCGTCATCGAGTACGGCAAAGGGCTCATCAATATAGAGCAGACCGAAGACAACGTCATCTCTACCGTTGCAACTTTCAGAAATGGGCAGCAAATGGAGGAACAAGAGAAGGTCACAAGCCAGTTCTTACTTGGCACAGATGGAGCCAGAGGTACGTTGTTACAACTCAAATCCAACGATCTCGGGCCAATGCACTATTCGACGAACGTAGGCGTCTCGAGGAAACTCCTTGGATTGACCTTTCAAGGTGAAACTCGTGACACAGACGGCATGGTTTGGGGCGACGTGGAGATCGACGGCCTTACTTCCGACGTAAGTGGACCCGCCAAATCGATAAACGCCCGCTCATTCAGGTCACCTTTTGATCATGGTCAGTACTGGCATATCTGGGGAAAACCCGGCGTCTACACGTACGCTCCGAAACGCACATTTTGAAAGAAATTTCATCCTGATCTTGGACCTGTTTTCAGGATAATGGCACGGCCAATTACTCCGGACGGGAAGAAATTCGGAATCGGTATCACTGGCCAGAACTTCGACCCAAGAGACCTCGCCGACGAAGAAAAGGCGAAGGAGTTTATCTTGAAAGAGACTGGCCGTACCGACATAAAATTTGGCAAATTTACCTGGCTGTCGTACTTCAAGTAAGTCGGTACTCAGTTAGTACAGACTCCACAGTTGATATCTCGCAGGCCGAATATGCGCATGATAAACAAGTTCCAAGTCGGCCGTGCGTTCGTTGTAGGCGGCGAGTATTGCAGTAGATTTGACGTGCTCGCTAGTACCTGATACGAAGGTCACAGACGCCGGCCATGTGCACTCCCCTACTGGTGGTCAAGGTCTAAACTGTAGTGTCCAAGACGCGGTGAGCCATTTTGAGCTTCATCCCGGAAAGTTTGACTCACTTTAAACTTTAGACTAATTTATCCTGGAAACTGGCGCTTGTGCTCAAAGGTCTCGCACCGCAAAGTCTGCTGAGCACATACAATGACGAACGGTTGCCCGTCATCGCCCAAATGCTCCAAGCCACTAGCCAACTGTACACCCACACCATCATCGCCTCCAAGGAAAAACCAGTCGACGGTCCATCGGAGGATGACGACAAGAAATCAGGCTGGTTCCGCTGGCGCAACACGGCGCTCGAGTTGTACGGGATCAACTATCGGTTCAGCGACATCGTCCTCGAGGAACGTGACCCAGAGCGCGGCGGTGTTGATAGAGAAGAAGCCATTGCACGAGCATACGCAGGATACGAAGCACTGGGAACACTTATTGCTGGCGATCGGGCCCCGGAAGCGCCGGGTCTCGTCACCGTTGGAGGGAAGGAAACATCGCTGTTCAAAGATTACTTTAAGCTCGACCATCATACCGTAATGGCGTTTTCTCTCGATGTCAAGAGCGCAGGCCCGCTGCTGGAGCAGGCGAGCCAGTGGCCAGCTTCGGTAGTTCAGACTCTGGTTATCACGGACAAGGACTCGGATATGGGCGCCCTCGCCTCTGACAAGGCGATCTTCCTGGTAGATCGTGAACAGCACGCAAGAAACGCGTATCGTGTCGCGAAAGAGGAACTCACCGTCGTCATTGTACGGCCCGATGGTTTTGTGGGTGCAGTGGTTCAGGATGCGCAAGGAGTGGGCCGATACTTCAAAAAAACGTTTAGGTTTGGCTGTTTTGACTAGTTATTGACCTGTGTACAAATAGTTATCCTCCGACGTAGCAGCTGGTCTATCCATTGTAATGATTCCTCGCGTTACCTGCCTCTTATCTGAAACTATGTATCTATCGATTCCCAATTCTCCTCAGTTGTAGTCCTTCGAAACTTTTCAACTTAATTTGTTAACAAACAATGTAGACCATCGTGTTCTAATTAAGCAGCGTATTGACAATACACCGAGGATTATTGAGGAGTGTCAATACTCTACACCTGTTGCATACGCCCAAGGAAGCCGGTGTTCAATGTCTTTCCAGCAGCTGAAGCAGAAGCCGGCTCGTCATGCACAACAACGAGCTTAGGCGAACCATTTGCACTGCCGACGAATGGAGGTGGGCGGGGGGTTAAGAACAGTTCACAACGCCAGGTGTTTTCGTTTGCCGCAAGCCTCTTTCGCTTATCAGAGTCGACGAGCGAACAAGGTGGCCTCAGCTGAGAACGGATCCTGCATGTCTGTGAGATTGCTCATGGAAGGCATGCCAAAAACGAGCCTGGAGATGGTGAACAGCCCAGGAAAAAGTAATCGTGAGCATCACCCACTCAACAGGTGGTACAGCGCGTAGGAGGTCTGTCCCTGTCGCCATCGATCCAGGAAGATCCTGAAGCATGATCCCACCTGTGGGGTCCGGCCGCAAAGTCCACACAAGAAACCTAGCTACAGAGTGGATGCACCCAACCCCATGTCATTACTCTTCATCAAGTTGAGGTTCCGCGTACCATCCCCCGCTCCATCCGCGCAAGGATATTCTTCGTCGGCCCCAAGCCACCGACTCGTTAATAGCGGCAGCCTGTGCCTTGGAATATTGTCCGGGAGGTTCCAATGCCGTGCCTTCTAGCTTCCGCAGACTTCAGTCCAGGTCTGCCAGTTCCCCATTGCTGCGTTCCTCCGCTGCTTCTCCAATGCTGACTCATATTCTCCGACGACCAGAAACCCACGAACGCGATCCCGCTTTTGACCCATGTGTAGACACCTCTACGGTGGCATTCCCAACGACGACACGCTCCGCGGCGATGACGTATCCCCAGCAAACACGACCAGATCTCTGGCCGTTCCCACCGACGCTGAGAGAGAGAGAGCGGTTACGAAGAGTCCGTGGCAGGACCATCCACAGCTACTTGGTTTCAGATGCCCAAGGGGACGTTCTCGACTGCGACGTGTGTGTTCCTCCACCGGGTCCACCCTCAGGCCTCATTGATCATCCCGTTTCTGCCCCCTCAGTTTCCAATGTCCATCCAGGCTGAGCCACGTCAAACATCCGTTTCCCTTTCACGCCGTGCCTAAGCGAAAAGGGGAGTGTGGATCATACAAATGCATCACTTACCTCGTGGAGCGCAATGTAGTTTTGCCTCAGGTTTGGGTAAATGGACGAGGTGAGAAGTTAGAACGAGAGGTAGGAAGCACTAGTTCTCTGGCAGAATCAACGAAGACTTACCCTTGGCCACCAGCAACTGTGCAGAGAGATACTCAGACGACGACGACGGAGCCAGAGCAGCAGAGAAGCAGAAGAGAAGCAGAGAAGTATCCAGCACTGAGCAGAGTTCGGAATCGGAGTTGAAAGGACTCAATGGGTCGAGGTCGCCAGTGTACAGCCACAGCCACTGCGCCCGCCCTTCCGTCTGGTTTCAAATATATTTCAAGCTCAAGTTTCAAGAGGTCTCTTCCGGGCAACACACCCGAACCATCTCGTGGAGCGATGACCACTCAAATCATGGACACCAAAGAGGTCATCGTCGCCAACGCCTCCTACCATTCGTGGCTCCTCAACACCATCTCCTCCTGAGAGTGCCGCGCGGAAGCACCAGGCGGAATACGTCAAGGACCTCGAAGGCCAGCTCGCAGCCGGAAAGAAGAGGGTGGCGGCGCTCGCTGAGAAGACGAAGAAAGAGCGGAAGGAGCATGAGGACCTGAGAGACTCGACCGCGAGACGACTTGCAGCCAAGCTCACTGGGAGGAGAGAGAAGTGGGAAGAGAAGGAGAGTAAGGAGGAGAGGTGAGTTGTGAGGAGTTGATTTGGACGAGCGGAGGCTGATACCTCGTTGGTCTCTCGTAGGGAGTACGTTGAAGCATTGGAATACGAGATTAGCGAGAGGGAGAGCCAGATTTCTATCGAGAGGCTGCGCTAGGAAGGGAAGAACGTGGTATGTACGAAACCAATGTTTCTGCTGTTCCTATCTCATTTGACCCTTCGAATATTCAGGTGATAGACCTTACAGAGAAAGAAACGCTGTATGAGTCTGCGAAGGCCGAGCCACAAGTCCTACACAGCCGTATTTTCGATGGTCCAACACAAGGTACGTATTTAGTGCTCCCTCTTTTCCATCAGTCAGGGTTTACAAGCTCTTGGGTATTTAGGGATTCCAGAGGACGATCGCCTCGGATATGACCTCGATGCCGCCTTCAAACGCTGTGACGAGCTGCAAGCCAGATTGAACGCGGAGAGCCGGGCGGCGGAGCTCCTTGCACGGGCAGCACGCTGCATGCAGAGCTGCTCGGACAACGTGCAGGAAGCCTAGGATATTCACAATATGGCGAGTGTCTATCTTGTCTTACATGGGGGTGATCTGACGATGCCATCCGATAGATATGTGGGGAGGATCGTATGTGAGCCGTTTTTATGATTCGAATCACAAAGCTGATATCTCTGGTAGGATGGCGAACATAGTGGAACGCGGGAACGCGGCCCAGGCAGAGATGTTCGTAGAGCAAGAGAAGAGTTTCTTTCCTGCCATTAGGCCAATAAGGAGAGTTCACATCGTGGACCACTTCAGGCGGGCGACCTTCGAGAGCTTTGTCGCCCAAAACCCGCCACCGCCCGATTACGATAATATCGTCGCCAAACCATCCAACCAGCCGTCTGGTGCACCACCAGCATTCCCTGTCCCGAACGTCGCTCCCAGCGCTGAGGGTGACGCCGAAATGTCGACGGTACCGTTGACAGCCTCACCACAGCCACAGGCGTCAACATCCTCCACTGCCGGAATCGGGATGTTGGGAGTCCAGATGCCGGAGCCAGAGCACCAAGCGCAGAGTCAGAAGCCGGGTTTGGGGTGGGGAAGCAGTAAGTCTTGATTTAAGGAATTGACGCTTCCTCCTTCTTTCCCTTCTCGTCTGACCTTCACGATTATTTTGAAACCTAGGGAACCCCTTCGCCGCTGCGATCGCTGAGCAGACGAGGAAATTATCGGTAGACTAATTTCACTCTATTGAGAAGAAAGTCTTGAGATTTTGTTCCAAGCTACTTGTCACATACCCGGGCCCGGACTAATACAGCGACTACAAATTATACCCCGCATCGACGCCACAATTAATTCCAATACAGTTCCCCACGACGGCACTTCACCCACCTTATCATATCCCGTGTTTGGATTTGAGAGCGTTGATGGTGGACTGGATTGGCTCTGGTTTATGATTTGAAGTTGGTTTGTGGGACACGGCAGCAGCACGATGTCCATGAGCGGCTCCAGGATTGGTAGCGTGGTGGGCGGCGTCAAGATGAGCGTTGGCTGCTACAGCGTGTCCAAAGGAATCTACTGCGCCATGGAAAGACGCGTGCGCATTCTGAGCCGATTGGTGAGCCTGCATGAGATTTTGATGAGACGGCGCGGCCACATTGTTCGCTGACGCCCTGTGTGCATTAGCTTGGTGGAGTTCAGCGTGGGTTTGCTGGCCATGGTATTGCGACGCGGCGTGGTGCTCCTGGGCTGCTGCGGTGTGATGGACGGCGGCGGGCGGCGGGAGCATGGCGGCATGCTGGTTGTGTCCAACCGCGGCTCGGTGGTTGGCGTCTGCGGCTTGTTTATGGGCCTCGAGGCATCTGTGTGAGCATCTGCTGCGTTGCGGTGAGCCGCAATCTCGGCCACAACACGCTGCTTGGCTAGATTCGGCAGACGAATAAGTGCCCCTTCGAACAGGCGAAAGGTAACAGTGAGGACGCACATTGTTGAATCGCATGCACAGTACCAGGCGGTACAGTTTGGCCATTATGCTTTTGTAGCTTTATATTTAAAATATAAAGTTAACCCCTCTAGCTACTCCAATTATTATTTTTATTCTTATCAACGTGAGTCTCGACATGGCCCAGGTGGATGTTCCCATGAAGTGTATGGTGAACACTGTTCGCTGGCATATAAGGTTGGAATTGAGCGGACGTTGAATGAGAGAGTGGCGCAACGACAACATGGTTAGGTGAAGACCCAGGTTCAAGAGCAATGTGAGGATGAGCTACATGGGCTCCGGGCTGCGTCTAAGTCAGCAAAGGTAGAAGAATCAATGCTGGAAAATAAGATGCTCACTCTGCTGTTATTGGGCTTTGTCGTATCGGCCGGTGCGACTTTTATGATTTCCCCAGCTAACGGTGCGTAGCCAGGTAGAGGTAGAGCGACGATGTTCCCGAGACAAAGACCAACAATGGCGATAGAAGCTTGGAAAAAGTGCTGCATGATTAATCATGTCAGAAAGTTTGATTTCGCTACACAAGTCCGTTAGTCATAGGCGTTCATAGTTAGTTGGCAAAAAAAAACGCACGTAAGTGGTTGTCGTCAACGAGCAAGCAGGTCAACGTAAAGAAGATAAAACACAGGCTGTGAGTGAGACCAGCTGAAGGACTACACTGGAAAGAAGGGTCATTTTATACTGGCCAGCCGCAATCCACCGGTCTTCGTGCTGGGACACTGAGATCCAACCCCTACAATGCACTGCGGAATCAAGAAAGTTAGAGCGCTGACTTGTGACAGATAATTTCTATACGACTATGTCCTTGGCGCAGCCGGAAGGAAAGAACGCCGAGCGTGGCGCGTGGTCCATGTCCAAAAATTTCCTTTTATGGACCTGGGTGGCCAGTTAAAGTGCACAGCTCTTGTTCACAGGAATGAATAAATATTCTTCCCCAAACGAAGTCTAATGGATGCGACCTGAAAGATCTCCATTGGTGCAAGAGCATGGAATGTCTGAAACTTGGCGTTCGGTCATTCATACTATTCCTGGGAAGTGATAATCATCTCACCGGCTCCACCATGACACAGGCGTTTTGTTTTGGCGTCACTGATTTTTTTCTTTATGCACACTTGGTCTGAATAGCAAATCTGCTTTCGGAAGTTGTAGAGTAGGTAAATCCGTTGGATTTGCATTAGTCGGGAGGTCATTGTTATTGAAGCACCAGCGGGAAAATGGCTTCATACTCGGCCTAATGCTAATACCCCTTCTCTAACGAGCTATGCAATTTTCCTTCTCTCTACTGCACATGGATACACATCAACAGAGTCCGTCTATTCCATTTTGTTTCGCCTGCACGAGACACGACGCGAGTCGGCAGCAATTCCCAGCAACTGTCCGAGCTAATCCTGTACCAACCGACGACCAAATATCTTCAAGCCGTGCTTCAGGAACGAGTTCTTCCAGCCACGCACTTGTTTCCAACTACTTGTGAGCGCCTAAGTAAGTCTCTCGAATGCCGAAGACGCTACTGGGGGTTGTTGCCCTTCTGTTTCGGTTACTCTCCGGAGGTAATAGATGTGATGTGCATCCACAAACGAGCTAGTTTAGTCAGATATTATACCCTTCAGGCCGACTCGTACATAACCTAAGGCTGCTTACTGTGCTGCTACTCCGGGCCCAACGTAGCACCATACCTTCTCGCCATTCCTCCTCATCTTCGTCTAATAGCCGACTCTACCGACTCTTCTTTTCGTCCTTCAAGTTGTGGACCCACTCCTCTGGAATACGTTCGGTCAAATATTGCCGAAGTATACAACCGACTTCCTGGAAAGACTCTTTGTCTAACCCTCGTCCAAAGAAGCACGTAAGTATTCTGAACATTCATTCCTTATCCCGATTCACAGTGCCCAGATACCTCAGGTAGTCTTATAGGGCATTAGGTATGTGAGGGACCTAGATACATAAACAGCGCCCGTTTTTGAAGCTTGCCATGAACCCCAGATGGTGCAGGAAACAACAGACGGAGATTCGGCGACTGATGGACTGGCTACAGCCACGGTTCACATATTAGATCTGGTATTAGGGGCCCGACTTTTCCAGACGCTCGTCCTTGCGACACTTACTCTTTTTCACTAGCTTCAGGCTCTACGAGAACAGTATGACGTTGAAACCATGCTTATTGTGACTCGCAGCGACATCATGCAACCTCAATTTTCCGAGAGCCATGCCTCACGACATGCATCAAACTTTTTGCGCAACGTTCTCAAGACGGATGTTGATCAGCTCGCCGAGAGACTTGAGGGATATGTCATTTCAGGAGCCACAGAAGACAGAGGTTCGTCCGAACGTTCCATGCTATTACTAATTATTCATGATTTTTCATTGCAGCACCAGCAAGCCCGCATCTAGCGGTTAGAATGAAACAAAAAGAACAGATCAAAATAGCAAGGGACCTGGTCCTTAATGGTCTCGGTAAGTCTGCTCAGAATGCCATTCACTAAATCTCTCACAAATATTGTAGTGGGTATCCTCCGTGATGCCAAAGTCCCAGAGGGCCAAATTCCCAAGGCCATGAATTATAAAAGCTATGTAACAAAGATTGTCGAACAATATGGGGTCGTTTTGGTGGGTTATCCTGGAGACAAAGGGGTCGTCAACCCAGGAGAGCTGGACGCAGCCACATTGAAAGAGCTCATTTTCCGATTAATTGATGGAAGGTGCTGCTGGAAAAAGGGCGAAGCTAATGCTCCTCTCTTAGAAAATGCTCGGTCCTCGGGCTTGTCCACTGTTGAAGGTGACCACCGTGCTGTGCACGACGGCCTTCCTGCTTCTCCGTCCCATTCGGAATTCGAGCTCGCATATCCTATTAACTTCGATTCAGCTCCAACATCTTCTCGACAAGTAATTGCTGACTCCCCGGCGAGTTCGGATGTTTGTCACTTGAATTTCAGTGATGCACCAGCCGACGAAGCTCTCCCGTCCCAAGCAGGTCCAATGGGCCATTTCGATCCTCCAAACACCAGCCCAACCTGGGGTTCCACGGGCATATTTCCTCAGTGGCAACCGCCCGAACCCTTCGCAGGAGATATAGAAGAACTCTACAACGCGTACCTGGAAGGTTCCGCCATTTTGACACCCTCCCATCATCCCCTTCTGGCTCCGATGTCTATAAATATGCATGGCCCAAACGCAACCATCAACACACAGAGCGTCTTTTGTGATAGCTCTGGGCGTCCCCCGACTTCCTTATCAAGTGTTGGTTCAATTCCGCTCTCGAATTCACCTGTAGTTGGTATCCGAACAAGCCGCCTCGGAACATCCTATTCACGCGATTTACCCAGAATAGACCATGGGAGACATGGACGAGGACACACTCATATGCTTATGACAGCTCAATCGGGGAGATTTTCATCTTCGGAGAATCGCTCTGGCGGTGAAGTGCCTGCCTCCACTTGCGACGGAGGTGAACTTTCTGATCTGTCAAGCTTTTACGATCCCACATTGCCATACACGTGGAATGCATACAATTGACAAGCTCTCTACATTTGAGATTGTCAACTAATTATTCAACCTACCAGGGACTGCCGTCGTGCTCGACGCATTCTACGTACAGTATCTAAATTAAAGTGGAAGGAAAACCTACTTCAATGTAGGCAGAATATTTTAGTACAGAAACGTCAGAGGCTTCATGCCCGACCTAGTGAACGTTTACTTACACAAAGAATGCCAGTGTTCTCTTGCCTTTTCACGGTAGTTCCGCCTTCAGTGCGTCTTCATAATTTCCAATGGAACCACGAAGATCGGTCACCGCAGAAGGTATTATCACCAGAATGCCATATTTCTTCCTTCCGTGTTCCAGTTGCAACAGCGCGTTTGTTTCCCCGCGCAGAGACCGTCGCTTAGATACGGTGCGGTATGATCGATTTGGCAATATTTGCCGTTTTCGTCAACGATCATCGTGCTTCCATCAAGGTGTCACATGCGTCGATCTCCACTCCTCCAAGCCTCCCCGAAGGACCGCGCTGAAACGCCAACACCCGAAATCGCAGCATCCCGAAGTCGAGAAGAAGAAAAGGTATTATGCTCCCCGCCGCTGTCGCTGTGTGCTCTCGAAACCCCTATCGGTACGGCGTCACGGTTCAACGGTATGCTGCAGAAAATTCCCGTTTCTGATGAATCTTCAGCCGTATCTTGTCCATTTCGATCCCGTCGGGGGAGATTCTTTCTGAATGCGCTGCTGTACGTGACTATGGACGGATACGGATACCCTCTTGATGTGTCTTCGATTAGATGCCCATGTGCTGAAATTAGGACTCCGTTGTGTCGATTTCTCCCCTCGTCGTCGACGCTTTCGTAAATTCCAAGTATTTTTTTAAAATGGGTTTCTCTCCCCAGAATGGGGTATCCGGGTTGTGTGTGAATGCGAAGAGTGCGGAATCCACATGGGGGAGACGCCATAACATCTCCCTGAGACACGAAGCAAGCTTTCGCTCCCAGACGATTAGTGCAACGCAAAAAACAAAAAAAAATCTAGGAGAGATCCACAACCGCCAGACCCGGCGAGGAACTCAGGAGACGCCTTGAGTCTTCTCATCTCCCCCTTCTCAGTTCACATCAATCAGCGGATCCACTGCTGCACCTCTTGTCGTGCATCAAGGGCACGCATACCATGCACGCGACGAGGTGGAGCCCTACACGAATAATAATATCCATGACTCTAGTCACCGTAGGAACTCGTATTGCTGCGAACCGGTTCCGAACCTCCATCGTGGATGCTCCCGCCAGTTCATTTCGATCTAACGCCTACGCAGTCCGCATACATTAAAAAAAAGAAGGAAGATAAGTCAATTGAAGATGAAAGCCCCTAGGACATACCTGCCTCGCACCGCGTCTAGAAAGCCGGGGTGCTCCATCTGGCTCTTCATCTCGGTACATACGACTGGTCCCGGACCCCTTTGTAATCTCGCATTCATCAGGGTGACAGATGTCGATGATGTCCGGATTACCATTAATTTCAAGTCGATAGATAGCATCGGGCCTCGGTAAACGCCAGAGACACGACATGCTAGGATAGGACGCCGTGAAGAACAAGCCATTTAGGCGTCAATCGCGATGTCGCTGGGAATGTGATGGCTGCGATTGAACAGATAAGCCAGAGCGATAACCTTGAGAATGAGATGGTGGGAGAATAACGCCTACATTCACGATGGATCGATCCTAAACGTCAAACAAGGTCGAGGCCGAGAATCAGAGGATCAACACCGTATCTCCGCATCGTCATTCCACGCCGCACCCAAGTTACCCAACCACCATGGCATAGAGACTGAGTTACCGGTACTCCATTACGGCCAGCACGACGGCTTCAGGTGTCTTCAGACCGGAGATGTGGCGTCGAGGAATCTCCGACCAGCAGCTGGCACGGGCCCGAATCGGTGATTGAGCTTGCTTGAATGAATGGGAAGTGAAATTCGTCCAATTCAAATAATCATGAAACGACGAGCCAACGATTCAGGTGTTACAACACTGGGAAGATGGATAAAAAGGCCGGCGAGGTATCTGGAGGATTCTTGGTATGATACAATGAGGATAGGTCGCAAATCCGGTGAATGCCACGACCGAGAACAGATAACCGAAGGGGCAAGGGATAACATCCGGGCCTTCAAAGAGGATCGCCTGAGGTCCGGCAATCAAGTCTAAGAAAAGAAATAGGCAAGAAGGTGAGACCAAGTGCGTCAAATACCCAAGCAAAAACACGACATACTGATATCCGATAACGCAGGATGAGCACCAGCAGCGCAATTTCCACTGCAGCAACCACGACGGTCACTTGTACGACGATCCACCCAGCGGTGACGAACGGGCGTCCGAAGATACGCGTGCCATCCTGTCCCTTCGTCTTGATGGCCTGGTCGTAGAGGTGTGCTTCCTTATGTCGGTCGGCGAAATCGTGTGTGGAGTGCCGTGAGCGGAAGAATGCAAGAATGAAGAGCAGAGCACCGAGGACGGCGAAGAGGAGCCCGACTGTGAAAGAGATAGATGGTTAGTTCAATGTCGGGGAGTAAGAATAGAAAAAGCACAATTGGCGTGAAATGTATGGGTCGTGTGTAGGCCCTAACTTGAGAAGCTACAAACGACCAAGAGAAAACAAAGACTCAAGTTCAAGTAAATGCATGAATACGCCTGCCAGCGAGCTTATGGACCAATCTCAGGCCAACGAAAGCCGGGGCCCAACCAAGGAACGACATCATGAACGGAACTTCCCATCGAAGGTATTGAAGAACAAAACACTCACTACGATGAAATTCCGGGTCAAATAGCCTCAAAATCGTTAACGAATAACCCAAAGAACCTAGTGCAGTCCGACTGTAGGCTCCATGAAATGTTCGCTGCCTTGCCCGAATCTCCTGGAGCTCGTTGACGTCAGACGCAACGAAAGAGTACCGGCGGTGACCTCTGAGCAGATAAAAAAAAGGAAAGAGTATGAGCAACGAAGGCTACAGCATATCATCGACGACGCACCTATAAGTCCGTCGCGGGGGCAGTACATTGTCCATCCTTCGCGACGAAAGTCAAGTCAAAATTTGAGTAGGGGACCGAAGGCCACTAAGCTGGGGCGATGATTGCTTCCCCTCGCAGAAAGTCGTGAAAGGGTCGTGGTCGTCGTGGTCGTCGCAGAAGAAAGACTCACTCAGTGAACCTGAACGCCATGCAAAACTCTTGGGTTTCCCGAATGTCAGGAATCGGGGAAAGGTCCGACAACCGCAGCCGGGCTTTATAAGGCGGAGTTAAAGTCACGTGTATATCATGTGAGAGACGGACAACACTATTTTGGACAGTGATGTCCCAGTGTTAGGTTTTGACTTTCCGCCCCATGCACGTGATCCGCCAACTCTTATGTAATACTCGAGCAACCAACTCCGCTCGGCATGTTTTTCGGCTGGCCAGCCCATGGTTGTGGCCTCGAAAAAGCGGGAAATATGCCACTCACCTCGTTCCTTCTTTCCTCCTTTCCATCATCTCGCTGTCCCTCATTTCTCTTCCTCTCTCTACCTCAGCTACCCCACCCTCCACCAGCTACCATTTTGAGTCTGGGATTCATGAATCCACTCCCCCCTGTTTCAATAGTGCTGCTCTTGCTCCTGTGCTGAACATTGCCACTCCACACCGAAGTCTTCTCGCGTTGTCAATGGGGGGGATCCGAGCACTTCGATCCTGCAGCTATCAACCTTCAGGACTTTCACTGACACCATTAGGCATAAGGAACTCATTTGATTCTTGCGTTCATCATCATATTATTTCAGGGGGGACAACTGGGAACAAACGAGGCCGTTAAGGCTCGGTTAAGGTGCGACTATGAGAGCTCTCTGCGCATTTGTGTTCATGTAGTACTTCACTGGTGGCCGTGGTGTCATATTTGTGATTGAAGAATACATTGTTCAGTACATATTGCTGTAGCCGGACTTGTAAACTTCAAGTTGACACACGAAAGGGAGTGGCTTGGCCTGTGGCCTGTAGCTGACTGGGCGTGGACGGGTTGAGTTCGGCTTGCGGCTCCGTTGGATTATATAATGCAAAGGCATCACGTGCATGGGGCGGAAAGTTTGCAGTTCTAGAGTGAAGCAAAGAATAAGCGAACGGTAGAACATAGTCTTTGAGCGAACGGATGAGGTGGCACGTGCCCTTTTTCTCTCGTGCCACCACTCATCCGTCAAAGTTGTGGAAGGTCCGAAGGATAGATTCCTCGAATTTCACCCACCCTCCACTCCCAGAAATATAGCAAAGACCGGTGATGAAGTCCTCAGAGAAAATTTCATGGAAATGTCCTTCATTGACTCGCTTTGGGCCCACCCGCCCGTCGCGACCTCGTCTCGGACTAAGGACAAACGAAGACCTCACCCCCGGTCGAAAGGCACTCCGTGCCTTCGCCCACGATCTGTTCAAGCCAGCTATGGCAGTTAAGAATATACACTACTTAATGACTATTAATGACAGCTTATGTTTCAGGGGTCTACCGAAGAGTGACCCACAAAGACGCCAACTCCCAGTGTTCGTCAGGTCACATCAGTGTCACTCTTCGCTAATCACTGCTTCAAAGTCCGAACCTCAGCGTGAGGGAGCGAAGACATGTTCATCGCTTATGTACTCATGATCCCATCTTGCCGAGAAGTCGGCAGCAGCCTCACGCGTGACAGAGAGCTCAAAGTTCGTCCTTCTTCATAGCACCTTTTTCCACCCAGAAATGTGTCTGTGATACGTGTCTTGGTGTGTTGTTGCATGCTGCAAGAGTTGGTGAAGATCGGAGGTTTCGGTGGCGAGATTCTAGGGGTGACGAACATCGGGTCCTGACGCACATCAGGTCCAAAATAGTATCATACAGACGCGTCTTTCTCTGGTGAACTCGCGTTTGAGTCCAAAAAATCTGGCGATGATTAAAAATTCCCCCTAGCCGACTTGAACGACTGACCTCATCATTACGAGTGATGCGCTCTACCGCTGAGCTAAGAGGGAATGCGAAGGGCCTCCGCCTTATGCTCACCAGAGTCTGAGGAGGGATTTCTCCTATTCCTATAGGAAATTTACGAGTTGTGGGGGATGGATTGGCGGTAGGAATTTGGCAGCATACAGGTGATGAGACAGCAATATGTACAAGCAAGGAAATGAATATTTTACAGGTGAGAAAGGAGCAGCCATATGCATGAGCAAATGGGATTTTTAAAAATGCATTAGCAACGACAATTCGGTGAAAATTGGGTCAGAGATTTCGTAAGTAGTAAGAAGATAAGTCAACAGGAGCGGACATCAAGAAACGAGTTCATGAAGAAGAAAGAAGGGGAGTGGGAAAGGGAAGATAGGAAGATAGGAGACGGTATTGACGTCAACTCATCTTCTGCGACTCATAACGAAACAGCCTTCATAGCCAGGGACTTCGGCCGGGCTCAGGGTGTCTCTCCATCTCCCAGCCAAATTCCCGTTCGTGTTTCCAACGAGATAGCCTCTGTACAGCCATTTGCCTCGGTCACCGTCGACCTGGAAGGAGCAGGTGAGTCTATGTCCTTCCATCAAAGAAAGGTGGACCAAGAAATACGTACATAGTCCTTCGACAGGCTTATAAAACCGTCGCATGGGCGAATCCTACCTACGAGGTTAAATTGGCCCCAAGCCGAATGTCCCTAGACGACCCAGAGTGGTCAGAAAACGAACGCCACAGCATTTGGGGAAGGGGTGAAGCCAGATTCGTACCTCTCCTGTGATGATGATATCAACCACCTTCCGTGATTGCTCCTCCTCCAAGACTTCCACACCTACGTTCCTTTTTCGCTCCGCACATGACGCCCGCTGGTATCTCAGCACTCTCGCGTTAGAATCCGACGACTCCTGAACCACTAGCCCATCCCTTCCCTCCCTTATCTGCGCTCCCGTCGGGAAGTAAGATCGGAGTGGGTCGCCCGCCCTCAACGGCGTCATACCTGCTTCCGTGCTCTTCCCCTGGCGAACGTCATAGCGGTCGAGTTCGATGCCCGAGTCACTTCCTGATGTGTCGTCATCCGCAGCCAGAAGGTGGTGTTCGCGAAGCTTCCAAGTCTGCTGGTGCTTGCCTACAGCGCTCTTCTGAAGGATAACTGGTGGCGCTCCCGCTAGCAAAGCAGCGTATGCCGTGAACTCGGAGTACTGATCAATGAACGAAGGTTAATCAGTACGGACGATTGGGTTAGATTAAGAAGGGAGATAGAGGGGTAGATGGCGTTAAAAGGAGCAACAGTACTCACCAGAAAAAAGCCTTCCCATACACCTTCAATGCTGGATAGGCAAGATATTAGCTGAAGAGTTTCAATCCGGCTTGGGGAGTCAAATACCTTCCAGGTCTGAAACACTCGGTCAAGTCACGTCTCGGCTTCACGAAGCACTTTCCCCACTCCGTGTCCCATTCCCATTCCGGATGGCGCGGTCGCGGAACGTTCGATGGTGGCAATGGAATTGAGCGTCGCTTATTGACAAGTGCCAGGAAGGACAAAATCGCGGCCGTCGCAAGTGGGGGAGGCGTCAGCTCAATGGTCGTTCCGTATAGTATCGTGGATTCGGGCGGAACAGTCTTGCGTGCTGCGAAGTTGGGTTCGAATTGGGACCATGTTGTTGTGGTGAGGTTATACTGATTAATGAATCACGAATCAGCGCTGGGTATAGAGAGAAAGAAGCGAGTGTACGATATGAGCTCCGAGGGCCATTATCTTCAGGACGTTGACAGGAGCCTCTGGACCATCGATCACACTGAAGGGATAGTCGTCTGACCGAACGATAAGACAAGGCTCGAGCATCTAGCAGACGAGCAGACGACGTACCGGTATACAGTAAGAACCAGAACAACCACATCCCCAGCGCCGTCTCTGGGCGGTTGGGGGGCCAGTGGCCGGTCCTAATCGAATGTATCGCTAGTGAAGCGCCATCCGGGTCAAACCAGAACTCCCGGAGCCAGTTCTTCATCCCCGCATAGTCCACAAGCAGAGTCCGGTTCCTGCCCTCGTCCTCCAGCATCATGATGTACGCCGTGGAGAGCACGTCGTGCACCGTCAGGCTCAAGTCCTCCTTGTCCTCCGCCTGCGCTGCCCGACGGGCCCTCTTCGTGGAGTCGGTCCTTGCCTTGATCCTCTGTAGGACAGTACACCGTCGTTGGAGTTCGGATGCGAGCGCATACGACGTCAGCTGGTCCGAGCTCGATGCAAAACTGACTCTGGCTGCGGCTGTATCAAACTTGGCACAGAAAATGCGAGCGTAGAGGTGAGGATTGGTGGTGATCGACAGACATCCGTGTACGTGACGGCTAGTGAGAAGTAAGGGGACGATGTTGCTTAGTAGACCGGAAGTGTCGGTGGCGGCTGCGAAGGCTATATGCTCCAGGACCTCCTGGGGCACGGTGCTCAGCAAATGTGGGTCGTTCATGATGTGGAGAGAGAGAAAGGAGGAATTACTTACGGCTTATTTACCCCACCGGCATTCGGGTCATCTACATCCGGCCAATCGTGCATCCCGAACCTTGAGACGAGATCGGTGGAGGTAAGAAGGATCTATCATAGAAAGTTTGTATCGTCCGAACTACACGAAGATACTTACGTTGCACTTTCATAGCAGCCCACTGGGTTGTATCCAAATCTGACGTAAGGACTCGGCGATGCGGGGTTCGGTAAACTCGTGTTCAACCGACGATCGCCAAGGTTCTTTAGTCTGTTGAGAGTGAACATCCTTCGAGAGAATTTTTTTGAGACCACATTTGAAGCAGATTCTTAGCAGAGAAGGGAGTAGTATCTAAATGTGTTTCGTCGTGAAAATACAGCATGTTAAGCTAATATAATACATATGTACAACATGGGGCGAAAGGTCTAGAAAGCAATTGACTTCAAAGGGGAGAGCATTCAATGCAAATTAGTGATACGGTCGACTTGTATTGTGGTCCTTGCCCAGGCTGAAAACACCTTCGTAATATGACTCGGACGAAGTCCACGAGCCCTTTACCCGACCAACCAGATTTTGCGATGAGGTGACTGCACGACAGATGAGAGGACCGAACTTCAGGGAACCCCAGATTACTTACCGTATCCTCTGAGCAGCGTCCTCGTCGCACCCTCGTCCGGGTTATCCTATATGACGGGAAGAAGGTTCAGAAAAGGCAAATGACACCCGAAAACTATGAGGGACCCACAGGCAGTGATTTCACCAACACCATCAAGCCATCCTGCATCCTCACACGTCCGAGGATCACCGTGCCTCCACCCCACCTGGCGTACTGGTCATCTGTCTGTCGGAGTACGATTTAGAGTGAGGAAGAGAGGGACAAAGAAAGATGAGATTCGCCCAGACATGGAGACAGGGCCTTTTCTCCGACGATGGGGCGTACAAAAATGACCACAACGAACCTTTCCGGTGATGATCACATCCACGACCTGTCTTTGAGGGCCTCGACCGCTGGTAGGTGTGTTCCCTCGCCTGTAGGTTTTGTAGGTCGTGTGAAAGGTCCCTTCGACGTCCGAGAACTCCACTCTACCGTCCTATGTTTTCGAAAAGAAAAGGAACGTTGAAAGAAAATCAGGGGTCAGTCAAGGCTTCGTATTGCATATAAACTGACATCGCATACTCGGGTAGCAGTGGCCTGTAAGTTGCGCGGCAACCATGCGTTCTTCATCCCATTAGCGAGGTCGTCGCGGGGCACGGCTGCTTTTATGTCGTAGCAGTAGTGTTCCTCTATCGATAGATATAGCGGGCTGCGGCATTCGGCGTCAAACTCCTTGGGTAAAGACGGACTTTCTGTCCATGACTTGTACTCCTGAACGAAGGGCATCTAGAAATGTTCGAGTGAAGTGAGAAACAGGCGTCCAAAGGCCGTTATAGATCGACGCACCAACTGCGATCCCTGCCATCGGCCGCTGAGAGATCCGAGCTGATATGGTACAGGTTGGAAGATAGTCCCTTCCTCTTTGCCCATCGCAGTACTCTGCACGCCCACGTCAAGAGCCGGGAAGTCAGCGAACTTCGTCCTACAGTTCCGGTAGAAGTGCTCATAGTCCTCCAAGCACACCCCGTTGTATCCGCGTGCCTGCGCTTCAGCACGGGTGGCGTAAGAAATATGTGGGGGTACGGAGAAGGGTGTAATCGACTCCATGCGCGTGAAATACAGAAGCGACGCGAAGAGCGCGGCCGGCGGAAGGCGCGCCTTCAGCGTAATCTCGCCGAAGTAAGCTACTTCGCATGGTGCGAGGACGGAGAGGGGGAAGGGCTTCTGGTTCTGAGCAATCGCAGCAATGGAAGAAGGGTCAATTTGAGAGGACCCCGATATCGGAGACGCAACCGACACGGTCGCGGCTGGCTTCATCACCGTCGGTACTTGTGCAGGCTCGAAGGAGCCGCCGAACCCAAACGCGTCTTCCGTCGTCGGAAAGATTGAATACTAAAAAGCAAAATAAAAAAGGAAATCAGAAAGCGTTAGACACAAGATTAACGTTAAGCGTCAACTGCAACGTAAAGGATAATCACGCACGCGGAAAGCAGCGAACACAATGGGCCGTAGGAGGTCCCTCATGCTATCACTAGTCGTCCGATCTTCTCGGTTCACAGAGCCTGGTGTAGATGAAGTGCACAAATGAATCAGCCCAACAAGTTTGAAGGCAATATCAATGTAGGAGAAGATAATCTCGCCATGTCACCGAGACGACAGGCAGTGTCTCCGATGAAACAGGCGCCAAAAGAAGAGAAGAGGGATAAAATCACTCACTTTGTGATGACAGAGTCCACGAAAGCGCAATCGCGAGGGAATTCTGCTCGTTCAAGACCGGCCATCCATCGTTACTCTCTTTTGCACCCTCATACAATCTTTCTCTCAAATAGAGATCCAAAAAGTCCACCATCCCCGCCCGGAGCAGTTGCTTCATGTTCTTCTGGCTGGTGTCGGAGTCCTCTACCATAGTATACGCCGTCCAGAGGGCCTGCGTCAAGTCGGGGTGGTGGATATTCCTTTGTCTGAAAATGCGAATGAACTCGAAGCGCCTGCGCATCTCAAATGGGGCTTGTTCGCGTACACTCGCGGCCCCGAGACGGAGTGATGGCGCCCGTGCGTCGAATTTCTGGGCAAAGATGAAGGCGTACAACTCTGACGCATTCTTCGGGGAGAGTGTGTCACGAAACAGCCGACAAGTAAGGAGGAGGTTGTACAGCTCCTTGGGAGGCCCGAGCGGGGAGCCAAGAGTGGCGTACAGGGCAATTTTCTGCAGGAGCTCTTGCGGCATGTCGGTAATTAAGATCGAGGAGCCCATCGTATGAGCGTTGTGAGTGGCGCGGGGTCTCGTGGCGACTGCCAAAGGATTGTAGGGAGGAGGGACCGGAGGGGACTGGGGTTGTTGGAGCGTTCGGTTGTGGATGGGCTCACTCAAGGGGCGCTCTTAAGTACGAAGACCCAATCCCCAGGGAGCCAGCCCGAGGCCAGCACGCCGTCACCTATCCCGCTTGTCGAATGCCGTTCGAAATTCGATCTTCCACAGGCATGAGCTCACGGCATTCATTTGCTAGGGTTGATATTCCCACGTACCTGTCAAGGAGAAGAGAAGAGACAAGGATAAGGGCGGACGGAGAGACGGACATGTTGAAAGAGATCATGATCAAACAAATGGATATGCTTGCTGACACCGTCAATCGTCAATCGACCTCGAGCTCCAAAAGTTAAGCGTCTTACCCCAGTTGTCCGTATTCTTGTTGCTGATGCTGCTTCCCGACAAAGAAGATCCTGAGGAGCGAATCCAATGGCGCAGGCAGGAAGCAGAGAGGACCCTTTGTTGCATTTGCAACGCGCTTTGACGGACTTTCAAGTTGCAAGTTGGCCGGTCAGAAAACCAATTGTAACCTTCATGTTCTACGCAACGCGGATTTCATTTCCTCTGGACGAAGGCATGTGGGGATGTCTTTTGGGGATATGAGCCAATCGCTGGGTCGGACGGTCAGAAAGGGCAAAGGCACCCATCCTGGAATCGCGGCGACCCTTACCATCTATCGATCCAGATCCAAAAACCTGGACAGGGATCGCGGGATTTTGGTCTTCGCATCATTTGAGGAACTGGAGGGCGCGGTAGTTCAGAAGTCTTCGGGGGTTGCTCAAGGGGCAGAAGGGAATATACACTTGTTGCCGCCCACGGCGGACGGGCTCACACGACTCTATCACACGCGCAAGGGGGCTGGTAAGTATGTGGAGGAGCGAGGTGAAGGGCATGTGGGAACAGACGGGTTTCTCTCTGGAAAACACCGCAGTTTTAAAGTCAGCGGCTCGTAAGGAATTGAGAGTTTGAATTTTTCTTGGAAGTTCGTGTCAGGAAACAGCATTTCACAAGAACCTCTTGTCGAAGTCTGGAGCACAAGGGAATGATCGCAAATACGTCGTTGACCTTGATAATGGTTGCAGACTGCAGTATAGTCAGCTTCAATGCCTCGGGACTAATCATCATATATTTCTCACTGATATACAAGGATCACCTTCTTTGTTCTGCCGTCATGAACAAAGAAAGACGCTTCTGGTTCTACTATCCCGTGTTTGTCCACGGTCCTATAATCCGACGACGCTAATCTCCTGAATGAGAAAAGAAGAAGCGGACCAAGAGCAACGAAAGATGTCGTGAAGCGCTTACGAGAATGCCAGAATGGTCTACATTAGGTGACCTGAAGAAAGATACAAATTACGCAACTGACGGCCTTATGTTGTGGCGGACGTTGGAGGGTTTCCGTACATATTCAAGGGCAGGAACGAGAGCCGTACAGAGAGTAAGGCGTTGACGTTATTCCAGGCAGACAGCGTTGGGAACTGGAAATTGGAAGAGCCGATCGCGCCTATCTGGGTGAGAAAATGAATTCGACTAGAATAGACTTCACTTAGTGTTGGCTCGATGTATGATGAAAAAGGATTTGATGAAGTCGTGCCAACTCACAAATTCGAAATTCCGGCGGTTCTTCCTAGTTCTTCCTGCCTAGAGGTTGTTTGAGGTTACCAGTTTCGGAGTGCTCTACCCATGATGCTCTTGTTATCTCCTCCTTCCCCATAGGCTGCCCACTGGTGACCCTCATACGGGCTACTTCTCCGTGTTCACATCAGATATGGAGTAAACTCTAGAAGTAAGACGAGAGATACCGCTCGCTTGGGGCCTGAATAGTGTGCGAATGCATTACTTGAATTAAAGGGAAATGTCCGAGTGGCGGGGAAATGGCAAGGGTGGGCCTGTGCAGTGGAGACTACCAAATGGCTTCGGGTCGACGCTTGGGTGTTCGTCATGCAATGGGCTCGAACCCGCCTCTGGGAATACATTCAAAGGTGATGACGGAAAAGCGGAGTGGATTCTTTGGCCCGGAACCAGAACAATGCACAAGGAACGAGCGACAATGAGTTCGAGGACAGGCGTCGTCCTGCAACCTCAACTCAGGGACGACGTCAAAACAGGCGGAGTCTGGAATCCTCGGAAGCAGCCGTCGGCAAAACCCCGATGACCGCCGGGAAACCAGGCGAAGGCAAGCGCAAGCCAGTACTACGGACATCGAATCCACGGAGAGAGGACGTTCAATATGCGTGCGGACGCACGGACGCGTCCAGCTAACTGAGGGGCCGCCCTATACAGATCTGAACGCGAGGAGAGCGGGCGGATAATGCGACATGTAAGCGAGGCGCCCAAGCGAGTCTGAGATATGGAGTGGAGCGCCCCCCGAGTCGGGAGGTATCACGAATCAGAAACAGAGACAGCATCAGACAAATCGGAATAGCATAGACCAGCAGTATGGGAGGTAGAATTGAAGTTGGAAGCCTAAGGAGCCCGCCCGGCGCCCGCATCTTGTGGCGCACTCAACAGAGTCGCCGCTTGCCATCACACCACAGGCGCTGTCATATCACCCTGAATACAACCGAAGACACAGCACGACACATGCAGGAAACATTGTCGATGATCCCCACGGGACCAAAAAAAGCAGAAGCTTGGGGGACAGAGAGCATACCCTGGAACATGGTGGCTCCAATCGCCTGTCTGTTAAGCTGCCGCACGGTTCTCCACCAGTCCAGAGACCCAACCTAATCTTCATGATTTAGCCACGGTTTGGAAGCCAAAAGTGAATAGGTAAGTCACTTATCCTTTTTTGTGACCGGTTCGTAATAGGACCGTTCATTTTTCACATACTCTGACAAGAGTACTCTCTCGCCATGTCACATTGATGCCAACATACGAGGCAGATAAAAGATGCGGGGAAGTAGGGCATGATATGATCCTTCGCCTGGCAAGTGACTGATTTCATACTCGAGGTAAGCTTGATTCAAATGAGACAGACAAATACGTACTGGGAGATGGGAGAAAAGGTTCATTTCTGGACAAACAAACGAAAAGAGTCTGAAATGTCCGCCTCGCGGTCAAGAGAATCATGAACCCCGAGCCTGATGGTTAGATTCGGGTTGCAAATTCAGTCTTCCGCTGGCGACCTTGAGAAAGCCGTGAGCGGCACTAATGGGAGCTCAGCACGCTGAGTCCGCGGGTTCTCGCACGACAAACGTGCGGGATCAAGTGTCGCTCCTGGATTCTGAATATCAAATTGTTCAAGACCGTTATTGAATGAACCCACTGTAAAGTACACCTAACCCCGAGGTCAAGAGAGAGACACAAGGCTGAAAGAGGGCATGAAATGCAGGACCAAAGGGATGAAACCGACGCTGTCGGGGCTGAGACTGAGAGGAGAAACAACCGTAAAGGGCAGGCACTCTTCCTGAACTAATGTCTGGATCAGCCTTCGTTTACTGGCGGGCCCATCGGGGAGGAAACCTACCTTGGAGATTCCTTTTGGGACCATTCACATTACTGCTGTAAGGAAAGGGGTGTTCTATTAACGGCGACTAGGCAGGGAACCGTGATTTCAACACGTGGCTGGGGTGACAGACGGAGATTATCCCTTGCAAATCGACGCACCATTTTTTTCAGCACATTCGGGGTGTAGAAAGCGTGGTTTATAGCGTCATCGATGACGGAAAGCCCAGTAGTTTCGATGGAGGAAACAAGGACGCAATGAGGTTTCCGCTTATCGAAATTAAATTCTGTGTGATTTGGGATGGCGGAAACTACGGTTCAAAATATCGAGCTCAACGCACCCGTCCGCGTCATGAGAGAGGGATAATTAATGGCCTGTCAACACAATGAAAAGACTTGAAATTAGCATAACCGGGATTTCAATGACCTATAGAAATTGTTGCGGGACCGACCAAAAATTTAGAGACCGTTTGAAGCGTTAGTTGGCCGCTGTGAGTGTGGTTGTAAGGCAAGTCGCGCTGCACGTGGACCGATGATCAGATTGCGTCGAGGCCGGCCCTGATGTTGATCTGGAAGGCGGAAAATCCAGTCTCATCTTTATCTCAAACCTCCATCTACCATGGCCAACCTCGCAAAACTCGAAGAGCACCTCGCCACCAGGTCCTACGTTGAGGGGTATGTACCTATCTACCCGTTTTTCATCGGCATTAGGCGAACCCTGACGATTTATCTTTCGCATCAGATACACCCCATCGCAGGCCGATGTCGCCGTTTTCAAAGCCATTTCGACAGAGCCCAGCGCATCCGCAAACCCCCATGTCGCCCGCTGGTACACCCACATCAAGTCCTATGCCGCGGAGCACTCTTCTTTGCCGGGATCCAGCAAGGCTGGTGAGGCCTTCCTCGGGGGTGCGGCTCCAGCCCCGGCTGCCGAAGAAGACGAGGAAATCGATCTGTTCGGATCGGATGACGAGGAGGATGCTGAGGCTGAGCGTATCAAGGCTGAGCGTGTCGCTGCCTACAACGCCAAGAAGGCAAGCAAGCCCAAAACTGTAGCCAAGGTCTGTCGTATACTCTTTTTTTTCGTTCGTTAACCTGCCGTTCTGACCGCAGTTCCCATAGTCTGTCGTCACCATGGACGTCAAGCCATGGGACGATGAGACCGATATGGTTGCCCTCGAGGCTGCAGTCCGTTCCATCGAACAGGATGGTCTCGTCTGGGGTGCTAGCAAACTTGTCGCCATCGGATATGGTATTAAGAAGCTCCAGATCACCCTCGTCGTTGGTATGTGTCTGGAATTTCAGGTCACCGAACACGATCTCACGTCGGCCTTCAGAGGATGAGAAGGTCTCGACCGATGAGCTCCAGGAGAAGATTGCCGAATTCGATGACTACGTCCAGAGCACAGATATCGCGGCCATGCAAAGTCAGTGTCCATTTTTACAATCTTCAAATCGCATGTCCTTATCTTCTGATAGAACTCTAAAATAACGTCGGGCGGTGGGATCGCGTCGGAGCTTGTCATTTGTAAAGTTGTATCCCTACGAAGACATGTTTTTTGTTCCTCCTGCTGTATGATGCAATTCACTGAATGGTGTGCCTAGAGGACTGATGTTACTTTATGTAAGTCTTCGTGTGATCAAACGCACTGCATGGTCTGCATCTAGACGTTCGGTGTTCATGCATCCCGTCCTTTACGCACAACGCGGCACAAGAAGTGGTTCTCCTTTGCTAATGGTATCCCAGGACACCTACCACTCATTGGCCTACGAGACGCGGCGATCAGGAACGATTCCTGCAGAGGATATCTAAGCCACTCAGGAAAGGAATGTCATGGGCTTCCGGCTTCGAACCTCCCGAACTTGGTCCAGAAAAGTCGGAGATTAAAACCTCCTCATTCGAGATTGTATGAGTGCGTGGTTCTTTACTCCTTCCCTTAAAGCGTCTGTTTTTGCTGCTCCATAAACTTTCCTATGGGCGGAGCTGTACAAATGATTCCATGGTACCAACCATGCGGCCGAGGCGCTATCTTGCAACGTTGTCACCGTTCGCGATCACCAATTTGCCGTTGGGCAGCTTGATTGGTCCAAACGAAACGGGTATCCTCTTCGTTCTCAAATGCCAGAATCTCGTGTCGGCTTCAGCGATAACCACCCTTCCGTCCTCGTTTTTGCGCATGCCGGTAGACTCTGGAGGTTCGCTTTCCGCTGGCACCCCTTCTCTCTTGGAAAGGAAAATTATCTCTACGTGCTGTGATCGTGGGGCCTCTGACTGTCTCTTAGCGCTCACGTGGACTTCATAACTCAAGGTCCTTTTCAGAAGAGCCTACCAATAGCCACTTTATGCTGACGGGTGGGATAAACATATTTAGAACACCAAACGAAGACGTTCCGGGATTGATGGATTCGTTCTTGAGATTCCTCAAACACCAGGCGTTGATTCCTCTTGTCGCATTCAGTCATTTGCAGGGCCAGCGCTGGATCTTGATCTAGAGCGCACTTAAACTTGGTTGGTGAGGTAATGTAAGGTTTGGCTGGGAAAATGCGGCACCCTAGAGCTGCGGCAAACGTGGATAGATTGCCAGCGTCTCCCTCACGTACACATTCGACTCAGCGCATTGCCATGGCCTTTAAAAAGAGTTGCAGGTGGAGGGTTCCATTTCTCACTCGAAAATGACTTCCCGCCTTGAAACAGTTCCTCGCGACGTTCTCCAACACATCGCCCTCCAGTGCGCCGCGTCCGCGTTCGAGCCGCCAGTGGAAATTCTTCGGCTCATGCTGACACGCTCGACCTTATACCACTCGCTCAACACAGTCGCCGCTCCCCATCTCTACGCCCAAATTTTTGTCGCGAAGTTCGATACCTCTGCGCCGTTTCGACAGTACCGCTCGACGATGACTGATTCAGCTCTCACTGCAGAACTGACCAGCCGATGCCGTCTCCTGCGGCGCGTGCGCCACATGGACTTCTCCTCCGTTGGTTTACTTCAGGACCTGTGGACTGCGTTGTGGATGGTCCTAGAGAGCGACGGCCTGAACGAGACACACCTTTCTAAATGCCACTTCACCGATTTTATTCTAGGAATTGCCCATATCTGGCTCCGCTCAACGGTGCCTCCGACGGGAGCAGATCAGACGTCCGATGCGAAGCCTCTGAGGGAGACCATCGTGTGGCTCCTCTCTGAAAATCTTCCACGAAGTACGTCTTTCTCTTACATCGACATTAAGCAATATCTTTGGGTTTCATTGACCGGAATGCTAGGTATGATTCTTGAAATGTCCAAACAGGATCGGGACGACCTTTACAGCCTGATCTTTCCCTATATATTTTCGCCAAACAAGGTGAGATCCCTTTCCGTGATTTGTATTCTATCTCACGCAGTTAGTATGGCCTTAATTACAGAAGCCAGAATCTCCGGCGTTGCGCGCTCTTTCCTATCCAGGACCCTCCATCCCCATTAATGTGTGAGTCTGCTATAACTTCTAGAGACAAAGAAAAGGTTGTCTGACATGTTCCTTCTCTCAATGTCAGCCGCTCCGAAAATGCCCACGTTTACACTTATCTTCGGCGCCAGCTCCCCTACCTTCCGGATCCATCTCTGGCCGCCATTAATCTCGCCTACGCCATATTCGAAGCCACCCCTCTCAAAATTCCGCCCCACCTCCCCGAAACACGGACCACCGCGAATGCCAGTCAACGTTTGGGTCCGACGAAGGAGGACTATAGGAACCTCGGTTCTTACCGAACCCTCCTTTTCTCAGACTCCATGGCAATGAGTGTGGGGAACGGCTTGCCCGGTGAAGAAACTTCTCCTGGGATACTCAGAAGCATGCTGCACGACATCGAGTTCGGCAACGTACTGTCACAGCCTGCCGCGAAAGGTCCATCGACAGCCTCCGGGGTTTTCGCGTACAAACCAGGCACTATGACAGGCCTGTGGGAGGGAACTTACAGAGTAAATCTCGTCTTCCTTTCTTCCCCTTCTTTGCTTCTTTCTTGCCCCTCTGTACTTTTCCTTAATGACCGTGGACTTATTTCCCTTTCTCATAGACGGTGCCCTTCCCCGCATCTGCTTCACAAGGCATAGAAACACGCACGGTAGCTTCAATGGTGATTGTCAAACCGTTGCAATGCGCCTTAACAGAGTTTATCTGCGAGGAAACTCCTTCCTTGGAGGACGACGTTCTGAACACTAATATCTGTCCTACCGATTATTTCGATGTGCGAGTGAGTCCGATGGAAAGGCACTCCATAGCCCACCCAACGCTAATTCTACTCATAGGACGTCTCCGAGCTCTGCCTGAACGGTCGAAAGTTTCGGAAATTTGGTCCGCAATGGAGCACCACGCTTCCCCAAGACCCCGAACCAGATAAATTGCTCCATGACGTGCTACTTCTTGGAGAGGTATGACACCATTTGTACCTTCAAGCCAGTAAATACCCTATCTAACGGTATGCAGACGCTAGTTGATCACGATCAGGCCTGGGGGGCCTTCAGATTTTCTGGCCAGATTCACCGAGATGGACGCGTGGTTCTCAAACGCGAACCGGTAAGACCCTCCCCCTCTTCTGTCCGGTGATCTAGAAAGCTAACGGCTGCGTCAATCCTCGCCCATCCTCTTCCCTATCCTTCTTTGCTAGAAGACCGACAGCGGGGAATGGCAAGGTGTTTGGATTTTCGAAGGCCATCTACGTTTCGGGAAGGTCGTGCTCGGACGATGGAGGATAACCGGGGCCCATGGAGTCTTCAGTTTGGGGAAGACCCACGAGAAATGGAAGGGATGACACACTCCAGTTCTATGAACTTTCAATTTGTAGACGCGCACGAGCTTGCCTCGTGCTCTCGTTCGGCATCTTCTTGTTTCCTTTTTCTTGTTTCTCCTTTCTTCACGTCCCACTTTCTGTTCACATCATACATACACTTATGATTCCCTTTTAATGAAATCTGTTCGGGGCGGGACCTGCCTGTCACGGAATGGCCGATCAGTGTAGGTAGCACTGTGAGAGATAACACAGTGGGTCTGCGACACCAAAAGGAGATGTACAACCTGCACAACGGCTCCGTTCTTGTCATTGACCGCGGTCGATTTTACTCGACGTAATTTTCTAATCACATTAGCAAGTGGGCGGCCAGCTGATAAGTTAATGTCGAGCGGACAACAAGCCGCCATGGAGCTGGTCGTCTGCTGGCTGATGAAGAGGATGACGTCGTTAAGAGAGGCATGGCTGAAAAACAGAGGAACTTTTACTGATGGAGATTTCATCGAGCTGTCGTTACAGCGGAGGTAATTGGTCTAGAATTCGTGGAAATACCGTTTGGAAGTTCAAAAATACATGGTTTGTGTACCTCCATTTCCGGTGGCTTGCAACATCTCCGGGGCCAAGTGTTTTAGAAGACAACATTTTTCTCGTCTTCTAAGGCCATACAAGTTCCAGGTTTTGGCATATTATATATCAGCAGCTTCTCGACTGTCGCACCTTTTGTATCTATGTCCTCGTAGGCGCCGGACTCTTGGTCCTTCGCCAAGCCAGGGCAAATCGTCTGCGCCTGTAAGGTCCAATGTTTTCGGCGTTCTGGATTCGGCATACGATACCAGTAAGTCCACGAGGAAATTCTATTGGGTGGTGATTGACAGCGGGGAACTGGGATTAGGTCAAGAAGAGCACACATTCCCGCTGCCAGTGGCTGACAAGACGTAGGGGTGAGAGCACGGGGTGATGAAAAAAAGGTGGGATCCTAAGCTGCTGCTGGTCTAAACCTTACGCAGTGGATAGAATGAATCGTTCTGTCAGGTATGTCTACCAATGAAACGTCGACGGATATCTCACATGGACCTAATATGCTTCTCTCGATGGGGCACATTGTCTGAAATTTCGAGTTCCCCGTCTGAGGACAGCAACAAACACCAGGTGGTCGTTGACCGGTCTCGAATGATGTCAGAGGGTCGTTCCAGCGGGATGATTTTTGACGCTGAAGCAGGGGTATTCAACTGAGCGAACCAGGCGCAATTCTTCCTGAGTGCCACATAACCGGCGCTGGCCGTCAGAGTGGAATTCTCATCTAACCCCTAGTCACAAGCACGAGGGTAGATCGCTCAAAAAAAAAAAAAACGTTTAGAGAAACATTCCTCTTTAGAATTACGGCTATCCATTGATTTGACGGAGTAAGGAGGTCGAGGACTTGAGGCAGCCGTGTTTTTATGTTACCGTGGCACTAGATTTTCAGTCCCCACGTTTTCATGGAGTTTCTTCTTGCCCTAAGTCTAAACCCCAAGAAGGAAGCTTCAAGGTTAACTAATGCGACCGCAAGGGAAGTTGAGAGTGACAGACGCGAGCAGCAAGCCACTGGGACACATCTTGCTTCCATAACATAAGGAGCGATCTTTGAATCCGAGGAAAGCTGATGATATGACGTATCAAAATGGGCTAAAGAAATGCGGTCCAGGAGTGGGGTCGTTTCGATTGCTTGTCATGTTGACGAAATAAAAAATGCATAGACTGTAGTCGAATGAACCCAGCCATATCTTGATATGGAGTGTACGGTGTCCCGTTGGCAGTTTGAGAGAATGCATACTTCAGCCAGCGTCATCAAATTTAGTGATGAGAAGACGCCCTTTTGGTGACAACGGCAAAGTACGCCACAGGGTGGCGAGTCGCGACAAATCGGAGGGAATTGAGTCAAAGGTCTTCGAAGCGTAGAGTGATGTTACTAGTGAACGTTTCGAAAGACGGATACGTTTGCCCCCCTCTTGAAGTAGATGCATTTCAGTGATAGATCGACATTTCGATTATGGGGAGTGCGGGAAGTAGCGAGGCAGCCTAGGCTAACCTTCAAAGAATCAAAAATAACGAAGAAGATTGATGAAGGAGTAGACGCCGCATAAAATCGCACGTCGAGATAGAGCTGGTAGTCGATTTACTCTAGGAGTCTGGTGTGCGAAGTTGATAGAAATCTTTGTTCTGTTCTCAGGGGTCGTTCAAGTTGGCGCCACAATTTTGTTTGCGCTTGTTGTGACAGGAGGCTATAGAATCAATGATTTGTTCTGCGGCCTTGCATTTCCACCACCACCTCTGTCCTCGTTGTCGTCTTCGACCGTAACCAGTCCACTCTTTCACCTACCACGACCTTTAAAATGTTCAAAACCTTTGCAATTGTTTCGGTGCTTACTTCTGCGGCCTTTGCCCAGTCTTCGGTACGTTTGGCGAACTAAAATGAGTCCCAAGTTTATTCACAAGCCCCAACATGCAGTCATCGTCAGCGGCAGCTGCGACGTCGACAGCGAACCCTTACATCCCTACGGGAATCAGCCAAAGCTGCACCACATTCCTCAACGAGCTGAACACCGACTCCAGCCTGACCAGCTGCCTGTCAGCTCTCTCGACTGCGACCTCGCCGTTCGCCCCTGGCAGCACTGTGTCACCAACCGAGGGCACAGTGAAGACCGCGTTGCAGAGCCTGTGCTCCGACTCTATTGACACTGTCTGCTCGGAGAACCTCATCCGGTCGAAGATCGCCTCCTTCTACACCGCGTGCGCACAGGAGTTGACGACGAACCAGGTGCCTGATGTCATCAGGACGTACGACGTTCTGTACACGCTCTCTCCCATGCGCACCTCGGCGTGCTCCAAGAGCGATGATGGATCGTGGTGTGTCATGGCGAAGACGGTGTCCACCAGCGAAGTGAGCGAAGCCGTTTCGTCCTCCTCTACCCTCGGCCTCTCCCAGCTGCTCGCCCTCCTCTACACCAATAACGGCAGTGCCCTCAAACGCCGCGCTCAGGTTTCCGCCATTGTTCCCAACATGACGACCTACCACGACTCAAACCTGCCATTCCTCTTCTTCAACCCCACCCTCGATGCTGAGGCGCTCTGCACCTCGTGCACGCGTTCGGTCCTCACCGCATACATCAACTTCGAGTCCAACATCCCTTACGCCCCCGGACTCTCCAGCAGCCAGCTTTTGGACACTCAATCTGCGCTGTACAACGCCATCACCGAGAAGTGCCCTGCAAACTTCCTGAACAACGCCGTGCAGGCCGCCGGTGGTATTTCCCAGGGTGGACTTTTCTCCGGTGCTGTTTCGACCCTCCCCGAGCACAGGAGCCTCATTTCGCTGGCACTTGGCGCAGCGACTCTGGCAGCTTCGTTTGCGCTTTAAGTGGGTGGTAGCGGGACTGCTGATATTGAAGTTGGAGCTTCTTGTCTTTTACTTACATTCCTCCCGTCCATGTCCTTAATTCCTTGCTTTATACCCCTCACAACCCCCCGTAGAAGGTAATTTATCAGGGAGCTAGTATTCTCTGTATTCTCGTCAATTTCCACCTTACATGGCAATGAATGTCCCAGCCGACTTTTCCTATTCCTGGCAAGCTGGCACATGGATGCTTTGTCGTCAAGGCTGCCTGACCCTGTTGTTTCACGTGATGAGAATCAATGTCGGATCCCCATTGGTTCACAAATTGAAATCTCTTCATTGCCAAGCGAATATCAATCTTCCTCTAGAGTACACTTCATCAGGTCGTTCCAAATCTCTACATAAATAAACCCAACGCGGACAAAAGATACCTCAACACACCTGGTGAGTTCATGGAGATATGACTGGGACTACTTATTTGGACGTTCCATATTAAAAGTCTTCCGACCCCGTCGACTCCTGCGATGCGTCCATGATAGTTGGCAAATGATGGTACGTACTTACAGTTCGCCTAACTCCACATACCCAATAGTTTTCACGAACTGTGCTTCTAGGATACTATCTACACTCCCGAGGATGCTGTGTAGGGCCGTTTTCCGACAATCCGGTTTGCCATTGCGACGAACGTTCCCTCAGGGAATCCATTCAGACGACAGCCTCCAAATTAATACTAGAGTACGACACCGAACACCGGTTCTTTTCCCTCTACGAGCTCACCCTCGTGGCATCTCTCAGCCCGAGTACGTATTCAAACCTCCTCTACGCTTCCAGTTGACTACGGGCGTTTGTTATCAGTCAGCATGGCGTTAACGGAACCTCCCGTTCCAGACAAACAAACGACTCGCATATGGAACATCCATCAAAAGCCTTTTCACAGATTCCGCTGAAAAGAGCGCGAAGACCACCCCCTAGGCCCCAGGACGTAAATAGCACAAACGACCCGTAAGTGAGCCTCTCGCATACTGAATGGGATAAGTTGGGCCAATGGTGAACAACGATTCAGCACAGATCAATCTTTCGATCTCTTTCTCGACCTTCACTGGTGGAACACCGGCAAGAATCTCCGCCACATCTAGGCCACCCTCGGGATCCTTTTGGATGTACTCTCCCAGGGAGGTCTGCTCGTTGACGCCGTTGTCAAGAATCTGGGTTCCTAGGTTGGGGTTGTTTTCGAATTCCCTTCAATTTGCCCGATCGGATAAGGCTTCTTGATTGTGACCAGCAAAACGTTCTTCCTGTCAGGTCTGGGCGAGCTGCAGCAATTGGCCGGGTCGAATTGCTTCGATCGTCCCGCCTACGTCCTTGGATTACCGCGACGGCGGGGCCCGCGAGAACCCAGCTCGAATTCTCGGTCTCTTGGACTGAACCTTACCTGGCTGGCCATATTCGCCTTTTTCCGAAGAATGTCAGCGAATATACTTCAACTGTCGAGAACTAACGATAGCTGAGCGCCACAGGGTAGTCGGCGCTTCCCCTATCTGTTACCTCGTTCTATCTCCCAGGCGGGGTGCACCTCACGAAACGGCAAAGGCGTTCGGGGAGAACTTCAGACCTCCGATTGGGTGTGCCACTCCACCATCCATCCGCAGTAGTTGACAAGGTTTAATAGACCACATATTTGTTACCTCCCTCGGGTCTGGGTCTTGGAGGCAACACACGGACATCACAGCCTTGGTGAAAAACTCCGTGTTCACCTCCACACCTGCCCTTCTGGGGTCGCATCCTCGTGGATTTGGGGTCTTTCTGTTCGTCTTTGGACCCTCGTTAAGGTAATATTTCATAAATTACATGTCGAAACCCCGATTACATCGTTCTAGAGTGAACGTTGAATCACACCAGTTTGAAATTCAAGAAGACAGCCTTCGCAGTGAAAACGTCACTTCGAACGGCATCCCTCCTGAAACTCCGCGTCGAACTTGCAAACCCCGCGCCTTCATCACCGTGCTCCACGCAGTGGGTGCGAAGAGAAGAACTTGAGGAATCCATGCTTTCGATTACATGTCTACTGCGAAAAATAGGCTTCAAGTCTTCCGTATCATGTCAAGGCTTTCGGCCCCATAATGCCCATCAGTGAGCAGGGTCGAAAGGATGTTGGGGCTGCGCTGATCCCGAGGAGAATAAGCCCGCATTTTCCACGCGCCAAAATGACACAAGAGGAGTGACGAACTTTACCACCAAGCCGACACTTTAAACTCGTGGGAAATCGTCTCGGACCACCGGCCAATTCTCTCCGGCTACTGTGGCGCACAACTTGTGATCGAAGGTGTTACCGCTTTCGATATACTCAATTAATGAAATCAGTCTTCGAAGGCGATAGTTGTCACTCGGGGGATGGGATCAATTTCCTTTGCAGAGATGTGTAGATGCGGATCACCTTTCTTGGTTCCAGGATCGACAGGCCGTCGCGTTTGAGTTTGAAGGCACTGCAGAGCTTCGTCATCTATAGAAATAAAATTCTATTTTGCTTTCCATTGAGGCAAATATTTATTTATAAATAAGATCAAGTCATGGAGTGACGAGGCGGTATGGGCTGTAAGTCACGAACTGAGTGCAACCTGCTATCTAAGTAAAAGAGCAATGAGTGGAGCCAAGTAATTACTACGCCCGTACTGATACAAAATGCAGGATTGGCGACTAATGGTTGTTCTAGAGTCTATGCTATACCTCAAGTGTATAATAGAGTTCAATGCAATGGGGGTGTCAAGGTGATCTATACAGGAGAATGCTCTACGAAAAGGATACAAATACACATGATAGAGGCGAATACATGCAGGCGAAACAACATTGGGGGTGCTGGTATCATGAACAGGGTATCTGCACAGGGATTATTGGAGGATAGGATACAATCAGCTCGTTGACATGGAAGATACCGAGCCGAGATGGGAACAGAGAAATACACAGATATTGAGCACCTTGGACACCAGTTAGCAGTTTCAGAAATTGAAGCATTGAAGTGTGAGCTGGGGTCGTAAATATTAGGCCCGTTGGAGTCGTATGAGGGTAGGGGAGCCATTATGGCTCCCCCATCGTTGGCGAAGCGGGTCGGAGCCCCCACGGTCTTTCTAGAAGATAGTAGCCGTCATAGGAAAGGAATTTCGTCTCGCGTGCGAGGGTACCCCTTTTCGAATGGGGTTCACATGGGTTGACCGTGCTGGGAGAGAATGGACGATCCAGTTGCCTGAGGTCCTGTATAGATGCATTAGGATCCTTGCGCGCTGAAATATGAAATGGTCAGAAATCTTGGAGAATGTTTATGCTCAAGAAGAGAGGGAGAGCTTACCCGGAGGAGCGATATTTACCTGCAGGCCGGACAGACAACGCTTTTGGGACCTTCACCAGACTTTGTGAAGAGTGGGCATGCTTTTCCTAGAGCCTTTGCGCAAGCTACGATATGCTCAAACACCCTAGCACAGAGGGGACACTTAGCTACTTGAGCAGTGCACATAACTCGTCGAGAAGGCTTGTGTAGGATAGGACATACCTCAAAATCCGTCGGTATAAGAGGCCTACGGCGGCGTCAAACGTTGGCCTCTCTAGGAAAATGCGAGGCTGATCCTCTTTGGAAAAAAATCTGTGTCGCCAGAGGCAATACAGCGCGCCCCATAGGGAACCGCTGTTTCGAGAGAGAGGGGTGACTCGGTAACCTGCATATCGGCGCGCAATCGTTTCGGTTCGAGGTGCTGTTGAATGCGAGAGCTTGCGTTCTGTGTACCTCCTTCTCAAAAAGGAGACCGCCGGTGCCGTTGGGCGGTCTGCATTCCAGGTCGCGCATTTGACAATGATGGTTCGGTAAGAAATCGTCTTAAGAATCTCCGATTCGGGGCTCGCCTGAGGTTCACCCACATCGAGACATGATTAGGTCAGGCAACAAACAGGTGCAGACAAGTGAACGTGCTCACTGATCAAGCGATCTTTCATCCACACCACGAGGACACACAATGAACGACTTCGGGGTCCAATTTCAGCCTGTTCCAAGGGAGAGCCCTATTCCCCGGAATGTAGTTGGCTTAATCGGCGGCTACTATGGAGAAAACCCGACCTTCGTCCTTTCTTTGAATGGGGTCGAAATGGTCATACAAGCGCCCACAGATCCAGTCGGGATTCCGAGTGTTAGCGAATTCGACAGCGATCATCCTTTCTACGAGTGGCTCGTCACGGAGCGCTCCAAGAAGATTTATGCTCACTATCTAGAGATTGTCGTATGTGTCATTTATGCTCGCGTCGCCGCGATTCTCTGATTTGTGCTTTAGCAAGCCCTATTGGGCAGTTTCAAGTTCGGTGAAACGAATTGGGCGTATCTCGTTCATAGCGGGAAGGGTGGAGTTGGAGGCTATGAAATAGTTACAAAGCCACGAAGGCTCCCGAAAGTCACTTGTCCCCCATGGGCTCCTCTGATCCACGAGAATGAGGTCGAATTTACGGTATACGGTGTGGCCGGAGATAGAAGAGGAATATGGAAGGGCAAAGAGGTCGGTATGTCATTTTCAGTTCCTCTCTGACCGGAAATAACACTGATTGTAATTGATATTTCAGATGTAACTTACGGATGGAACGAAGATTGGGTCGAACGTCTCGACACGGCGATGCAGGGGCACAAGTTCTTGGAGGGGATGGATCTCACCTTCGAGGTATATGGACACCTCATCAATTCCGAGGGAACGATAATTGGCATCGTGACGGAAGCTGGCTGGGGACGCATGGCGACACTCGGGGATCGGGCACGAATATATCAAGCTATTTCCCGAGTACAGCGCCGAGGAGCGCTCTACCGGGCGTGCCTTACAAACCGCTTCATGATCGCCAACGGCAAAGTCAGATTGCTAGACCCGTCTGCTATCGAGGTATTTCCTCCAGGCCAACGGAACGAGTTGGAGAGGCTGGCGGAGTACTGGCATTGGGACGAGCTCGACCGCCTATTCCACGAAATACAGACAATCGGGCCGTTTGGCGACTATCGTGCGCCGTTTGCACGATTTACAGCTTCATACAAGGACCTGGAGTGCCTGCCCGTTCCTCCGTGCCCCGAAAGACCTCTTGGCGGGATCATGCTCTATCCCAACTTTTTCAAATCATTTTATGTGGAACCGTGGCCTGAATACAGGCAGCAGGAATCAGAAGGTTCGGAGGGAGCAGTGATAAAGACGAGTCGGACTCGGTCAAGGGAGCCGCTCTATATCGATCACGACTTGCTTATCCAGGCCTCCTGGGCAGAAGATGAAGATAGACCTGTCAGCTGCGCACGGATTCAGTCGCGAACTCGCCACAGAATTGCCTTCCATCCCTATCGCCAGCGACAGAAACGTGACGATTTCATTGCAGGATCAGATACGACTAGCGTTTCTTCGTTCGAGGAACGGCCTCCTCGTTATGCCATAAATTTAATCTAGGGAATCCAAGTTGCAATGTTTCGTTCTTCGGAACGTCGTCGTCAGCTTGTTCGCTTCGTCGCGTACTCCATAAGAGGCAAGCAAGCAAGGTGGCCGACCGGAAAGACGACCGCCATAGCAGCATGACAAACTTCTCGGCCAGGGTTGATGGAAAGTAATGGTGACTTCGAAAGCATCAACGAGAGACTTGTGACGCAGTCCACGTTCCTCTGAAGATCTCTTCAAATCGCTACAGGCCAACAGACCTTCATCGCGGTATCGACTCATGCATCCTTGATTTATGAGCAGTTTCTATTAGTGAATGTGCGACAGGTATTTCTAGCGCGATGCGTTTGAAATTCAAGGTCGGGACAGCTCTGCCGCCGGATTGATGAGTTCCCTTACTGGTGCCCGAAGTGACATCGTTTATTATGCCCGCTGCCCTTAATACTGAAGCATATGCGAATGAAACACCTCGGGCTCCCTTATCGTCACACGCCCAACAAAGAGTGGAGTATAACAAGGGAATAAGCTCAGTGTATTTCCGCATATTTGAAACGTGAATGGGAACCGTCGAGGTCCGTGCGTAGATGTTGTCTATTTCTACTGTGGCGTTCGATATGAGAAATCCGCATCGAGCCCGCATCGGCTTCACTTTCCAACACACAAAATAATGACAGACTGTCTGAACAAAATTTAAACAAAGCATAGAGCCTCGATTTGCGCTATTCAGGCTTACTAACTTTGAACTGAGAGAGACGCAATTCCCAGTGGCACTTTGTGCTGAACATCCCCAAGACAACACGTTGAGACGAAGATAGGATTTTTTCTTTTGTGGGTGTCCTCATACAACGAAGCATTCTGAGCTTATTGGTATTTTGGAGTTTTTGTTGAGCGAGACCCTTGCAGCCCTATGCCTTGCTACCTTAGCCAACACAGGGAGCCGTCCTGCATTACCGGGATTAGCGGCCCGATTGTGGGTCCTTGGTGGTCCAAAAGGGGAAGAAAGTTGATGCTAGCTTGGCGCTCGGCTGTTGGGCGATGACCCAACCAAACGCCGTAGCTGGCATGCACCCTACAGAAAAAATGACTCTCCAATACAGCACTGACTTAAAGGGAAGGACGGAGATATCAAGACTCGAGAGTCGTCATGGCCATAGGTGTTTAGGAGCTATGAACTGCAGGCCAATGCTTACAAAGGTCCTTTCAATTCGGAATCCCCGAGTAAGAGAGTTGAGAGACTACAACATATTTTCCATCAGTTAAAATGTCCCTTCGGCTAGATCATTTAGATATTGAGAAATTGTGAGTCGGCGTTGAGGGATGCTTTGATTTAAGAAAAGGTCTCGTTAGGACGGTGGAGCGATTAACCATGATGTCGTTCGATATAGGAGTGGAATACAGCCTCGATAATTTGAAATTTTGACGCTTCAATAAGATTGCATCCTTCCTCTCCAGGCCCCTGAAGGCGTGAGAACTATTACGGCAATTTCCGAGTATTGGATGTGTCATATGACCTCTTCAGCCCATCCGCTCAGGACTCCGTCTTCAACCAGTTGCCTCGCGATCCTCAGCAACTACGACGACGATCAGCGATACCTATAACTTAATATGTTCCGATTTCTCACCATCTTTGCTCTGTTCGCCTTCCTCAGTCTCCAAATATCGGCCTCACCTGCCCTCCCGCCTCTCGGGAGTCTCCAACGACGCACTGATCCATATTTCCCAGATACTCCTGCATCATGTCCTATTTGTGCCCAGGTGAGTCAAAGGTCGTCTATGGGAGTCTCGGAAACACTGAGGAGCGACCGTTCTCGACGGGAGTCATCTCCAAGCCATTGTGCTATACTTCGCATTTCTCTGGTTTCATGTCTTCATGATGCTAATGAATTACAAGGATTATCCTAGTATCAATAGCTGTGCACAGGCAGCGCCAGTTCTGGCCAATTTCTCCATGGTGAGTGCTTGCGTTTCTTGCGGACATCATAGAACTCAAAAGCTGTCTAGATTATCTTCAACCCCGGTGCCTTCATCGATATCATCAAATGTGCCTGCGTGGATACTTTCCAAGCCGCATTTCCTCAATGCGTTGACTGGTAAGTTTGTCTCAGTTTCCTTCGTGCAACCAGCTGGTACACATTACCCATCTGGTGCGTAGCTTCATCCAGACGGGCCAACAGGACGTCCTTAGCACACCCGACCTTCCGGGTGTCGTGGATGGCATGCGGAGAATTTGTGCCCTTCAAAGCACCTTGCTTGGAAACGTCTCGGGCGTGAATGGCGACACCACTTCCACCACGACTCCCCAACCAGTAGCTACCGGGTTCGCTCCAAGGGAACACGACATGGCATTCGGGATGACAGCGTCTTTACTTGGGTTGGCGTTGTTCATTGGATGTCTAGGCTTTTGACCTAGCGCGAGGTTACGATTTGGATTGATCTCACGAACAAAAGATCGGAGTAATGACCGCTATGACCAATACTTACGACGATTCACGACATTACTAACGATATGAGTTACGAACTTCTAACTTATACCCCTCTTCAATATTATTGCGTTCACCCTCCTCTTTGCCAATGTTAGAACCAATGACGCATTTCCTAGTGCCGAAAGGCAGGTTATCGAACGGACTTCAGGAAGTGCAGCAACTGCCTTCTATTATTCCGCCCAATGTCAATCCGTCCATTGGAAAGAGGGAGGACATAAACAAGATTGCAAGATAAACGAGAGTGCCTGGCACGGGCGCCCCGTCAGAGCGCCCGATAAGTCTAGTCAACATTGTCATTAGCTACCTGAACTTCCTCATGCTCTCCCAGACTACACATACTAGCACCCCACTGGACTACCGTAGTCAGAGAGGCAAGTAATAGAGTTGTGAAGAGCAAACCAAAGTGGCCCTGCGAAACCAGACTGCGCATCCACCGAAAAACCATCCCACCGCGTCGTACCTGGACCTGCCTCGCAGAAACCCAGGCTTCGCCCACATAGCCCACCATTCCCCATCGTCGCGCGGCGCTGACTGCCCATGCCTGACTCTGCTACGCTGCACGCTCCCCACACCTGCCCATGAAGTACGGGACTCGTCACTGACCGGTCAGTGCCCAACCCATAGTCTCAGGCCTACATCCACATCTCCTAACCTCCCTCGCCTTACGACTACATTATTGTTGACATCGCAAGACTTCGAGATCTCCGCACCGTGTCACCTCCCTCGCCATCTGTCTTATCAGTGGTTGTAGCCGTTTCTCTTCTTGTGGGGGGCTGCAGTGGAGTAGAGAGCATCGTCGTGAATACACAACGAGGAGCGAGGGTGTCAATACCCGTGAAAGCGTGCTGCTCGGGATCGTCCCGTCACTGAGAGCGACGACGAAATTTTTCGTCTCTGCCAGTCGGTCGTTCCTCATTCCTTCCTTCCGCCGGAGTCCGGCATCGTTCACAACCGAGATAGCCGGTCCCCGCACTTCATCGCGTTCGCGTTCACCTCAGTCTTCGTACAAGAGAAGTCAGGCGCTATGTAGTCGACATCGCCAATTACGGCCCACAGTCGCGTTATACATGTATTAGGTGGCTTACCCTGTTGAGAGCCTACTGGTGAAACAAGTGCGCACTAGCTTGGTGGCAAAATCTCCGTGAATGTGATTCTCTTGGGGGGAATAGACATGAAAATACAATTAAAAAGGCAAGCAAAGTGTGTGCTGGATTCATAGAACCATCCCCTTGTAATAGTCCCAAAAATTGGTCTGTACAATATGAGCAACTATAAATGGTCATCTGAATAAATGGACCACTGCCTGAGGTCCTCGTTCCCGAAGGACGCCATGTTCATGCTCGAAGAAAACAAGTACAATGAATCAATTCCCTATGGACTGTCTGTGATGGAAGATATGGATCCACATGTGCTGTATAACGAGGCCATATTGAAAGCACATTGATTCGGAGGACAAGCGGCATCATTTATTCCTCAAGGAAGCCACAAGCCTACCATAGCACATTCTGAGTGTTGGTACATACTGGCTTCGGGAAAACTGATCTAATGGGCACCAAAACTGAGGACACAAATTTCCTAAGGTCCACTAGCCCATGATGAGATGCTGCAATCTCCCATCCATGTGAACGTAAATTCGAGTCTCTTTGCTCTGGGCTTACTGTATCGTGAGGGCGGTCTTAAACGCGATGCGGCTTGATAGATATAAGTGCACAGAGCCCGGGACGGTATGCGATAGACGCTTGCCCGCATACTGATACTCCCGGAAAACCGGTGTTCAGCGTTTGGACCATGCCGGTATACCTACTACTACTACTACTACTACTACTACGCAGGTTTGCCGAATCGGGCGGCCAAAGCCAGCCAGTCTCCACTTGTCCTCAACCACGAGGGTTCTGCCACCATCGCCACCGAATCCCCATCCTCCTTTCGCACACACCAAGCCCATGAGCTGAACGCCACGCATCTCCTCTCCCAGACGTGTGATGAACATGAACGCGCTCAACAACGCTCTTGGCCAAATCATCAACCGTCCCGCGAGCCAGCGTCCCAGTGGCCCAAGACTTTCACCATGGTCGACCCCCGCCGTGCCAGATAGCGCGTGGAGCTCGCGAGACTTCATGCTTGGCGCAGGCATGGTGCTCATCCAGAGGAGGACGCACAAGATCGTGGTCGTGCATGAGACGAGGAAGGACTACTGGTTCTTCCCGCGTGGAAGGAAAGATGTTGGCGAGAGCTTGGAGCAGGCGGCGTTAAGAGAGGCTTATGAAGAGGTGAGCTCCTTCGGGCTATCTGGAGTCTCCCTTCTGACAGTTGGGCCTTGGCCCGCTTGTGGTGGCAGTCAGGATACCGTGCCCAGTTCCTACCTCTGATCAACCGCACACACCAACCAACCTCACCTCAGGTCCACGATTACGACAGTTACTACAACACCGAACCCGTGTTCATGTCTCTTACATCGTGGCGGCCACGACGGCGGCGCAACGGGACGATGGAGCGGTATGGGGGCGAGTACCTCACGACATGGTACGCGGGGATGATAGAAGAAGACGCCGTAAGACCTTTTCAGCCCTACCAGTGTACGCGATCTGATATCATGACTTGTCTTTCTCGATAGGTAGCGGAGACTGGCACTGGCATGCCGGATGAACAAGACTATCAGAGCCATGTCTTACCCTTCGATGAGGCCGAACGACTAGTCTTCGGTGTCGAGCGTCAGATCCTCTTCTACGTCTGGGAGATGTATATAGAGACAATCAAAGCTATACGAGACTTCGAGCGCCAGGAGGCTGAACGAATTGGTGAGGAGCCTGACCCTTGCCATGAACATGAGCTGACTCCCCTATGATTGCAGCAGCGTCCCAAGAAGCTCCACCTATCGACGAGCACATCGCCGAACCCGTTGCAACTCAATCGTGATCATACTTCATCGATCATCTTCCGTTTTTTTGCTTTCTCGCTTTTGATATCGCTCTCGACAAGCCCCCTAGTACGCATGATGTTCCCTTACGACGACCCTGTAGAATAAGCAAGACCACTCGAGTCACAACCCCATGTTTCTGTATTGTATTAGACCATTCGCATTCGATAAAACCCCGCAGCAAAATTTGAGCAAAATACTTTATTAAAATAATCAGGAGCAAGAGAGATCCGACGATGGTTACTCCAAATTCCACTACTACTGCATGGCGTCCTGCAGCTTATTGCCCGATTTTTCTCAGCTCCTAATTCCTCAAGATATTTTTTCGACCCACTTTGGGGACTATGTGGAATAAGGCTGCTACATATTTCAGTCTACCAGAAAAGCAATTCGCCCGTAGAAAAACTCTGGTCTATCATGTATCAAGATAACGTCGTTCTGTCGGAGGATTAGTCTGCAGAGTCGCAGGTAGGCGGGACCTACCCACAGCATTCAATTTAGGCATACACTGCGACGCGAGCACCTTCATTGCCATCCCAAGTGCGACAGCGCGGGTCGGCGCAGTAGCTAGGCTGGCTGGTAGAGATGATTCCAGCCATATCAAAATAGAGCTGTGATCCGTTTTGGTAAGTCGAGGACATGATCCTCCTGAATCAGACAGGAAAGACAAAATCTTTTACTTCAAAAATCAGTCGCGAGCCTCGGACGTTTGGTGGTCAGGCGGAACCATTTCGAGATATGAAAATGTCGACGAAGGCGCCACTGACGCGTACACAGCACCATCGGGGTTGAAATTTGAAAATGGATGCAGTCGTCGGAGGCCTGGCGGGTGAGATACAGCACCGGCAGAAAAACGAAAACAGACACACAAGGACGTATCAAAACATGGCATAATTAAAGCCAAGAGGAACACAGCGCACCGGCGGAATTTCAGCGCACTTCGCATACATCGCGTTATCTGTACAGGGCCCGACAAACGCCCTTGGTCGATAGTCAAGATATCTGAGAGAGTACCCTGGATGACAAAAACCGAGTCAGACAGATAGTCGTTTGTCCCAATTTCTAGCCCACATGACCAGGGGACCGAGCTACCGACTCGAAGATCGTCAAACCACAGACGGGTGAGTGGCGCAAAAACGATCCAACGTCCCCGAAGGCTGGGGCACAGCATCCTCCGAGATGAGGCAGATGGCCTGTGGGCTCTACAGCGGTGTCGGGCGTCCGACGCGGCATGACCCACTCAACGGGCAATTGAATGCGGCTGCCAATCAGTCCATTAACATGTTGTGGGTCCAGAGACTATCACTGAACCATGCGTTCAGCATCAACAATATTACAACGGCGACTCCACACACTGGATTATGGAATTCGGAATTCGGCTTCGTCGGAGAACAATAGCATGCAGTTTCTGTCGAAATGAGAGGAGCGCCAAAGAGAAACATCAGCGGGTCCGAGTCAAGAGCTTGCTTTCTCTCCCGAAGACGCCCAGTAGAGACTCAGTTCCGCCATCGGAGGACTTTATCGCCGGACATCCAGCGGATCTTCATGAAAATCCGTGCTGAGTTGTTTAGAGTCATGAGCAAGCTCTCACTGTTGACGTTCCTCAAGGCTAGGTTTGTGGGCGTAGTTGGTGTTTCTTGAATAGGCTGCTTTTTTTGATGGCGGATCAGGGTCACACCACGCATACAAGAAAAGCGATCGAACGCGATAGACGCGGAATGCGACCTATGGAAAAAATAGATCTGTAGAGGAGACGATGATCATGCTACCTCTCGAACAGAGAAATGGATGCGAGAAATGTGACTCACTACCGATGCTGATGGCTCGATTGGAGGGATGCAATAATACAGAAATGGAATGAGGAGAGGGTCGGCAGATCTTAAAATTCTGACCGAATGGCGGTCAGCAAAAAGGGCACAGGACAGTGAATACCTAGGTCATGACCCATTGACCGCGACTCAACATGGTTACACGCGATCACGTGACTTTAATACGAACACGCTTCGATGACGCGTAATGCGAACAGAAGAATGCCAGAATGAACGAAGGCGGAGGTTTGCATGAAGAAAAAGCGTTTTTGACAGAAAGCTGGAGAACGACAAAGCAGAATTTCACTTACAAGACATGTTTTTTTTGAAACAATCAAGAGGACTGATCGACCAGAGCTATTTTGAACGACCGTGAGGATGTGAGCACGATGGGGTTCGCTGCTCCGTGTGCGTTATCCAAGGGTAATTGAATCATGAGACACCAGAGCTCACTCGCACTTAGACTGTTATTTCGCCCCCGTCCGTCATCTTCTTTGCAGATCTCTTTTTTTTTTGTTCGCGTCCTTCCGTCTTCTGATCCTTAGGCGGGCGGAAGACGTGACAAGGTATCGAAAACCAAAAGTTAAGCGTTTGAGGAACATCGCTGCGCAGTACACTCCCTAGATTATGTCTTCGGTCGGATCTTCGGCGTCGAGCGAAAGGACATTCCTAGCAAGATGATAAGATTCCCCTCTGGCTGTTTCGAGGCAATCTGGGCCACAGCATACGTGTCCAATAGAGTGTCCATGAGGAGGTTAGGATATAGTATGCGTCTTGGATTCTTTGTGGAACTGGAGTACTTAGCACCGCTGGCGAGATTCTTCCGTGCTGGGTGAACTCGAAAGCATTACTTACACTATCTGCATCGATCGGCAGCCCTACCCTGCCATTCTCTTCTTGTCCATTACAGTTCCAGGTTTCTCTGGTCAGCTGCGCTCCATGGATATGCGCAGGAGGATGGTTTCAGGGGACCATGGATGTTGGAAAGAGATGAACAATGGGAAATTAGAATGCCGATGGCCCGCCGGTCAAAATACTTACCAAATAACACGTCAACACATGATTTCACCGAATCAGACACCGGCTCTTGTCTCCTCCCCACCACCATCCTCCCGCCTACCTCCCCCAATTCTCGCTGGTACCTTGCAATACCTGGTGTCTTGACACGGGAAACGCGAGAAAAAAGTCGATTCAGTGTGCAAACGAAGAAGATCGCGATCATGAGCTTCAACACTTCGGCCAGCAACTTGAGCGTCTTTCTGGGGGTCAGAAAGCGTGTCGATTCGATTACAGATGAGTCCTTTCTCTCCGTGAGGAGAAACAAGAGGCCTCGCATGTCCGCAATGGCTGGTCCATTCGGCTCGGGCGCGTCGCGCCGCATCGGTGAAGGGGTGGGTCGTCAATTTTTGCTAAACGATCACTTGTTCATAGTCTTCAGAGGGACCGATTGATTAGACGCAGTTCATTCCTTAGCGATGAAGGAGATACAAGCTTTCTTAGCATGTCTTCCAGTCGTTCTCGTATCCTGAGCGGGAGCTCTTCGTTTACAGCCGGCTCGAGATCGGACAGCCCCTTCTACCCCACCGACGCGCTGAGTGTGTCCTCTGCACATCAGCTTATGAGGACCATCTCCTCGTCCTCTCTTCACGAGATATCCAACACTCCCTCCTACCCAGAGTCCTCCGCGAAACACCACATGCAGAACAGCAAGATTACGATCAACTACACCCCACCGGAGGCGCCAGAGGGGATCACTGCTCGTCTCTTGGGATGTTCTGCCACCAACATCGTCGCGTTCGCACGTAGCAACCGCATTTACTTCACGAACCTGCACACGAACGGCCACGACGACATTACTCCGCTCTATAAGCTCTCCGACAACCGCGGCCACCTTCGTGCCCTTGAGTGGGGCGACAAGTCCCACCCCGATGTCCTGGCCGTTGGTACGAGCAAAGGCTTCATCCAAATATGGGATGTCAATACGAAGAAACTAACGACGACTCTGCCAACGACAAAAGACATCTCAGCGTTGGCCTGGAATGGACCCACTCTCACCATTGGTGGCGTCAAGGGAACAATCCGACATTATGACACGAGGATCACACCTGTCGAGAAGATGAGGGAACAAGCACGAAAGATTACCCGCCACCAAGGGCAGATTACCTGCCTCAGCTGGAACGAAGACGGAAAGCGACTGGCAAGCGGCGACGACACCGGTCTGGTGCATTGCTGGGAATATGGCCAGATGGTGCCCTTGAACGTCGGCGGGTTCGTTCAGCGGCGCAAGAAGATCCAGCACGACTCCGGCATTTCGGTAGGCCACTATCGCGTCTTTATTTCCTCGGTGCTAACATCCATTGATTTAGGCCCTCAACTGGAGCCCTTGGTCGTCCAACCTCCTCGCCACGGGCGACAAGAAAGGGTTCGTCCAGTTCTGGAACATCAACGCGGAGAACCCGCAATCCAACGCCGCCACTTCAAACAAACTGGAAACCAGGGCGGTCATCACAGGCGTACACTTCTCGCCACAGTGCAAAGAAATTTTAACGACACACGGGGCACAGATCGCTGGCTCTTCGGACTCGCAGGCGCCCCCAAAACCGGTCATGGAGAACTCGCTGTCTGTGCATTCGTATTCGTCCCTCCGGCATGTGGTCACGCAGAGGGTGCCCGCGGACAAGCCTATCAGCGAGAGCGTCCTCAATGCGGCGGGCACAAAGGTCATCTTCAGCGTCCCCGGAGAGGGCAAGATACATGTATGCGACGTGTGGACGAAGAGGAAGGAGATCAAGAAGCAAGCGAGTTTCTCGAGCGTGACATCGCTGCGCATTCGATGAGAGGAAGAGATGACATTGATGATACACACCTGGGACCTTAGTTTCATGGCCGCACTAGGCTCGGAAGGGGTCCCCATGAGATGACAGATGCGAGGGACTTTTTGACACTTCGCAAACGATATACACTTTGAGATATGAATCCAAGATATCGGTTATGATTCAGGCTTTGTACGACTAGTAACGAGGATAGCTTCTTTGTTTTTGGCAATAATATTTATTGAATTGTATTTGAACCGGTGTGATACCTCACTAGTGCACTACTGTGCTTAAGACCTGCTTTTTGAACTGGGTAGCCCAGGCGGAAGCCTGCCCACAACCCATACAATTACCAAACAATGGAAAGAGAAATATTTCCAGCCTTCGATGAATCAGTTCCCCTGTCCCATAACTTTCATGCCAAAGCCATCCTTGTTCACCATTTCTCATGTGCAGGGCGAACTAAGTACAATGTCAATTGAAAGAGGCAATGATCATCTGAATCGACTATGATTTCCAGAGATTCAAGAACAACTCACGGTCGAGCTCCCAAGTCCAAGCGGACCTGTCTTGGTTGACGAGGTACAAATACGACTGGCATATTGGATGTAAGAATGGAACAAGGGATGAAGACGAAAGATAGTTTACAGCTGCGATGCTATCGGGCTCCAGTCTGACCGAAGCGTCAAACTCTCCTGCTGGTCCGGAGGTCTTGGTTTGACCTGGACGATCAACCTTGATAGCTAAACGATAGATCAGTACCTGCAGGAATGCGTGTAAATGAGCAGGAAGACAAACAGCCGTCGATAATAGCCTTTTAACACGCCAGGACGCATTGTGAGTACTACGACGGAAGCTATGAAAAAAAGCGTACGTGGGCAACATGGATGTTCTGCTTATTGAACTCCTTCGCCAAACTCTGAGAAAGAGCCCTGGTACCGAACTTCGCAGCTGCAAATGCGCTCGTCAGTACGTTGCCTCGAGTGCTCGCAGTGGCGCCCGTGAAGATCAGCGCGCCGCGCTTCCCGTTAGGTTCCTCGATGTCATTGTCCTTGAACGCGAGGATCGCCCCACGGGAGAAGGAGAAGGCTGCGGCGACGTTGGTGTTCAGCGACTCTTGGACTTCCTGCGGAGTTATGTCGAGGAAAGGCTTCCAGACTCCGTACCCTACGTTGAAGAGTGCAGCACGGATAGCGTATTCGGGCTTGGGGAAGCGCTGGTGGATCGCATCCCAGGCTGAGGTGATGCCATCGTGCGTGTACGATGGGACGGTGAACGGTGCTGCCTGCAAGGATGTGAAAACGATTGAATATTCTATGGAAATGGGACCAACCTGGCCCCCAGACGAATTGATCTCGGTCGCAAGGTTGTTTACGAAGTCTCCGCCTCTGGCGATGAGGGCAACGCTATAACCGTTCTTCGCGAATAATCGTCTGTCTTTCTCGTTAACCAAAATGATCTGGTAAGTAAAGCTAAGCACATTACGCAGTAGATGCCCCAGTACCAGAGCCATTTCCGATGCCTAGGCACATTCAAGATACTTAGTTTAATAGAGGACCGAAGGAAGAACGCTGAAAATACATGCCTGCAACGACCAAAACACGCTTCGCGGCTTGAGAGGCCATCTGAAATGAAGTATATTCAGGCTGAATTGTGGGGGGTTTGGTAAGAGAAGATTGAAAGGTGAAACTTACAGCGACGCGTCCTTTATATATATGCTGTTGTGACGCTTTCTCAGCAAAGAGGCTGACGTCACCAACACAAGTTATTCGGCAAGGCCTGTTTTGCCGTTGTTGAAGTCGACTACTTCCCGTGTAGGTACAGTGTAGACTGACTCAAATACAGATGCGAGAGCTCACGTCTGCTATTTTGCCTAGATTTGTCCGAGAAAATCTACTAAGTATACTCACCAAATAGTGCGCATCGGACCGAGGTCGTGAAGGCTGGAGATAAGATAAGATTGAGTTGCACAGCCATCGAGTTTTTGTCAGGTTTATCTTCTTTTGAACAGCATCGCCGCGCCATCTTGTTCTGAATGATGCCCAGACGACGCCCCAAGTCACCTTGAAGGTACGTACTACGTTTCGTGATTTCCTACGAACGGATTCTCGTTCTAAGTCGTTGCTCTAGAGTCCAGGCGAACATATGCTAGACGATGCCCAGTTACTTAACGAAACACAAGCTACAATCTTCATCAGTGAGACACAAGCCGCCATCCAAGAGAATGCCAGCTATCACTCGCGTCTCTGTGCCACGATCGAGCTCCTGAAGGACGTACCTACTGCCTTTGCAAAGCAAGCTGCCTACGTAGCAGACCTCAAGAACGAGCTTGAGCAAGCCGAACGGAGGTTAGCAAACCGAGTGGAGGCAACGAAGAAGGAGAGGAAGGAACACGAAGCTATGCGGGACTCGACAGGGCGAAAGCTTGTCAGTCGACTGACCGGGAAGAAAGGAGCATGGGCGGAGAGGGCAGGAAAAGAGGAGCGGTGAGTGCCTCGCGAATCCTAAGGGTATTCAAAGACATTGGGCTGAGGGACGTTTTGACTGTGCAGACAATACGTCGAAGCGCTGGAGAAGGAAGTGAAGGAGCGCGAAAACGTTTCATGTATCCAGCAGATGCTTGATGAAGCTGAGAGCGCGGTACGTTACCGTTTGCTTCGTTCTTTTCGCCGCGAGCTTAAATCCCAATCGTCAAAGCTAGCCGATCTCTCGCTGAAGGCGAAGGATTTCGAATGTGCCCAAACAGAGCTCGATGTCCTATACACTCGCATCTTTGAGGGTCCATCTATAGGTGCGTACAATTGACGTGTCACCTACTTCACCTTCCTGTGCTCACTCACTGTGTACTTGGTATCAACCTTCACATAGATTTTCCGGAAGAAGATAAACTAGAGTATCAATTCTACGAGACGAAGAAGCACCATGAAGAGTTACAGAGTATCGTGGACACTGAGAACACTGTCGTCGATATTCTTGATCGTGCAAAAGCTGCCGCCCAAGAAGCACGAGATTTGCTCCAGGGAGCGAAGCTATCTTCAAACCTTGGTTAGTGCAGATAACGAACTCTTGTCGAAATGTTCTTGATTTTTAAATTTACGCCAATAGATCTCCTCCCAAATCGAAAGTAAGCCTCGGTTGTCGGTGTTGGACTGTCGTTCCTAAATTGTCCTGACTCTTGCTTGTCCACCAAGTGTCTCTGCCTCAAATCCCTTGAGAAGAGCTGAAATCAAAGTCGATGAAGCAGACACACTACTTAAGGAGGCTCTGAAGACCTCAGACGACGTCAGATATGTTCGTAAGATCGCAGTCCCTGGCAGGTGAGTCTTCGATCCGCTTATAGCGCGGATAATTTTGACAATGACCCAGATTATTGTATGGCGATGTCCTACTCAACAACGGGTACTGGAAGCCAGCTTTCGAAGGTATTTTCACACTTCCTCTACTCCTATTTTGTTCTTTGTTGAGTTTGGCGTTGCAGACCAACTAAGAAAATCGATCGCGCAAGCTGAGTTCGTTTCAAGCGAAGTGCGTCCCCACATGACAGTCACTTCTTCGCGTCGCCTTCATTATCATCGTTTTATCTTAGCTTAAATCCCAGCACACTACGGCTTCGAGACGCGCGGCCATAGCGATCGAAAGCCTCGTAGAGGTCGCACAGATCCTCGAAGAGCGTCGGAAGGCCCTAGCCGCCTGCAGGAGGGCTGCATTCGAGGAATGCATACAGGCACACCCTCCTCCACCCACATACCGCGACGTCGCATAAAATTGCCCTGGCAAACATGGTGACTACCGACCAGATGAGCGGTCTATCGTTCCACACCGAGGAGCTAAGAAATAGGGAAACTACAAGGATTGCAGTGCCCATCGCAAGAACGACGATCTCGATCTCTTCACTGTCAATCCCCTTTCACGTCCAACGAAAATGACAGTACCAATTGGTAAAGTTTATCAAGCATATGTCGTGGTCATCAAGAGAAAATTTATTTAATACACAAAAACCATCACAAGAAAACCCTCCTGCTTTCCCTCGCACTGGTCTCGATGGCGTCCAAGAGCCTCTTATGCTTCAACGCATCCTCGATCGTCGCATAGTGGCCATGTCCATCTGCGAATTCCCTCCATGCAGTCGTCGCCGAGTCGAGCGCGCCAGCTTTCTCAGCGCCTTCAACCTCAACCGGATTCCCATTCAAGAACAGCTTCGGCTCGATGATTCCAGGGGTCGATGCCTGCTGGTGGTCAGACTCCAGCCTGATGGAGCCCTCCTCTCCGTCTATCTCCCACAGGAATTGGCGGCGACCTGGCCCACTAGCGTACCCCGAGCGAAGGAAGACATTCGCGACGATGCCGGAGGAAAGGACGCCGGAAATGGAGAAGTGGTCGGGCGTCTCAGAGGGGAAAGTCTTTCCGGTAGGCTTTCCAGTCTCGTCGATGTAGGTGCCGGTGGGGAAAAGCGTTTCGATAAGAGCAGAGACGGAACTGAAGTCGCCTAGGAGGTGGGTAAGCGTGTCGAGCTGGTGTCCCAATGGGATGGTGAGCTTGTTGGCACCTGGAGAGTGAAGGCGATATATTTATTGACTTTGTGAAGATGGAGCAGAAATCCGCACCATTCTCCTTCTTCGACAGATAGGTCAATTTTTCGAACACGAGAGGTGGCCAGATGGAGATTTCTCTCCCAACGTGGGAGACCTGGACAAATGACGTCATGAATGAGAAATATGGCGACAGAAAGTCGCAACTTACGATGTGAGTTGAACGGACAGTACCTATAGCCCCAGCAGCAATCAACTCCCTAACCTATTCGCGTTATTTAGCGTGTTAGACGAAGTAGTATACGAATGAATTACACACCTTGAGGACCGCACGCGAGTGTCGACCTTGCAACCCGATCAGTGATTTGACACCCTTTTGCTTCGCCGCCTCTGCGATCTCCTCAGTTTCCTTCAGCGACGTGCCGGCTGGCCACTCAAGGAAGAAGTCCTTCCCTGCCTCGATGGCGGGTAAAACCAGCTCCTTGTGGGATGGCGCCTTGACCGAGACAGCAACGAAATTGACGTCGGGGTCGTTGGCAATCTGAGAGGTGTCGCCGTGGTACGCCTTGACAGGATGGCCAACCTTCTCCGCGTACTTTTGAGCAGAGGCTTCAGCAGAGGCGGTAGAGCTAGTAGAGACCGCTACGAGGTCGTACTTCGAATGGAGTGAGGGATCGGTGAGGGAAGGTCCGAGAATCTGTGCTGCCCAGCCCGCAGCAGAGAGACCCACGAATCCAACTTTGATAGGTGCTGATGAAGACATGGGGAACTATCTGTGGGGAAATCGATCGAGGGCTGGCGCTTTTATAGCGATGATATCAATAACTTCGTCATCTTTATGACACCTCGATTAGTAAGGTCAGCGCTTAAGGAAAGTGGAAATCGCCTGGCCAACACCCATGGGACCTACGGCGGCCTAGAGAGGTCATCGTCAAAGGTGTTCCTGGAGTCATTTCTGCGCACTTATTTCGCCACTACTCATCACTCAGCGGCGCGCTGTGACGCGGCGCACCGGCTGCCTTCGGCTGAGTCTTGCAACAGCCTAACCCGCTTCGAAAGACGGAGCTTTTGTGTTCACGATCTCCAAAAACGTGGGTGGAAATCACCCGGTGCAAGCGGCCGCCTTGATCAGTCAGTCTCATCCTAGGCAAACAGTCGAAAATTGGATCTCTCCTTCCAAGAAAAGTAATGGGACCTACTTCTCCCGGCCCGCTTCGTAAAATGTTGACAGTGTCGTTTGTGCGGTGTAGAATGATTGCCCGATAGCAAGCGCGGATTCCAGTCAAATACGGTGGGAAGTAAACAGCTCACCCCACCGTTTTAGTATCTTAGTCTACCCTGCCGCTTGGCTAGGTCTGAGTGAGTGTTCCTAGAGCCTATATACAGGCTATAAGATTTGTTCGAACGAAAAGGCCTAGCGCTCAGGAAAGACAGAGATTTTAGGGTCGACAAGAAAGGACCGAAAAAACGAGAGAACCGAACTCACTGACAAAATGCAGCGTGGTACAAGAAATGAGGCCTTTCGCAGTGGTATAATGACTAATACTTAGCTACCAACGGTGAAATAAATGTGGTGTCTATTCAACGTCGATCTTACGTTCAAAGTAGCAGTCCATAGGAACAATCAAGCAAGAGAGGAAGAGAACGGACTGAGTGGGGGGGTGTGGAAGAAGAGGAGGGCCTGGGTATTTTTGCTGTAAAGCAACGTAGGCGAATCTAATTCTTCTTGAAGAACGAGGGAAGGAGGTTTCCTTGGCGAATGCGGAATATATAAGTCAAGGTGAAGATCAGTATTGTCTATAAAACCAAAGCATGATCAACATTTCGACGGAGACGGCACGAAGACGAGGACAACGTACATTGAAAACCGAAAATCCAACGAGAATGCCCAAGTTACGCCAACGGTTCTCATAGCGGATGTTGAAACCGAGCTCGAGGAACTGATCGGTGGTGCGAATGCTGCAGAATTGACAAGCGCTCGAAGCATCGGGATTGGTGAGGTATCCCCCAGCAAAAGACATGTACGCAGCCATGTACTGTTGGCAAGTCAAGCCGGCCGGAGGGTTGATAGAAACGAATTCAACGGGGGAACAATTGACCTCTTGATGTCCGATAGCTGATGCGTGACGTTGAGCACGGAGAAGGAGTGGGATATCGCAATGAAACTCACCTTGGCCCAATAAACCCTCAATAAGATACGTAAAAGGCGAGACTCGATACATCCATTTCCACCACCCGAGGTGCACGTAAGGCTGGATAACACCGTTGCTAAGGCAAGAAGTCAGCTACGGTGCACTTGCTTACGACGCCTTTAAGTCTACTTACAACGTGAGAACGAGCGCATAGAAGAAAGAAAACAGAACAGCAGCAATCTCAGCCGTGGACGCCATCGCTGCTACAGCCTAATCAAGATAGACGGATTATTCAGCATTGATCAGTGGAGATCGAAGGCTACTACATACCTGACCGAAGGTGGTATAATAGCACGGGAAGATAATTGCCATCATGAGGTAGCTATATCCTGCCCTCGAGTTGGGGAAACCTATGGTCCAGTACCACGAAACGAACAGGAGTGAAGACGCCAATATGTTCCAGGGGATCTCAATGAGAATCTGCGAGATGACGAGCGCGGTCCAGCTATACATGCGGCTTGACCGTTCGCGAATCTCGTAAATCTTGCGCATGTTGATGAACGGGACTTGAATCTGGTTGGCGAGCGGTACGCTAAACCTCTCGTCAGTCGCGTTAATCACAGGGGAAGAAGAGATGACACACCATAAGAGAGTAGCCATGAAGATTGCCTGTCAAACGATGTATAAGGCATCCATTCGAGCACAGGGAATGAAACGTACGAAGAGCTTGTTCTGAGTGCCCTGTTGGCTATCCTTGGATTTGAAGAACGTCAACCCGATGAAGAAGCCTCCGACACCCGAGAGCACCAGCTTGGCAATGAGGTACGTCGGATCGCGCCAGTGAGCCTCCGCGTCGCGCTTGAACAGTTCCCATGCCTGATAAACCCAAGAAGTTGCGAATTCAGAATGGAAAGTGGCCTCGACAGCAGGTCGGTTGCGACCCTCGGCGTGAATGGCTTCAATCTCTTCCAGACCTGCCTTCGCCTCTGGGGACGACTTCCAGATGGCATACCAATCCTGCTCGCTGGTCGCAGTGGCACCAGCACCGATGACGTCGAGCATGTATTCAGCCCTGAGTGAAGAAAGTCATCGGTTTGAGGGTAAAGAAGGTATGAAAGAACGTACGGGTTTTCCTCTGCACCACATGTACGGGCACCGTTCTTCTGGAAGTAATTGATGAGGGTGGTGGCATGATGTCCCAGATCGCCGAAGTAGACTGTCTGTCCGCCCTTCCTTAGGAGCAGCATACGATCAAACACCTGCAAGGATGGAATCATGTGAGTGTGAAAGGTCGCTCAATTACACACTTGGAACAATTCAGCGGAGGGCTTGAGGGAGGACGTCAGTATGTAAAGAAAATGTTATGAAAGGTCTCCTCACTTGATGGATCCTATAGATTCGAGTCAATCAGGATGAATCTAAGCAACAGAAGAAAGTACCCACGTGCACAAAATAGCCTGTCCGCTATCCGCGAGAGTCCTCAAAAAAGAAATAATAGCCCAAGCGCTCTGAGAATCAAGGCCAGAGGTAGGTTCGTCCAAGAACAGAAGAAGCTTTGGCTACGGGACAGCTTCAGTCAAGGCATTGATGTCCAAATTTAAGCACATTACCTTGGCTGCGAGCTCTACGCCTATCGTCGTCCTCTTACGGTGCTCAATGCTCAAAGAACCGACAGTCGCATCCGCGTAGTCTACGAGGCCACACATTTCGAGACACTTCTCGACACTGGCAAAATGATTACGTTCATCAGCATACAAAAGCCGACGGAAAAGTAAAAACACTTACTATGCCTCCTTCTCTTCGAGAGGTACGGAAGGTGGCTGGCAGAGCTTAGCTGAGAAAAGAAGCGCCTCACGAACGGTGTTGAATGGAACGTGCGTATCCATCTGCTGGACATATCCACTGTTCATCGGAAAGTGTTCAGCGAAACAACTCGATAGCGTCGACAACAAAGGTAGAACGTACGTCTGTGACTGGAAATCAACCGGCAAAACCTGTCCATTGACAAACCTCTCGCCAGTGACGACACCAATGTCTGTGCGCATAGCCAAGACGTTGAGGAGCGTCGTCTTGCCTGCCCCCGACTCGCCCATGAGGGCGGTCAGCTTCCCCGGTGCGACGTACCCAGAGACGTCCTCGAGGAGCTGCCTGTCGGTTTTGCCAGGGACAGGAACCACGTAGTTGATGTGTTGCCATGAGAAGACGTCGGTCATCGTCGGTGCTCCCTCCGTGGTATAGGAAGCACGTTCGACAGCCCGAGCGGGTTTAGTCTTCTCATGGCTCGCATTTGCATCTACCACGGTCCCACCTTTCTCTTCGTCACCAGCTTTAGACCTTGCAATATATTTGAGCTTTGTACCGCGTTTGAAACGGACAGTGGAGGTGTCAGTTGCCAGTCCTGTGTTGAACTCCGCAAATAGGAACAGAGCTATGAGGAAAGCCAGACCGAAGACGAAGACGAGGCCGAGGTTCTGCGTACTTCAGAAGAGATCGGAACGAACTGGGAGAGACCAAACATACCTTCCAGGTGTTGCTCCAATAGAACTCAAATGCGAGCGCCAGGAATCGACTACCGTTCACATCCGGCTCGCCGGGCAGCGACCCAACGGTGGTGCAGACTTGGTTCTCCAGCGTGACATTCTCGTAGCCAGGACCTTGAGGCACGAGGTTGGAGCATAGCCCGTTGAGTGTCCGGAACTCATTCGTCATGATCGCCTCGAATCCATATTTGAGAGGCTAAAATGGTAAGAAGCCAGGGTAAGATCAGTTTGTCTGCTCTACGAGGTAGCTGCCGAGGGGGCAGGGAAAGCCTACATTGATATAGGTAATCCAGCGTAGAGCGCCGACCATAGTTGGCTTCGGAATTGTATAGCCTATGCGTGGGGTCAGCTTAGTTGAACTCATGGCTCAAATGGGGGGCACTAACCTGTGTAAATAGCCAGGGCGAGAATTGAGACTCCAGCCATCGTCTGAGCGGCAGCTTCAGACTGGAATGCAGCTGCGATGGCGCGGAACCAGGCTTTCATGACAAGAGCCATGCCAAAAACAAAAAGCAATAGCACGCTAAGAAAAAGACATCAGTTAATCAGCCGTAGTTATAAATCCAATGTAACTCGCAAGAATTGATCCTACACCCAACAATAAGAGCGCCAGTAAGCACCAAATCCTTTTAAAAATCAGAAGGTCTCTAAGAGAAACTACTTACAACGCCACTCTGCAACCCGGCCATCCAATAGAAAATAGAGCCAAATATCAAAATCGTGACGAGCGTGATTGGGAAATCGACCAGAGTTAACGCCAGCGACTCGACGAACGGGTGGTACAGCGCTGCCTTCTGGTGCCGCAGGACGATCGGGCGTTGTGCGTACAGCGAAGGAATCTCAGCCATTGCGGACAAGGCGGAGAAGAGGAGGACGCTGCAAATTGTGGAAGAGGGGCGTTAGTGAGACTCAGCGTAAAATAAAATAAAATCGAAGATAAGACGCACAAGTAGAGCGCACCGCCGCGCGAGAAGTACGCGCTCGTCGCTTCGGGGAGCTGCAAGAAGAGGGTACCCATGATAATTGCCTGGAAGACAAAGGAGCTGCGAATGTTGCGTTAACCGATTGGTCGAATATCGTGTGGGATAGCAGGAAAAGGCACGTACAATAACGTCAACCCCGTGGTTAGGCTGTTGCCCATGAGGATATGGACGCGCCGGGACATGACGGCCTTGACTTGTTGTGGGATGTTGAGCAGGTACGGGCTACACAGAGAAGGAATCAGGTCTTGTTTCATCAACACGCGAGTCGAACGTACCTTTTCGCGTAAGTCAGCTGTGCAAACTCCGCTCGCGCACTTTCGACATACGCTTCCTTCTTCTCAGGCTGGTCAACGTGCTCTGCGAGGTAGGCCTGTATTTCCGCCTTATTCTTCTGTGCAACGTCTGACTTGAGGAAATATTCGGCGAACTCCTCTGCTGTGCGGGGCTGCTTTGTGTATCCTTCTCTCGCTATGCGCGCGGTGGGGTCAGTCACAGCAACCAGGAAGTCTGCTGTCGTTTGCCTGTGTGCCGGCTCGTAGCCCATATCGATGAAATACTGTCGAGCGAGGTTGGCGGGTCCGAAGTACGCCATGCGGCCCTCGTAGATGACACAGACTTTGTCGAAGTGGTGATAGAGGGCTTCGCCAGCTTGGTAGATCGACACAATGGCAGTCTGTTCGAATGCATCTGTCGCGAGGCGTAGAGCACGCACGAACTCAAGAGCCGTGGAAGAGTCGAGGCCTCGGGTAGAACTGGGTTATTTCAGTCACAGCATAAAAATAGAGGAAGTCAGAAGCCTCACTTGTCCCATGCGCCAATGCAGCTCCTCGCCGCAAGCGACTCTGCGATCGACACGCGCTTCCTCTGGCCCCCACTCACACCTCGCACCTGCGCGTCCCCGACTGGCGTCCCCATCACCTCCTTCAGCCCGAATATTGTCGCCAACACATTTGTCGCATAGTCTACGAAATCCTCCCTCGAGAACCCAGCGAAGCGCTTTGCCGGTGTGCGCGTCGCAACGGCGAATTTGAGCGTCTGCTCGACTGTTAGGCGGGGGAAGTGAATATCGTCCTCAGGGCAGTACTGCACGTCGCCCCGGAAGTGTGTCGCAAGGTCGTGCGGTGTGAGGGAGTCGTAGTGCACGGCTCCGTTGACGGCGTGGTACTCGGACCGGTGGTTGGCTAAGGTCTTAAGGAGGGTGGTGCAGCCCGAACCAGGGCGTCCGAGGACGACTACAGACGAGTTGATTGCAGACAAAAGATAAAAAAAGGATCAACTCACGTAGCATCTCTCCAGGCTTGACTACTCCCTCGAAACCAACGAGGATGTCGCGCACAGTGGGGTGGCGACGTTTCTGTACCGTTTCAAAGATGGTTAAGGGGTTCAATGCGGAGCCGAGCGTCGGTTGGAATGAATCCGAGGTACCCAGACCAGTGACATGCAGGTTTTGGAAGACCACCCCGAGTGTACGGTGCTTGATGTCGTGTTCTTCATACCTAGAAAGTGTTCAAGATACGCAGCTAAGTAGAAAGGTGTACCACTTACTTGCGAAGGACGTGGCGAAGTGTCTTCTCGAAGTCGAACGCGCCATCATCGCTGATACGCAGTGTAGCGTCCGAGACCATCGACGCGACTTCCTGCATCTCATGCTGCTCCTCCTGGCGCTGCAGTGACATGGTACGTCGCAGCTCTCGCACTCCAGCCGGATCGAAGAACCCGACATCGACATGGGAGACTGAGGAGTTGCTTCTCTGGCGCTTGTCATGAGAGGAGTGCATGAACGGAGGGGGGTCCTCAGCGATTGCCTTGAGAGGCGTCGACGGATGTGTGTCCGACATGGTGGTAGACATGCGTTATTCGCTGGCAGTTCTATTTGAATGCCGCACACCAAGGCGATCAGAAGATGAAATGGCATGATTTTGTCGGCACCCGCAGTAGGGGCTGGTGTTGACTCAGGCGATTTGACGTGAGCAGTGTAAATATGTGCGCCCGTAGATAAGACCGTTGGACAACGGAGACAGATGATCGCCGCCGATGCATTGTTTTGTGGGTCGGAGACATACTTTGACCAGCTTTTGAGGGCGATCAGATCGCGGTCGTCTATGTATATATGATGGAAAGGAAGGGACCTTGAAGCTTGGAGCTGGAAGGGAGGCTTGAACCTGATTGTCAACAGAATTGTGTAAATGACTGTCAGAAGCCTGGATGTAGAAAAACCGTACAGGGCGTTCGTCCAACACTGTCTCGCACAAGAGCCAAGAACCCAGGCGTTTGTGGTGGTCGTCGCTATGTAACTCGAAGTCGCGATGTAAGTATATTTCGTTCCAGATAAGAATCATGATAAGCAGGCCAACAAGCCAATTAGGTATTCTTCGAAGTTCAATCTCAAGCTTCAAGAATATCGTCGGATTGAAGGGGCTGATCGTTCAAATTGGACGAGAATTTGACGAGACAACAAGAAGCTGGGGATTCGGCGAAGTGGTTATCAAACGCTAAATGTTATTGGAATCGAATCACGTGGTGCAGTAGGAGCAGGCTGCGGGCCGGAAACAAATTGTATCTAGCATCGAACTCTTAACTATGAGCATACCAGAGGGAATTCAATCTACCTTTGATCTAGCTACTTCGGAAATGCGAAGGACCGGCCATCACATGCACATCTAACAGACCACATTTTTTCTGCGCCTGTTGCTTGTTGCCCCAACACTCTCTGATATTCTGTCAACGTCTTTATATCCATTTTGAATCCTCCATCGACGATGAATGCTACAGTATGTGGAAGCTTCTCCTTGGTTCCAACAAGTTTGCTGAAAAATGCGCGATGGTATGCAGGGCATAGCGTGGTCGAGCAAGCTAGCTCGACGAGGAATCTATAATCATCTTTGCAAGATCATTCAAGGAAACTATTTCCCGTATTATTCCCAAGACTTACTTACCAGTAAATTTAAGTAGCGTATCCATGCTCAACTCGTCGGGCACGCTGATCGTCCGCACCCCTCCCGGCCACTTGAGCGCCTTATTAAGGACCCTAACAGCTGGTTCTGAAGCGCCCAATGAGCTGGACGCCTTCGACTGCAACGCGACACTAGAAAAATGCGCCAAGTCCAAGCCGAACTCCTGATTGTGAACGATATGCACGCCGTCCGGTAATGCCGTCTCGACGCTGTTGAATCTATTGTTCAGCAACATCGACCAGTAAAAGCAGTCCGAACCCATCGTCTCGAGGGTGATAATTTGGACTTCGAAATGAGGATCAGTATCTTGAATCTTATTCTCCCAACTTGCTTACCGCTTTCCCAACCAACCACCCTCGAAAATTCCTCCGAGCAGGCCACCGCCCCCGACGCTGCAGAAAATGGCGTCAGGCTGCCTTCCCGTAAGTTGCCGTTTGACTTCATGGATCATCGAACTATGACCCTCCCATAGCACAGGGTCGTCGTAAGAAGGAACCATCACCCTACAAGCACACGTTTGAGCCTCGTTAGTGATTCTGTCAAATAAGACTTACGCCTCGGATTCTGTCTTCACAAGCTCCTTCGCCTCCTTCAACGCCTCCGCATAAATTCTTCCACCAACCACAACCTCTGCCTTCTCCCTGTTTAACAACCCCAGTGTGTTGTCCGCGGCACCATCGGGCAGGAAGACGGTGCATCGAAAACCCAGCGAACGCGAGACGCACGCAGCGGCCAGCCCGGCGTTTCCACTTGAGGCGATGACAAGATGGACGGAGGGACCGCGCTCAGCCTTCACCTTCTGGATGAAGCGCGAGATCCCGCGGTACTTGAACGAGAATGAGGGATGTACGTTCTGTGATTTTTAGTAAAGTCTGTCAGTTCAATGTACCAAGTTGATGCAAGGTTGACCGCACCTCGAGCTTAAGATAGACCGAAGCGCCGGTGATTTGGGACAGGTGTGTCGAATAGATAAGAGGAGTCTCTTGCCATAGGTCCTTCACCATCTCTGTCATACCAGTGGGATTCGACAATTAGGTAGTGCTAAGAAGGAGGGAGATAGGCTTTGAAATGACTCACACACTCACTTTTATCTCATCGCTTCGAATTCGGAGTGGCTGAGTCCCCTTATGGATGAACTGAAGCTACGTTGACCCAAGGCTCACACTCTCTTCAAGGTCGGAGTGGAATAAGACTAGTTTCATCCTTGTATTTGCGCATAAAAGGTGGCATCCTAACTTCAAAATTCTGGTTCTAAAAATATGACATTAAACGGAACGTCGAGGACATGGGTGTAGAGCACAGCATCTACCTCGTCTAGATGTCTTGAATGAAATGAAGCGCAAGTCTAGAACTCCTCGCACACAGGATGATCAATAAGCGATGATTAAGACCGATGTTCACTCCTTCGGCTCGGGCGTCGCCCAATCGATGGCGGGATGTTCAAAAGCTCCGCCTGGCTGTCCAGCGACGACCTCAGAGTATGCAGTGTCTCGTCGAACCCTGCAAGGCGTCTTGGCAGATGCAACTCCCTCCCCTGCCTCGCGTCATCGAACTGCCTTATGTATGCGCGGATGTGCACCTGCACGATGCGCCCGTTCGGAAGGTTTTGGCTGCGCACGAGATACGTCTGCAGCTCAGTGTTGAACTCGTTCAGCTCTTGCAGGAGAGAGCTGTCAGCGGTGAGCGGTCGCGAGGTGACGGTCTGGAAGATGAGCGGCCGTACAATGTCCCAGAGCTTGTCTTTCCAACCGACTTTCTTGAGGTAGCCCCTGAAGGTGATGAGGAGCTGCCATTTACATGCTGAATGAAGTGACATCAGTGTCGAGGGAAAAATAGAGAGCGAATAAAAGTATTTGTGCACCATCTGTAAGCAGCAAGTAATTCTGGTTCTTCATAAAAGGCACAGAAAGCTTGATTCCCGACCCAGGCAAGGCGTCAAAAAAATCCCAAACTTTCAAGTGTGGTTTTGGTTCGACGATTTCATGGTTGACAATCCGTACAAAGAGCTCCGTCCGCTTATGAAGGAGCGGCGGGTGCAACTGAGGGTTATTCATAACCAACTGGTCCAGGAGCAAAGCGGCCTTAATGTCCGCGTAAATTTCCTCGTCTTGCTCCTTCCACGTATCCTCAACGCTATCCAACCCCTGCCGTGTCATCTTCCTGAGTGTCTGTAAACTGGTTGAAGGGTAAATTTCGCGGAGGGCGTGGTACAGCCCTGTGATTGCTTCACGGCTATGCACGTATGTTCTTGCCAGCCACGCGAGACTACGCGGGACGTCGCGGCTTTCTTTTGCCTCTATGGTCGAAAGGTCAATGAGGCGCTCTGTTTGCCAGGCCGTGTCAAAGGTGAGCCAATCGGTCAGGCCACCTTTGGCGAGTTTCTCGAGGAAGGCCTTCTTGTGCGCCAACACGTCGGAGTTGGTCGTAAATTGAATGAGGCTGATGAAGATGCGGGCAAGCCAAAAGGCGAGAACGGAAAATAAACGCGCCGGTGGTGACTTGTAGGGACATTGGTGGCCTCGCAAATCTTTCTCGCTGATGAATATTGACTGGAGCGCTGGCAACGTTGTGGTGACAACCGCGAAAAAGAAGACGATTCCAATCGGGATGATCTGAATCAGGGTGACGGTCCCGTTCAACATCCAAAGGAATTCAGTCATGCCCCAGAAGAACAGACCGACAGCAAGTTGGAGTAGGACGGGTAGGAACGAGAGCATCGTTGGTACGCCCCAATAATGGAATCCATCGAAGCGCATTTGCCGCAGGGCAAAAGCCTCCTTTGGACCTAGACGGGCATCGCGCTCATACTCCCGAATCCATTGCAGGCATGTAATGCCGACCAGGACCGTGATCAAGGCAAGTGTGAGGCTGAGGAACATGACGGAGTTCATTCGGACGGCGACAAACGGTGGATTGGAAGAGGCAAACAGGTCAGGGAGGGTGGAATTCTGGAGACTGGGAAGGGTGGCATTGTGGACAATATCTATTTGTGTTGCAATGTGGTATAGGATCTGGTTCTGCAGATCGGCCGTGTCTGGCTTGAGCAGAGTATATGATACCGCGAGGAAGGCGACCACAGTGGCAGCGAAGAGTCCAGCCTGTGAAATTATACATCTCAATGAGCCTCATATTCTGTTACCGCAGAAAGCGAAGACGACGCACAAAGGTCAGGATCTTATCTATCTCTTCCTTCCATGCCAAGCACATCCCCTTGTCATGCTTTCTAGCCAATTTGTAGCACGTATCCCAGGGGTCATTCTCGCGCTTATCAAGCTCGTGTTGGAACAGGTCTCCACTTTTCCAGGGCATGGTGTTAGGCTATTTATATGATATATTCAGTACTGCAACGGGCCGGGAAGGGTAAAACGGAATCCCACCTGCAATCGCTCGATGGAATAACTCCTTTTCTTGAAGCGGATTAGCACAGGGGAGTCAGGTGCTTCCGGAGCTGAGGGTAGTGCATCCTCCTCATCGCTGATATGACTAACGAATGTCGCCGGCGCTGTGGATAGAACGGGTGGGAGGAGATGGAAATTGGCCGATTCAGACGATGCTGTCCTTGCGATTGGGCTGCTTGCGCCACTAGTGCCTATCTTTGTGAAAGAAGATTCCGAGAGGACGGGACTATTGATGGTGTCAAATGAAGGTCTTAAGGTCTGTTGGTGAGAAGCGTCAGTTCACACTCAAGAAATGCACGAAGTGCGTGGAGAGTATCCTCCTTACAGGGCTACCATTCCGATGGCTCCTTGACGATCGGTTCCGGCGTAGAGGGGTTGATTCCATGATGAATGATTAATGAGAAGAAGGGACACGACTCATACGAGACTGAATATATAGCTGCACTCATGAAACAGAGAGGGAGGCTGGGATAGTTGGGGAGCATCGCCTCGAGGTGTAAAGAGGCTTGAAGTGGCTGCACAAATCGGTCATCGACGAATCAAATACAGATGAAAGTGGCCTTGCATACCTTTGCTCTGCCAAGAACTTTGAGTCTTATGGCGGTTGATGCATACCTCATACGAATGCACCGCCCGCCATGCACCGTAAGCAGGGGTCAGATTGACAATCATCCCGCCTGTATCGATGATAAGACAAGTAAACCCGGAGTCGAAAAATGTTGCAGCAGAGAGTGGCATTCAGCAGCGACGACCAGAGACATACGCCCTTCCATTTGATTTCCTTCACTTTGTGACGACATGTAAGGCTCGCGAGGTGATAGTAAATCGATTGGGACCAGTCATGATGTAAGTAGTTGGAGTTGGAGTTGGAGTCGCACTGGCGGAATTGAATATGATTAGGGCCGGAACCCGGCCCGCCCTTCAGACTTCAGACTTGGTCTTTGCCAATCTTGAATATTTAAATAGAGGTTATTTACACCTCGAATATTCCTAGAATCGCGCAAACCTCATTGGCTGAAGGAGGCCCCAAGCCAATCGGATTCACGGATTTGTGGAGCCCTCAGAACTGCAAATAACCTCTAATGGCGAGTTGCTTGCCACTTAATTCAAAGTTTCGAACGCATTTATGAAGGCCTGGATCTTCCCCAAGCCAAATACGAAGTGTCTTAACGGCCGGCTGTATGCTCAGAGGAGAATCGCCTCCATCGCACCTACTTATTAGGCTCTCGATATGGTAGTCCAGAATGTTAAGCGACAGGAGAACGCGGAAAGCTGCTCACATTTTTGGGTTCATCTGGGATGCAGAAGTGCAGGTGCACAGTCTTGTTGGAAGACTACAAAGCAGGCTCACAATTAGGCGCCATTATTCGAGTGGCTGTGCACGCCCAGTGCAATCCCGAAACGATGTATGAATAATGAAGAAGGCTGACGGGCATTTACCTACTCTATCTAGGTAGCTCCAAATAATATGTAGGCTAGTCCAAGGGCCAGGAGAGACGAAACGTAGAGGAAATAGCGAAGGAATGAAAGGGAGAGCGTAGAGCATTCTGGGGTAGTGGCAGATGTCTCAACCCCTACGGATTTGTACTTGAGTGTCTCTCTTTCCTTCTCCGGCACTACAGCATATAAACATCCTTGAGGTTCCAAGGAAGACGGACAGAACTTTCAAGATGAATTAGCTAATATATTTGAACAGAAATACATGTCGTACTCACCTTATCGAGGTAAGCATTCGCCGCTTTTCGGGTGCGTCTCGATCGGTAAGGGAACAGAATGGATGCTTCACGAGGTAGAAACGGCTTCGAAAGCACTTCCGTCAGCTCATCTGACTTCTTTGCCTTCCGAAGGGTACGACGCAGCAAGTCCAGAGTCCAACGGTATTTCGCACGCTCTGTGAGGTATCCCCTCATCCTGTCGATTCCAAACGAATACATGATCAGGCTCGGTTGGTGGAAGCTTTGCGGAAACACATAAGGTTTCCACATCAGCGCTTCCGGAAAAGTTTGGGCTTTGGTAACCTTCCCACGTCGGGACGAGGTCGTTCGCATTCGCCATTGTATCCAGGGCGAATGCTTGATTTATCAACCCAGTTTGCGTTGGATGCAGAGCGATGCACTGTTTGGACACCGCAGCGATGCAAGTAACGGATGCAGGAGATTGCGACGTGGGCGAGTCGAGAAGACAAAACGGGTTCCGGGACAAAGCTTTGAGTCGCAGTGGGAGCTCCGTATATCGCCCCCAAAGGCTCCGGAGCACGAGCTTTCTCGTAAAGTTTTGGGTGGCGGAGCAACCTGTAGTGGTCATTGTCCCACCTAACGTCGGTCTGGTCTAACCCAAATATACCTGAGCATAATGTCGGCCATGGCCAGAAAGAGTTATCCACAATGGGTTTATTGGTGGAACACAGTGCCATCCGTTTGGCTGGAGGCGGGTCGTATTTGAACGGTCTCTGCAAAATAAACCAGACGGTGCTGATGAGATGGAATTGTTCGGAGCCGGTGCGAGCCTCAATATGAGACAAGACGTGGTCTCGGAAAAGCACAACATGGTGGTGATAGAGCTCATGTCGTACCTGAATGGGATTATCAGCAAAGGTGGCTTTATAGCTATTACAAAATGCGTACCGTTACCTTGAGGTATGCAAAGAATTGCTCTGCGCTTTCGAGTTGTGGGTAGGAATGACATTGAAGATCAAAGTACTGGAGAAACAAAAAATCTTCAAGGTCGTGTTCAAGCTCAGGGGTAAATAATGCTTTATTCAGATGGTCTGTCAGATCATAGATGGATGAAGGGAATAACAGAATTCAGGGGAGATCCTGTCAGGTTCACATTGAGGTGGTCGAAATTAATGACTGGAATGCGCGCACCACTTCGTTTGAAATATCTCATCACCGATCGGGCGATTGCTGTGTGGGCCTTTCGAACATCAACATAATACTCCTTCGACCGTGACTCGGTAAGCAGAAAATCTAGGAAGGAGGAGTGAGGAAAGATGATATTTGTGCCCCGGTTGGACTTCCTGGCCTGAACCTCTAGAAGCGAGCACAAATTAGAAAGAGCCATGTCAGTGTCACCGTCTTCGAATTGAGATCAACACGGCGTCGATGGCTTTCAGTACGTCCGTAGTCCAGTGAGACTTCATTGCATGTGAGTGGACCTCGGGCTCGATAGCCACGAACACGGCTAGAATATTCAGGATCAATTCTTTATCAGGTACAGAGGAGAGAATGAATATGTAGAGAGTGTCCAGTTCAGCAAAAGGGAGATCATGGCTGATAGGTGGGCGGAGCTCGAAGACAATATCCAGGCGCCTTACGGGCGAATCGCGTGCAAAATTGACGAAACGAATGACAAGAGAGGCATAAATGAACTGCCCCGAGGCCTTTCTCACAAGCATAATGATTTTATCTTTTCCAGGCCAGGTGGAAGGAATGCTTGAGCGAAAAGGGTGGGTCATCACGATATCGCGAAATTTGTCTTGAAGAAGCCTGCGAATATCCTTGTCAGGACAAAAGTCCTTGTTGAGCTGGAGGTGGAAGACAGTGGTCCGTAGGCCAGCCTGCACAAACGCAAACTTGAGGTGGGTTTTTGGACGACTCGCGATCAAGAATTTGAGTGGGAGTTGGTACCGAGTAGCAGAGGAAGAGAGAAATTGGACTAATATAATTTGTGCTTCTTGATCCAGGCACTCGTCCAAGCCATCGATAATGATTAGAGGCGGAAGAGGCTTTTTTAAGAAATGTCCTTGTTCTGAAAGAATGTGAAGGGGATCGAGGACGAGCTTTGTGAATTGAGTCTCCAGCGAAGATGAGAGAATGAGGGGGTCGTTCTCGATAATGGTTTCGATTAACGCCCGGGCAGCTGGGACCTCACAAGCCACTCGATAGGCAATACTGGGGGAAAAGGTCTTCATGGTGTTGCGCCCAGAGCTTCGGCGGAAGAAGAAGAAGCTGGCGAGCAGCAGACTATGGGTGACACAGAGTTCGGCGATTGTGCGAGCAATGGCTGACTTTCCTGCACCCGCAGGGCCATAGATCCACATAATGAAGGCCTCTGTATCGATCTTGTTCGTTACCCAGTCCATGATTTTTTCGATGACAGCGACTCTCGTGTTCTCATGGCATTGTGGTGCATCGACACGGCTGTCTGAGTCGTGGAAGGCGTTTGCAGCCACTGCATTTGTGAGCAGTTCGAACCCTTGAAAGTACGTGTCATCATAGATCAGCCCATGGTCAACCGCCAACCCTGTCCTCACCTTTCGCTCCACTATAAATTGTCTGATGAGCCGTGTACACCGTCAGCGTTGAATTTTAGATAGAGGCACAAGAACTTCCTCCAAGTATGCTCGCCATCGGTCACTATAGCTTTTAGAAGGATGAACGATGCTTGTTTTGGTAGGGTTAGGTGGGATTTTATGACGACACACAGCCAGATGTTCAAACTGAAATGCGAGGAAGGGAACCAAGATTCCGTCCGGCCGCGGCATAGGCATGACAGATAATGTGACAGGTACGTGAGGTCACTGAGGTGTGACGCAACGCGAAAGTGAACGTCGTGCGTTCTCCACATGTCAGCATTTCCAACCAGGTTGTGCTAGTGACCTGTTGGTTTCCTACGTTTTCAGACACTCGAAAATGACTTCGAGTCCCAATCCTCCTCCACCCTATCTCTCAGACCCCGTCCTGCTAGAGGAACTTTTCCGGAACAAAACGTTGGACGACTCGAGCACGAGTGCGACGCGGCCGATGCGCAACTACGGCGTTATGTGGAGCAACTGCTTCATACCTGCGACGACCGCGTACCTAATGCACTCGTGCATTCCGTACTCGCCTGATTATCCTTTGGCTAACCACTTTCTCATCGCGGGAAACTGCCAGTATCGACGGTACAAGAGGCGGAAGATCAGGCTTGTGAAGGCGGGTGCTGCGAGGAAGGACGTAGATGACATGTTGGAATACGGACTGCGGTAAGTCGAGCTCTCCGTTCCCCGTTCCTCTATCTGAAGATCGTATCTCAAAGACTTGCTGTAGGGATAGATGGTCCCATGAACAATAATGCCGCTATGCGTCTGTTCAGCGACGTTCACCATGGGCCCTTTCCCACCGAAAAACGTGCCATTGCCGCAAGTCTGATCGCCTTCCTCCTTCTGCACGGGGAGCCACCAGCTCCTAGGCATATCTATGTTCTGTAGGTATTTGAATGTCAGTCGCAACCCTGGTGCATGTTTTATCTCATCGGAGATTCAGAAGGCATACTTGTCTTATCTCATTGGTAGAGATTGAGACGCGAAATTACCCACCCTAAAGTGCCATGAAGCCACGAAGTTCGAACAAAGGCCTGCGCTCGTATGAACGTAACCATCACCAACATTACAATTGCGACGATGTCCGTTCCATTTCTTCCTCTTCAATGCTTACCAGTATCAAAATCAACCTCCGAGTCACCTAGCGAAGATGACCCGGGCGGGCCGTCTTTCATTGGCACGCTGGACGACGACATTCTCTGGTCAATATTCAAGATCAACGCCAACATGAAAGGAGACATGCCTGGACGACCAAAAGTCCCTCTTTCCCAGTGGAGGCCGCGCGCATTGACAGCGACCCTGGCCTGCTCTCAAGTCTGCCAGTCTTGGAGGGCAATGGTTTTAAGGTCGTCGTCGATATGGGCTGGGCTGATCGACATCGATTATCTATTTCGACTCAAGCTCGATGGACGCGAGGAGATTCTGGGGCGGATTGGAGGCGCGTTGATATCGGTCAAGGGAACAATCCATACCGCAGAACAGAGGGAGTTCGTGCTTCGCCTCTTACGCGAAGAGTGGCACAGGCTGCAAAACTTCAGTATCAGGATTTCCGACCTGGAGTCCATTAACGATCTCTTCTTACAAGACGATTGGGCTGTGCTCTACACGCCTTCTAAATCCCTTCAATCGTTTTCCTTCTTCCCCGAAAATTCCAATTCTATTAGGAGTTTTATTGGACCTAGCACCCTGAACATCTTCGGGGATGAAGCGCCTCGGCTAGATTCCTTTTCCTTTCGCCCAACCTCGGCATTGAAATTCACAGGGCGGTGGTTTTCCAATTTACGCGACTTATACATCGAAGGAACGTATACCGGTACCGAATCCATCTTGGGCTGGCTCGAAGCCCTCAACAGGATGAATCATCTGGAGCGCCTCAGAGTGGCGTACGCGATTTCAGTCCCAGCCGACATCACATCACCCCTACCCATAGCGCAACTTCCATTCCTTCACACTCTTGTTGTGCATGGTCGTTCGATTCTCGAGGTCGCCCTGTTCTTGGACCACATATTTCCAGGACAGGGATGCGGTTTACGTTTGTGTACGCAGGACACCCGCACGCCATCTCTCACTGACCCGTTGTTTCCCCGGATCAACGCATCCTTGTCCAGGTTCTCCGAGAATTGGTTTGGCCATGCACGCTGCCTAGGAACAATCTACCTTTCTTCTTCACGCAACCATCTATCCATCAGCCACAGCGAGATGCCATCCATCGCCCGAGATCCACTGTTCGAAATAATAATCCACCACGGAAGCCACCGGCGGGATGTCGACTTCTTTCTCTCTTTCCTCCATGCATTCTCTTTGTGCGATTTCAGTGGAATCACGAGAATGGTGATCCGCGGTCTGGAGAAGGACCAGATGTCCACTTCCCACGTACAGAAGTTCTTGAAGGCTTTCTCGAACGTCGAGATTCTGAAAACGGGGCGTCCAACGCTCGGCCCTCTTATTTTTTCTGATAGGAAACAAGGTGATAAACATGTTGTTTTCCCAAAGCTCCGCAAACTCGTTGCCCATGGTGCGCTTTTCCTGACACAACCGCCATTGGAGGATTCATGGACGGAATTCCTCCAATGGCGCAGAAAGATTGAACATCCAGTACCAATTCTGGATCTCACGAAATGCAGAGAGGCGTTCCCTCGCGAGGTATTGGAGGCCGTACGAGGTTTGAAGGTGCTGTGGCGAGATAGCGATGGAGAAGTGCAGGAATACGTGTGCAGGTCAGGAAAGAAGCGAACATTCCAGGAGTGGGTGCAGGAGAGGTCAAGTACTATTTTGAATCGCTAATATGTACTATCTCAACAATTCAACCGACCGCGGCAAAAAAAGTGCTTGCAATCAGTACCTAGAGAAAGATAAATACAGTCAACCATGTTTCGTAGAGAGTTCCGGTGCGCAGAGCCGAGCTTTGACCAAGGTATCGAAGAGATATACAGGAGAAGTAGGAACAAAGTCACAACATACGCATGAGCAGATACACCTATGGGCTACGAATGATGAAGGATAGAAAGTAATATTTATCGACAGTCAGGGATCGATCTGCGGCATTCTGATTCTCCCATTAGAAAGGACAAGAGGTGAAAAGGGACGCTACTACCTGTGGCGACCGATGAATTTTGAACATAATACCAGACCTTGAGTGGCTTTGCTTTCGTTGTTACGATTTTGAAGGGTCGTCGTTCACCATATGCATATTATACAGTGCCTCTTCGTCCACGCTATCGGAGGCAGGATCGAGGTCTTTCTTGCACCATTTCCGATGTCTGCTCCAATCCTGCATAAGGAAAAGAATATAGAGGATATCCACTGGATTATAAACAAAGGAGAAATACCGCTTTCTGACACTGTCGAGAGCAGTACTGAGGCCTTCGAACCCTTGCACAGGACCCAGCGCACTGCAAGAGCCGGGAGCCCTCGGGGGGCGTCTTCAAGCACTGCCCACATATCGTCGTCATACGCGGCTGATACCCCGTCTCCCCAACGAACACCTCACGCTGGGCAAGCACGAGGTCCAGATCACCCCTCAGCTCCCCCTCATATGAGGCCTTGTCGTCTGGGAGGCTCAGCGCGCACTCTGCGATGAGGTTGCAGATGAACGAGAAGAGTCCCAGGCGGCAACTCTGCGCTGCCCAGTGGATCGCCGCGACCCAGTGGCGCATCCGGGGAGACATTCCGAAGATGGGTGTATCCATTGCTGGGTGCTCACAATGGAAGAAGAAATGGGCGATAAGGCTCGCGGCGACGCCTTTCTTTTCGGGGGCGAAGGGCCCTTCGTAGACCCGTTTAAGTATCTCTGCACCACGTCGTGTATCCACGGCGGTGTCGACGCCGGCCCATAGTCTATATGCTCTCGTTAGGAAGGCAACAGAAAAGCGCTGCACCGGCGATAACACACCGAATGGCCAGCTCTAGCATGTCATCCACTATCTCCAGCTTCGCCCCAACCATCACTGACTTCGTCGACCTCAATCTAACTCGTCGATGGCGACAACCCTGCTTGATGTTCGGGTTCCCAGAATCCAGATGGGAAGGGGCATAGTCGAAATCCATTGGCTCATCTCGAGAGTTGATCAGGTACGACTTGGTCGCCGGAGGGAAGCACAGAGTGTACAGGACTGCATACGTCTGCAAGGGATCCTTAGAACTGGAACCCCTCAGTGGGAGAGGGAAGGTTGTGAGATAGGTCAGGTAGTTCGCATCCGGAATTTTTGGCTTTGACATTATGGTTGTCATTGGTCAGGTGGATTGATGGAGAGGGAGGAGACAGCTAGATGTGCCGAGTTTATGTAACGACACGTTCAGAACTGAGGTGTTCTGCAAAGGGCGGGGGATGAACAAGAGAAGAAAATAAATTATCGTGAGAAAAACAAAGTGTCAATGGGCTCGGCAGAGTGCGGCATCTCAAGCGATACGGGTTGGTGTAGAGGAGTCTGTCTGCTCATCGAGAGATGGTTGTGTGGTTGTCCTGCAACAAATGGTGGGTATACAGTGACGTATCCTCCATGGTGTTCAACGGCAGACAATGAGAGATCCTTTGCACCATTTCCTATGTTTAGTCCAGTTTCGTGGCATATGCTCAGTCAAACGCCTCACAGTCAGCGCGACGGATGACTTACGGCCTTTTGACACTCTCTGCCACAGTATACAGGCTTGTGGACCTTATCACAAGATCCTGCACACTGCCGTAAACTATCTTTCGGTTTTTCCTGCCAGCAGTGGGAACAAAAACCGGCTTTGTACGGTCGGTAACCTGTTTCCTCCCTGAACTTGTCGAAACTTGCGAGGATGTCGTGAAGATCGGGGAGTATTTCAGTCCTATCTGACGCTTCTCCTAGACCCATCCCCATGCCGAGGGCGGTGTCAGCGACGAGAAGCGACGCATACGAGAACAGGCCTAAACGACAAGATTTCGCCGCAAAGCCAATGGCCGCACACCAGTGTTGGAAGGGTACAGGAACTCCTGGCTCTGTCGGGTCCTCGTAGTTCAAGAAGAGATGGCAAATTGCGCTGGCCGCGATGGCCTTCTTGTCCTGCGGGAAAGGGCCTTCAAACACACGTCGGAAAAGTTTGGCAGCAGCCGCAATGTTGTAATTGACATCAGCGACTGCCTGATGATGAGCCGGACCACTCCCTGACCCCGGTAAATCCCTTTTTTCGACCTTCGTCATCGCATTCCCGTCGTTCCCTCGATCCCCGACACCTTTCCCGTCGTGCCATATGATTCCTCGAGATCCTCAGTCAGCAAAAGCATCCGTCCCGTGACTGGCACCGCCTCTTTTCCTCTCTTTCCCGTTTCACCGAGACGCTCGGCGCGCCTCCCTTTCCTTGTTAGGTAGCCTTTTCCCCCATCAACGCAGTTGCCGCCTCGCCGCCTCTCCCCTATTCCATTCCTGTTTCATTCTTATCTGAAAATTTCTGTTTTTCTTTCTTCCTTCACCCACGGCTCGGATATCTTCCTTGCCGGGCTCTCCTTTCTTCATAGATATAATCCATGTCTACACACTCACACAATATAGAGAATTTAGTTCGTTTTTCCGTCTCTCACCTCCCTCGTTCCTCGCTCTCTCACTCGTATTCCGGAGGCGCCGTTGCCTCATTCGTCCCGTTCCCACGCTTAGCGCCCGCATTCGCCATCCGTCTTCGAGTCGCGCGCGCCCACTGGTTAGAGCCGCACAACCACGGAACTGTCCTCGCACCTCAGAGCCACTCATTGCGGTGTTTTGGGTGTGTGTTTGTCATTCATTATTCGCACGATCACCCCACTGTAGGCACATCACTGAGGAGAGCCTATTGAATAAAAGACGATGATAAATCAGGTGGATAAGATTTTACGGCATGTAGGTAGCATGTATGCGTAGCTGCTTACTTACCGAAGAGCGAGCTCCAGCATATCATCGACGTCCTCTTGCATTGCTCCGTTTGTGACCCACCACTTCTTCCTGGCCTCAAGGCGATGCTTTTTGCAATTTTGGGCGACGACATGGAATTCGTTTGTTGTTTGTTGGCGCGAAGAGTGGACCATGTAGGAGTCCGTCGCGGGGAGGAAGCACATGGTGTACATGATTGCATACGTCCTCAAAGGATCCTTGGCGATGTCATCTGGGGTCGGCCTTACTTGTCCTGATTCGAGGTAATCTAGAAGTGCCTCGGTAGAGACCATGCTTGATTGAGACGATTCGATGAAAGTCCTAGTGATTTCAAGATGGTTCCAGCTTGATGGTGTCAGGACTCAGGAGATAAGCGCCCAAGAGGTTTGAGGGGTGTTGGGGAGGAAGGAAGACGAGAGAGCACTATAGCTTTGGAGGTAGAAGTAGGTTAAAGTCGTAGGTTAAAGTCAAATATCGAACGATGAAGGACGTCGATGGGTGGTAGAGAGACAATGCGAACGAGAGCTGTCCTGAACAAAAAGGGGAGCGAGCGTGGGAGTAGATGACATCATCATATGCCCGGCAAGCCGGCGATACTCTCTTGTCGCTTCACATTCCCTCTTCTCTGCTTTCCTCTACGACATGTTATGGATTGCAGGATATGTGAGCTCAAACAGCGTCATTTTCTATGCGAAACATGTATAAGAACACAGTGGGTTCCTACCTTTAACCTCATCGTACTTGCTAATCATTCGAGTTGTCCAGCGTCCTCGACCTGCGACAACAGATTCAACATTACACTACAGATCGTGATGAACATGTGGTCAAAGCGACGAAGGCGCTTACGGATGTCATGATGCCAGCTCGAATGAGTCGGGCCAACCTGTCAATGTATCAGAGGCAGCTCGAAGAGCTACAGGGAAACTTGGCGAAGCTGCGGAAGGATAACGAGAAGAGTACGTCCACCGAGCTATTTTCTTGAAAGGGTGACTGAAATACTCGTGCAGAACGAGACCGGCTGAGAACTCTACGCGAAACTCTAGCATCTCGTCGACGAACGCTGTCTGCAGCCAAACTCCAGACGCCTATGCTAGTGCACCCTCCAACAACGTCCCTTCCCCAAGCCGAAACTCTGTCCAATCTTACTGCAAGCATATCACGCGCGAGGGCTGGTCTCGTACAAGAGCTGGTAGAAGTCTTCAATGTGGTCGAAGTTGGCGGGAGGCCACCCATCGGTGGCAAGGCTGGGACAAAGGGCGAATGGACGATCGGGGATTTGATCCTCCCTGTGCCAGGAGATATACGAAGTGAGTGGATATTTGCCTCCCTCGTCTTCAAGTTATCTGTCTGAATAAGAACAGGATACCCGCCAGATCATATCAATGCGGTGCTGACGCACACCGTCCACTTTCTCTCGCTGCTTGCGTTCTACCTCGGCATCAAGCTTCCCTTCGAGGTGATATGGACTGGAGGAAAACTGGGCGTTGGGCAGCCGTGGATTGGAGCCACGAAAGGCGCGGAGACAGGCGGGTGGGCAAGGTAGGTTCGTTCATCCTTCTTCATCTTCAGTCGATCTGAATGGTACGTACATAGATGGTACAACAAACATCCTCTTCACCTCTCCTCCGCCCCACTCCCATCCTCTCCGCCACCCCCAATACCATCCTCATCGCGTGTTTCTTATCCCACTGATACGTCCTCGTCCATGGCGGCTTCTATGCTCGCCTCGGATCCTCCTGACTCAGCACCGCAGTCGTCATTCACCACAGCTCTCGCGATGCTGTTGTACGACGTGTCTTATCTCGCTTACACCCAGAGCGTGGATGTGCCCTTGAGCCAGGCAGGCGATGTCCTCAGCAATTTGTGGATGGTGTGCTGTAGCACCGAACTTGGAAGGTGCGCATTCGTTTTGCCTCCAGCTTCCGAACTTCTGACTGACGAAGGGTATAGGAAATCCCACGAGACATACCCACACATGGCTCCGCCCACGCCCCCGTCGTTCCCGCTGGATTTTGCGCAGCTGCTCCAAGCCACGCGGCACATCCTTCGTCGAAAGCACGGACACGCCGCCCCAGTGGCAAGAGCTCGTCAGCCGTGAAGAAGAGGATCGAGGAGACGGTCAAAGAGGAAGAGGACGGGTGGGATCTCGTCGATGACGATGTTGAATTTTAAGTTGGGACAAAGAGCCGGTTCTTCCCTGCAACCTTATACATTCCTAATTTTATGTTGTAGCTATACGATGTGCTGACACGATGATAGATTCAGGTGATGGCACTGCATGATTTGACAGCACATCTCAATGTCCGTCAACACCGCGTCCACGAACGCGAGAAAGGCCTTTAGATTCGGTTCATGTACAGAAACAAGGTTAAGATGCCGCGCGGATTCCGGAAGAAGACAGCGGAAGAGTAGACGAATTCCTTCTCTCTCACGCCCCTCTCCTTTAAGTACAACAAATCATTGCGACGACCACTCACACTCACACCTTCACCCTCTCTAAGGTACTAGCATAGCGCTTACACTCATACTACCACTGCCCGTTTAAGTACGAACCCTTGGCGGGCGCCTAATTGTCGATATAACTCCACGCCGCCCCACCCTCATGACAACCGCCTGTCACTCATCGATCGCGTATCCACTAATGACATCGACCTCCTCCTTCCTAAATTACTTGGAATCCAGCAATATCATTCCGCCCGACGAGGGTCCTCTGAAAATGTACACTGATATGTACATGATGTCCTTCCTGCCGGCAACAAAGTCCTACACGACGTACTCTTCTGCGACCGAAGAGACAATGGATTTTCCCATTATATCCAGAGCGTGTATAATCAATCGCCTTCTCGCCAGACAAACGGAGTGGGTGTTGGATGGTGCATGGTGAGAGAATGTTGACGACATGTTGGAACTCGCTCTTCGGTGAAATCCACCCTAGAAATACTCGTTCCATCGTCTGACGCGTTCCGACAGCCATTTCTCAGGCGTTGTCTATGTCGATCGCGATATCTCCGCCGCCTCCAAGCTTCTTCGAGGTGTCTACGAAGGGCCATTCCCACAGGACAAAAAAGCCGTCGCTGCCAGTGCGATCGCCTACCTCTTCCTCGATTGCAGAGATCCAGACAGCCCCCACGAGCCTCTTTCCATTCGCCACCGCCGCGGGGCGATCCGTTTCGCAGGAGAAATTTGCCGACTCAACCTATTCTCTTGCACCTCTGTCCTCGTGGCTGATGCCGCATTCGGCCGCTTGGCCGCTCTAGCTGAGAGGAGCGCTGTTGTCGATCTCAAGGTCGTGCAGGAAATGTCCCTCGCCTTCAAAGAGGAGACAGGCTACCGTGCATACAAATCAAATATTTGTTCTAGGTGCAAGATAGAGCAGCCAAAAGATGCCCTTCACGAGTGTGCGGTGCCTTGCAGCAAGATCCACAAGCCTATTTACTGCGGGATAGCGTGTCAAAAGGCGGTAAGTCTGGGGCGAAATTATGGGATTGAAGCATTCATTTATTTCCTTGACACTTCAGGACTGGGCTGACCATCGCAGATGGTGCAAGAATGACATTGTCATTATCAGAAATCCCATAGACGACCCGGCCCTATACAGCGTACATCTGGCTCAGGACACCCATACTAGGACCTTCTCATAATTGAAAGGACAGACAACGATCCGACGAAGCGAATGTTGCGGATTTCTTGAACTGAATTTTCGTGCTTATAATCGAGTTGGCAGTCCCCATGCTTATATGCTAGCTAGCTAGCATACGAACAAATTTACAATGGTTGGTCCGTCATCTTCTCCCCTCTATTAGTACAAAAACCTGGATTCCACGTCACCTGGCACAACAGTTGTGATGAGAATGGATGCAAAAGGAGAAATGGTCTGTCGACAATTGCCATTGAGGGTATTTGGACGAATTGCCCGTCTATCATTGGACCGACTCTGTCCCCTACTTGCCACTGCAACCATATTAGTGAATCAATTGCCATATGGGTTAAACTGCTCCAAGCCTAAGAAGGTTATTGCGATACTAATTTATCGTCCATGAAGAAATTCTTCTCACGCACCTTCACTCAATTTTCGAGAACCACCTTGCTTTTCGACCTTTCTTTCCGGCTTGCATCTCCAGCTGTCCTAGGTTGAAAGTCATCACCACCAGTCACGCGTGCATACAGCTTTGTATCTACGAAATCGTGACGAGCGCTTAATCATCGCCACCCGCAGCATCGATCCCTGAAAAATCTATCCGCCTATGGCTTCTGCATCGGACCTCCTGGATTATCTGGAGTCAGGCCAGGCGAAACCGGTCGATTTAGATACCCCTCTCATGGCGTACAGCAAGATGTACATCATGTCCTTCATGCCAGCCGCCAAATCCTACCTGTTATCTTCAAATCGCACGCCGCGGTGTCCCGATCTCATTCTCATTTACAACAACTGCAACACCAGTCGCATCAGCCGAAGATCTACATTTTGGGTGTTGGACGGGGCATTGAGAGAGGACGTCGATGACATGCTAGAACTCGCACTCCGGTAAGCTCCTCCTGACGAGATTGAGAAGCTCTTTTTTCATTCGATTTACCACAGCTACTCGTCTGGTATCTCGGGCTTGAAGCGCGACACTTCAGCTGCTTCTAAGCTTCTGCGGACCGTGTACGAAGGGACGTTCCCTAAAGACAAAAAGGCCGTCGCTGCTAGCGCCATCTCCTACCTCTTTTCGAACTACCGAGACCCCGACAGTCCCCAAGAGCCCTTGTCGTCTCGTCATTTCCATGCGTCGATCTGGTTCGCGTCGGAAAGCTGTCGATTGGGTCTGTTCTCCTTCATCAGTATCATTATAGCAGAATGTTCGCTCCATACTGGGGTGCAGAGCAGCGCCCAGAGTGATAGCGTCCCTGCTCTTCGACTCATCCTCGAAATATTTCTCAACTTCAGGGATGAAACAGGATACCGACCCTACATACCTTCCTTGTGTTCTAAGTGCGGGACCAGGGTTCCGAAGGGATTCCTCCGAAAGTGTGCAGGTCCTTGCGATGGTGTCCGCAAGCCGCTCTACTGCGGGAGACCCTGTCAGAAGATGGTAAGTTTTTCTGTTGCTGAATGGATGGATTTGTTCGGCTAAGTTATTTAGGACTGGAGTAGCCATCGCAAGTGGTGCAAGGAGAATATCATTGTTTGTAGGAATGCCAATGTGGACGACCCAGCACTGTACAGTCTGCACTTCGCGCAAGACGTCATGAATATGCCAGCCTCCTGATCAAAAGACATTCCGTTGATTGGTCTGCGCATAGGGTTGTGCCGGTGAACGGCGGGCGCTTACTGCTCCCATTTATGGAACCTCTCTTGGCGACGATGTAGAATCTAAGGATTCAGAAATGTCGCAATGTACCCTTCACCATCCATACACGAACATGACCATTATTTATGCGGCCTCTACATTTGCTCGATCTGGTTTGTCATGTAGAGCTAGACGAAGAGGGCATTTGCTAATATACGGTTTCCACCTGGCCTTCGTCGAACGGCTGTCCAGGAGGAGCCTTTGGGATACCTCTAGGCGATAACAACGGCTGGGAGAAGATGTGATCTCACCTTATCTTCGCTTCTTCTTGTCGATTCCAAGAAATTGCAATGACACCTACGTCTGACGGTCTGTGGTTCGGGAAACCCGCGCATACTTCCTTAGAGAGTCCGTATTTCAGTTCAATATACGTCTCGATTGACTTGAAATAAGAGGGAAATCACCTTTGTTTTTGATTTTCTGAACGAGTTGATGAAGGGATCGATAACTAGTACAGTGTAACGGCACTCCTTGATACAGGTTAAGGTCATCTCCGATTTCAAAGGCAGATAGGTCACTCGCTGCAAATTAAAGTTAATATTATTTTTCCACAACATATTGCGAGTACACCTGCCAATTTTCAGCTCGATTGGCCACGATTTGGGCCTACAATGCGTCTCTCAAGGAAAGGCAGCTTTTTGATGGCGAATCACTCCTTGATACACCCGCATCACCGCTAAATTTGGCGGGTGGGAAAATCCAAATGATGCACTTCTCCACCTCGTTTGGTCTCTTTGGCCTGTTTCTTCTCAACATGGCCGACTTCCGGTCCCAAAATTTCGCCCACATTTTGCCTAGTATAGAAAGAATGTACCGTGAATTTATCGCGAATTTTGCGCGGCTCAATTTGTGACAGGGCCTGTGCTCCTTAGCGGAGTGCCCTCAAAATCATGTCCTTTGCAGGTTTTGAAAGCAATAATGCTCCCCACCCTCCATTTTTTATTTAGACACTAGAATCAATATAATGGCACTGCTGTGCAAAAAAACTAAGGATTTGAGGGGGAATTGGGCCCAGGATGCGGACTGTATCAAGGAGTGCCGTTACACTGTAACTTCCCAATCTTAGCCTCGCCTCTGCCTGCCAATGCGGCCCGCGTTTCCCGGCCGTTGCCGTCCATTCGAGCTTGACGCGCTTCTTTCTTTCCCACCACCACCATTGAAGTTCCTCCACATACCCTCTTTCCCCAGGTACTCTAAAGCAATGGCTTATCTGGTCTCGGAGCTCAGCCCCACACAAGGATTTCATCCAACTTCAGCGAGTTTGGTTTACCTCCCCGGTCCAATCCCGCAATACGAGTCGTGTTCGCTGCACCTGTACTACTCTTTACCGCCACCCGTCTTCGTCGACACACACGAACTAGGACAGAGAAGCAGCTCCTATACCTTCAGCCATTGGGGTAGCAGAGATCTCGAGAAGCCGGTCCACGCCTTGCCGCAGGAGACCTCAGAGGTTTTGATCAATGTTCAAATTCCCCAAGAAGGATACGCGGACGAGGAAGAGATGGAGCTCAACGTCGAGGTTCCCATGCACCTGCGGTATGGCACTCCAAGATCCACCGCAACGTCCAAGGAGAGCGAAGGCAAACCGTACGAGGAAATTCAGGTGGAATGGCCGCACGCGTTCCTCCTGTGCTCGTCAACGTGTACGTCCAACGTGTTCATGTCTCAATCGTGAGCGAAAGGTGACATGCGCTGTTCTTGCTTTAGCTTTATTGAAGTCACGGGTCACCCAGCCATCACTGCCTGCACATATCCTCGCAGCACTCCCTTCGCGACCCCCACGTAAACTCATCCCGATTCCACCGCATTCGAACTTCACAAAGACGACCACGACACTCCTGTTGCCGCTCGGGAACCCTTACGACCTCGCCTTCGTTGAGCCATTCACAGCGATGACAGTTTTTATTTGTTTCTTGTGGATCGTCAGGGTGGCCTGGAAGACATCACGAAGAACAGAAGTCGACACTTCATCGCGACCAAAAACCGACTAAACCTCAGATTTTAAATTTCACCGCATCCAGTTTAGCAGCGCTAGCCTCACCACATTATGCGAATTGTGCTCTTTCTATGCACCCCAGTTTTTTAATTGGCGGCCCTTGGGGCATCGGGGTACCAAATACTTCCAGGACGGATATATGGATGGAGGCAGGGAGGTTGCCGATGCGAAATCGTCGATGTTGGGTGGCACTTGTTATTCTTAGGCAGGTAATCTCTGCTCCGCCTCGTTTGCGCTCGTATTTATGGGATATCTATTTCTTCCTCTTTATGACCATTTGATAAATTATCACCAACGATACTGCCATGTTTGAACATTAAGCATCAAGTACGAACTAGAGTTCTGAGAAATGATGTGGTCAAGATATTGACGCGGATCGAATAGTAGATCTATCAGGCATAATTGCTGAAAGACGCGGGCATTTATTGTGCGTACATCATCGCGTAACTACTCCTTGACTGCTTGAAACCCTGCTAGGAAGCCCCTTCGTACTTCTTGACGGCCTCGAAGAGTGCTTTCCATCGTCCGTTATGCCACGTCTTAAGATCCTTCCATTCCTCGCTATCCTCCCCTAAGAGAATTCTCACCCATAGAAGATAAGATGCTGCGACGAAATCCGCCCACGAAGGCGTCTTCCCAAGGATGAACGGACCCTTCCCATTGTTCTTGTCGTACCAAGACGCGGCCTTCCCTGCGTCGTCCTTGAAGCGCTCCCACTGCTTGACACGCTCTTCCCCTACGGGCAGGAGGTCCTCGAGACGCTTTCCCCTGAACATTGGTTCCACGACCGCGCGGTACTTCCTCTCTGTCTCTTCTGAGAAGAATTTTCCCGTCATGAGATAGGGCAACATGAATTGGAATACCGCGTCGACGGTGGTGCGCATAGCGGGCTCAAATGCAGCTTGCAAGGCGTGTGTGTTGTTAGGGAAAAGGGGCGGTGTGTCTGGGTATGTAGCTTCGAGGTAATCGGCGATGAGTTCCGAGTCTGCTATCTTGGCGCCGGTCGACTCGTCGTAGATGGCAGGAAGCGTGTAGCGAGGTCTGCCGTCTGCCTTCTTGGACGTAGGTAAGAACCCGTTCTTGACGGAGTGGGCTTCAATGTCGCCGAACTCGATCCATTCGGTACGATATGGAATTCCTTTGAAATTCAGAGCGAATCTGTTTTCAGTGGGGCCGGCAGTTAGAGAAAGTGTGAAACATAGAACGACTTGAAGCATACCTCGTCTTCCAGGTATTTGGAGACCACGATGTATTGAGGCGAGTAGAGGCGATGTCATAGAATATCATCATGATGGTGGGCAATAGAGCGGTTCAAATCTGCGGGACAGGGTGTGGCTTGCGGGACCCTTATGAGATGTGAGTCTTATAGATGCCAGGCTTAGGCAGGTTTCGCCCTTGCGAAGGGGCTCGTCAGAGGGCTTAACCGCTGCCCTAACCTGTCGTTGATAGTGTACCGCTACCCAAGCTTAGATTACAGAGGGGGAGTATGGACCGGGCCTGGAACGCATCCGCGGACCGCGATCTACCGGATCGGCTTGAATGCCGAGTTGCTCCCGGGACCCCGAACTGGTGGGTGTTCGTGGGGGGAGGGGCCTGGAACGTGTGACGCCACCTGTCACTTGATCGCTCCACGAGGACCGCCATCAACGCGCTCGATGACGACGGCCGACCACGTGCGCCCTGCTTTCGCCAGCGCGACTTTGCACGGGACTATCTGTGCGGTCTGGGCTCCCATGGCTTGCTCAGTCGGCCGTCTCCGAAGATAGGGCCGAAAACAGCGTAAGCCATATCTGGGGATTGAACCCAGACACGAAGCAGGCTCACGGAGGATGCACCACATATTTACTATTAGCTGACGGAGAGTTTCCGCACCGTTGATCGCAAGCTTTCCGATTCTTCGGTCTCCTGCTATCCTGAATTCCTCACTCTCTGGATGTATTTTTCTTTATTTAAAGAAAATAAAAATAATATCGACTAACTGAATGGTATCGCTTCCAATTTGTTAGAGGAACTCATAATACATATCATCAGCTGGAATAATTTCTGAAAACGAGAAACACCTACTGGACGAAACGCCGGTCGAAGTCAGCAGATCGACTGTCGGGAAACGGGGAAAAGAGCTCACGCGGGTCTTAGCAAAGAAAGTCGGTGAGATGTAGTCAACAATCTCTGAGGGTGAATTGAGACTCTGGCTTAGCATTGTGGGGTATCCAATATCAACACATTTCAAGGTTTGGAGCCGTGTCTGCTTCGATTCTTCGAGTTCCTTGTCAAAAGGGTCCTAATGCTTCTCCTGTGCCACGATCTCCTTCCTAAATTCTTCGAAATCTGATGCCTGCGTGTCCACATGAACGATGAAGATGACCCTGGACAACTTGTTGGTGTCTGTGAATGATTTGAGGCCACGGATGGCTCGATTGCACTGTCGCGCCAAGGGGTTCAGGGCCTGGTCAATCAGAATCTGGTTTCAGAGGGGTAAGCCGGAGCTTCCTTTCAGTATTACGGAGCAACAGACGAACCTTCTTCCATGCTGTCGCAGCAGAGGTCTAGTGAAGTTAAGGTGGTCCAAAATAATGGGAAGAGCCGTGAGAGGTGGTTGGTGCCCCAGTCGTTTGGGCCTTGAAGACCGAGATGTGAGATGGAACTGAGGTCGAAGGCCAAAGCTGCGTTGTCGAGGCAATAGTCCACGAATTGTTCTAAATGGGATCTTCTGCATAGAGGAGATTCCATCGGTTTTTCATTGCTTGGTGTCGTTGACGCGGGATCCAGCGCCTGTTCGAGGTTCATGCTGTTCATTCGACGCAAACATTCGGATCCAAGTTGGAAGAAACCCGACGACGTGCATTCTCAGATGACGGAGATGAAATCCAAATTTGCACCGCGGAGCAGTTGTTCCTACCATGCCCTAACTTGAATGGGCAATGTCGTTCACGGAACCCCAGTTGACGAATGTGATGGTGTGTCATTGTGATTGGTGCGCAGCCCTCAACGGCTGGACGTGTATCGTGTTCAATCTTGCGGTTGTGAGATTTGCCAGAGCGTGGAGGGTGGATAGAAGAAAAGGGAGGATTCCTCGAGGATAAAACCTGCGTAAGTCTTCCACAGAATCGGCCTCATCGACATCGGTTTGGTAATTCCATCTGATTTGGATCGACGAAGGTAGGCACAGGAAGGGCACTTGGATATAACCAGCGATATCGAGCGAGCTCTTCAGACTATTTGCCAGTTGCTCAAAGCTGCTCAAAGCTTCCAGATCGCGGACGTGATACCGCAAACAGATGGTCCTGGCTTCGAAGCTCGGGGAAGAAATCGTCGGCATACCCGACAGTATCACCGCAGCGCCTTCATGACATACGGAGCTCGGGGAGTAGGAATGGGTGTGTTGTGCTCGGTAAGGAGTGCATGGGAGAGGACCCAGTATTACAAGAAGGGGGAAAAGAAGGCTCTCGCCGTACAACGGTGAAGTCCGAGATTTTCGAGTTGATCATGTCGGGCCGTGGAGGTACCGGATCGTCACTTGACCCACCCTGAAGTGCCTTTACTTCCACAAGACCGTTCTGACCTCTTCTGAATCGCACTCCGGCCTTCAGATATTATTCATGGCCAGCATCCTCAGGACAGCGCCGACGCAAAGGACGATACAATAAATATCCAGCGGAGGCGACTCATCCCTGGAAAGAGAGTCCGAAGGTGAGCAACGTCCGCGTCAACCCTTACTTATTAACGTTAAAACTTAACAGCATGACAGGGCGTCCCTGCTTACCAATTCGTTTCTAAGAGGTATGCCCAACTAGCGTGAATTTCAATCAACCTCAGGTTCTCTCCCAGTGCCCAAACGAACTCCATAGTTCTGCGGGTTCCGTACTTTTCAGTTCACTCAAGATTGTGCTGGCCACGCCTTCTCAAGCTTCATGGGATATGGAATAAGCCGCAGAATCACGCAGGGTACCTCCAAGACAGGCAGTAGAATTCAATTACTGTCAAGGTGGCGTTGGTACAGTGGACATCAAAGATTTGACGCGCAGTTTCATTCCTGCCGAAGTTTAACTTCTTTGTATTCCTGATTTTTTAACCACGCACCCCTTCTCCCCGACCACCCCTCTCCTCTGTTGTGGGCGGTCTCCTCCCAACTACATTCGCTCATTCCCTACTACATTGGCTTATTACCTGACCGACACCCCAAGAACCTCTAGTCCTTCCTAACCGACAGTGAGTCTCCATCCGAATAGTTTTCTGCATCGCTCACCAATTCCTGTCGTCAATAGACAACAGCTCCTTCAACTTCAACCTGCTGTACTCACATCGATACCATCCATGGCGAGACGAGTCGACGATCGCGATCCTGCTATCATCTATTCGACCGCGCCGCCCGGACAGTGGGACTGGGCTTCAAGCAGTGGGGGCTTTCCGTGGGGTGCACCCGAAGAATACATGGGCACGACCACCCTATCGCGAAGGAAAGGAGCGAGGGCAACGTTTTCTTTCGTCGGTACGTCCCACCGACTTTGGCGCTTGGCCCGTGCGCGTTCTGATTGTGTTCCATCAGGCTCTTCAGTTCAGGTCTACGGCACCATCAGCATTAACGTCACCGTCTCTGCGTCCTCGTCTTATGCTATCGACGGAGGTGCCCCGACATTCTACACAGCCCCCGTGGTGTCCCAGATCACCTACCAAACGCCGTTCTTCCAGTCGCGCCCTGTCTCTCCTGGAAGGCATACCCTGGTGATCCAGAATGAAGCCGACGAGGCATGGTTCTGGTTCGACTATATCGCGTACACGCCAGCGGACGAGACACCGACTTCTCCAACGAACCCGTCTGCTCCAAGTCCAACATCAACTTCGACATCAGCGACCGCGCCTCCTGCAACACAGATTCACGGGGCATCATCAGCTTCGTCGCCATCGTCGTCTGGCGATGCTGCTACTGGCATCTCCCCCTCCTCCCAAAGCCCAAGCTCATCCTCTTTTTCATCAAACTCTCGGTCAGGAGTCCCAACATCTCTATTACCCCAACCCGACGCCCAGAATTCTGGCTCGAACAACACAGCGGCCATCATCGGTGGTTCGATAGGCGCTGCGATAGTTATAGCAGTCTTGTCCGGTGTTCTCGTCTGGATGTGCATGCGACAGAGGCAAAGACGTATGATAGACGCGCAGACGACCATAAACGCAAATCCGTTTACTGACCCGAAGGCGAACGCGCCCCTTGGTACGTTCCGTTAAATTAAGCAAACGAGCCCAATGAGCTGATATATTTCTTGATTCAAAGTGTATCCTGTCTCAGATACCTCCGAGATCCAGCCTGTGTCACCACCTGAGGCTGGTTTCGCGAGGCCGTATCATGATGGCTCCAATACTAGCGTCACACCGTTCTTCGCCGATAGTTCTGTTCCGGCTACGACCCCGACCTCAGCGAAGTCACCCACGGAACCGTCTCGGAATAGTCGAACTACCTTCTATGATCCGCCACCTATGTACCAGCGTGTGTGACGGGCGTCTCGCGAGGAGTAGATTTCTTGTTATAATTGGCACTCAAATAGCGTCGGAGTGTATATTTCTCTTGCGTTAGCTGTCGACGGTTGGGCTGAAAATGCCTCTTTCAAGTTTGACATGAATTCAAGGAGGGGTACGGGGAGTACCGTTATATATGGTACCACGCGTCCCCTCTGGTGTTGCCGTCCGAAAATTCCGAAAAAGCAGGAGGGCTCCCACTGCGCCACATTTCCCCTTTTCGAGGTAGCGTGTACCTATCACGGCTGGGTGAATTGATAAATGGTCCTCCGACCACGCCACCCATGCGCCTTCTTTCTGCAATCGGGGCTCTGGACTGCGCCCGCGATTCTAGAGTGGACGGCATCAAATACTCAGCTATCAAATGTCGACTGCATCAGTGACTATTCGACTTACGTTCAAGTGTATGGGGCGAGACCGCTTGATAGTCCCGCTCTGTAAGAAGGGAGACGGAGGGAGTTTAAACTGAAGGGGAGGAGCTAGATCGAAGCCAGATAACAGTCTGAGCAAGCGTTACGCAAGGACGGGCCGGGTTGGGTTTGCTTCAGGGTGGGTCAATGGGCGGTACGCCTTGACCTGCCCTAACGTTTCCTGGCTACACAGGTCCGCCCACGTCCGCCCATCCTTTTTCCACAACCTTACGATTATATGCGACCCCATGCATCCTTCTGAGCGGCCGACCTCTAGAGCAATTTTGCTGGTCGAAGCAATATTTCCAGTCGCTGAAATCCTGTGAGTCGTGCCAAGTATCCGTTTGAGCGAGACTCACCAATTCTCTCTAGATGAGCAGCATATTCTCGGTCGAAATACACTCGTTCCGCGAGAATAAGTCGCATATATGACATATCCGACCTTGGAAATGTTGTCTATGAGGCAGATTCTTGATGGTGCGAGCGGCTTTGACTTGGTTGTTGCTTGGGTTGACTCCAGAAAATCAGCAGTCTCTAGCAATGATACACCAACGCATCTCACCCATTCGCAATCAGGATTTTGTCATATAGAAGGGACGATGGAGCACGCCCATTGCTGACTGGCGGACTCGAAGATCTTAGAGCACTGGGTTGGTAGCGGTAAGTGGATGCATACATTCCTCCCAGTGAAAAAACAGGCGCTGGACTCACACCTGGGACCGCGCCTGGCATACCCTTTCGCTCCTCCTCTGTCTCGCCGGAACTGATCCCATTCATCCCATATTAACAAACCCGGCGAGGGCGCCTCCACAAACATTACCGAGGTACCCCCCTTTTCCATCTTCACACCTTCAATCTTGGTCACTCGTCGCAGTGTGCGCGAGAGGACAAGAACCCGTTCCACGGTGGAGTCCTGAAGCGAAGCGTTCACGTGTTGACGACAGCGGGAGCACTGCAATGATCTGGGGGGGATCCTTAGCCCACTGACCCCCATAAGCGTCGGTGCCGTCGTCTCATCCTTCATAGTGAGTAAATTTCGCTTTCAGTAATGTGCTTCAGTGCTGATTTGTTATTGACCAGTTGGTTTCACATCAAGAAGACTCCGCCTCATCTAGAGAAGAATGCCGAAAGGGTCCATCGGCAGCTCAGACGCTGGCTCCCCCCAAAGGCATCCGGGTTCGTGATTGCCTCATCCGTCGGTCTGGTATGTCTTCTCCTGCCTTATATCGAGGCTAACTGACAATTTCTTTTCTCTGTAGTTATTTTATCGTTCGTATCGCCGTTGTGCGCACATCTGTGCATTGATCATTTCCCCTGACTAAAATCCTGCTCGGCATCGAGCTCCATCCACCGCACTGAGCGTTAAATGCAAACTCCCGACCCCGTTCCCGAGCGGGATGCGAATGTGGGTTCGAGTTTTCAACCAACTTGTACCACCTCTTTTACTTACTAGTGGGCTTGGCAACAGGTTAGGGCGTCTATTGATCCAGCTAAGCGTCCTGGAACGGTCAAATTGCGTGTGTGAGGTAACAACGGAGACAATTTATATCTAGAGTCGTCAGTATTCTAGCGAACCCAAATCCCCAATCAAACACCAAAGTGCACATAGGGGACCCATGTCAAGAGCGCCTTCTCGGTGTCTCCGATGCGCTCTCTGATCTTGCGCGTGGCATGGTCCAGTGCATGAGCAGCGCCGAATCCATCTAGTCGCCGCTCCCCTCCCTCAGAATCTCCTTCCAACAAATGAGCATAGAAAGCCTCTGCGATCTCAGGTCCGTACTTGTCTTTGATCGACCACATCGTCGCCACTACTCCCCGATATCCGGCAGCCAGCATGCCAGCAGCAAGATGAACAGCCTCCTCCGGAAGCTTTTCGTCTCCGGTGCTGGTCTGACACGCGGACATGAAAGCGTGCTCTGTGCTTGAAATGTGTTGACCCATAATCTCGAGCAGGGTCAGGCGCCGGTCGTGGAGATGAACACCGCTGTTCAGAGGCTCTTGCGCATCCTGGATAGCGTGGCAGGCAAAGTGCACCCAGTCGCTGGTTTTCATCTCTTCCTTGACTCTCTCAGACGTGGCATCAGTGTCGTCGAGCAACAGAGACCGGACCCCTCTGGTGCTCATCATTTCGTCAACGCGTCGTGTTTCCTCAACCGTAGCTGGGATCGGGGATTTGCCTGGCGTCTTTGGTTGGCTGATGAGAAGAATTCGGCTAGACTCTCTGTGGTCAGAGATATTTGTGGATGCACGGATCCTCTTGTCCAAGAGGGCGGTCACAGTGGGAGTGTACGAGGAAATAACAAAGTCAGAGACGCAAGAGCCGGGATGCTCAACCTCTTGGTTGTAGATCCCCGCAGCGTGTATAGGAAGGAAGGAGAGGGGGCCTGTAGGACACCACCAAATACGAGATCTGGGGTGATCTGGGTCCTGTGGAGCTGGTTCAGTCGGAATATATTTGGGGTAAGCCAAAATCCAACATACCGAGTACCCAATGGCCTCCAGTATCGGCTTCACAACGTCCTCCCAAAGGACGCGAAGAACCGCGAAAATGGCAGGATTCTTGGGCAAAACTGGAACAACATGTCCACCCCGGTCATCCTCACGCATGCGAACTCCATGGGCGCTAAGATATAGACGGAGAGAATTCCGCAATTCGACTGCCTTTTGAAGGCTGAAGCGCTCAAGTGGGATGAGAAGCGGTATATCGGCGCCGGAAATCAACGCCAACGCATCGCAACGTGCCTCGTTGAGGTTGAATATAACAAGGGGTCCGTCGAGCGATAGACGCCCGAGCAGAGCTTCTGCATTCGGTGGCTGGAGGAAGTCTCCGAATCCTGGAATCTCACGGATTTCCGAAAGGAGATCGTCCCACTGTTTTGCGAGATGGACATGCGCATGAGATTTCTCTTGCTGGGAGACCATCGCCGACAGGTTGCCCTCGTTGAAAACCGTGCAGTTAAATTGTTCTTGTCGAGATGCTGACGAGTCCAGGGCACGAGAAACTTTAAGAAATTTCTCGCCGAGAGATGGATCATGAGCGCGCAACGCGTCGATGGGTGTACGAAGCTGGTTGATCTGGGTCCAAACAAGGCAGCGGCCCTGCTCAAGCCACGCTAGTGCGGATTCAGCATCTCCGCAGTGAATCGCAGTTGCCACAGCGGAAGACGTCAGGGCCGGTATCTTGACAAGGTTCTCATGTCGCTTGTGAATTGTGTATTCCAGGCCTGCAACGCGGGAAACTAAACCCATAGCCACGCGAAAAGCGTCCAACGACTGCGATAAACGTGAATCCTCACGACAGATGTTGGCCAACATCCAGGCGGATTGCAGGCGTGCTGATGTGTCCCCTGTGATCTGCTGCGCAGAAAGAGAATATAGACGGATCGCTTGTTCAAGATCGTCCTTATTCCCGGTGCACATAAGCCGCTGTAAGAGGGAATGCGCAAGATTGTTGAGGACACCGGGCTTGCCAGAATGATCCTCTGGGGTGCAATCTAATGCCTTTTGGTGATAGGATATGGCCGCGTCGAGGTCTGCAGAGTCATCTGTAGAGTTGAAACGAGCGAGGAAGGCGCCTCCCAATTCGCTGAGAAGGAATGGCCTGCACCATTTTCTCTCAGGAGTGAGTTCGAGGGCTCTCTGGTAATGGTGGATGGCGGTCTCTAGGTCGGCGGAATCTTGGCTATGGTTAAAACGAGTGCGAAAGCAGGTAGCAAGACCGTGGATACGGCATGATATGTCTGCGTGTTGTTCTGGTGTCAGGTCAACTGTCTTCTGCTGATAATGTAGTGACTTGTCGAGATATGAGGGGTTTCCTGTGTGGCTAAAGAACCTCAAGAATGCGCGACCGAGGTTCCAGAGATAGTAATGTCTATCAGGATTTCCTGATTCCGAGGCAGGTACGAGTTCGACGGCACACTCCAGAGCTGATATACAGCTCTGAATGTCACCAAGATCTTTAGTGTTTGAGAAGCGTGAAAAAAAGGCATGTCCAAGGTTATTGAGCCATCTCGGCAGGTCTTTGTGCCCGTCAGGGGCCACCTGGATGGCCCTCTCTAGGTACAATATAGCATTTTCCACATCGGCAAGATTGCCCGTCTGACGGAACAAACCTTCGAAGGCGACGCCGAGATGACTGAGCTGGTCAGCCATGTATGGGTGCTGTTCGGTAAGAAGCTGGCCTGTCTTCTCGTAGCTAGAAATTGCTCTCTCAGAGTCAGCAAGATCTCCGGTGACGTTGAAGCGCTTCAAAAAGGATGAACCAAGGTTGAGAAGGTTCATAGAGAGGAGTGGATGGCCATTAGGCGTCAATTGCATGACCTCCTCCCGATAGGAGATTGCGCATTGAAGGTCCTCGAAATTTCCCGAGTGCTCAAAGCGGGCTGAATAGGCAGACGCCAGATTGCTGAGGGCTGCGAACATGTTTGTGTGATTTCCAAGTTGGACTGCCCTTTGGTGACAGGACACGGAGCTTTCGATGTTTTGCGGATCTCCTGTGTGGCGGAATTGATTTGCAAAGGCTGCCCCAAGGTTGTCGAGCATAATGGAAAGGATGGGATCGTCCGGTGATGTGCTGGCAATGGCGGTCTCCATCATCGCAATGAGCCGTCTTGAGTCGGAGCAATTCCAGGTTTTCTGGCACAGCAGAAACATTGCCCAGGCAGTGTTATACAGGAATCTTGGATACTTCACGTCGTCTGTACTTGTCAGCTGTACAGTAAGCTCGTGAATCTGGATCGACTTCTTGATGTCGTCTTCATTGCCTGTTTGTCTGAATCGTTCGCTAGCACAGTGTCCGAGGTCGTTGAGGGCCTCTGGGTCGTCCGTGAATTGTTCTAGAATGGCGGGAAACAATCTTGGATCTTGAAGGGCATTCATCACACTATCAACGCGTTTACCGACACCTATGGGCGCAGAACACATATTAGTTAGGGGAATTTCATCATAAATCTAATTAAATAAACCTACCGATGGTATACTTCATCTTCGATGATGTTTTCACATCCTCTACCGTAAAACCTGTTTCGGCCTTGGTGTCTATAATTAAACTTGTTTTATTTCAGTCGGAAGACCACAATCACACGGATCACGTACCCTGGTCTACTGTCATGAATGCTGCAAGTTGGTCCTCGGTCAAAACAAGGTAGCCTAGGTCGCCGGTGCTTTCCGAGCGGAGGACAAACGTCAATTCACCCATACTTGGCTGCCTGCGTGATTTATGAGCGCTTGAACTCCGACAACGACACTGGTGAGACGGGGACACCTACAGTTCTATGATGTGTGGCCACTTCCACATTATGGGCGACGTTTGCTCCATTTCGGTATCTTCGTCATTGCCTGATCCAAAAATTGACATGCGAAGCGTCGTTTCATGGCCCCCAGTGAATTCGACGACAAAATCTATGACATACAGTTAGCGCGAGGACTCGTGACAAGAACAGAGCATCTACCCTTCAGGACAATGGTACGATACTCGATTACGGCTGGGGTGACCATACGATGGCAAACCCGTTGCCATATCTGCGAGCGAGGAGATACGACCCTCATGTCGTCTCTCACATCGCCAGTGATGTCCATGGAGGTGAACGCCATCAGCAGGGTCAAATTTTCAGTTGGTGTGGGGGGGTTGAGGGTGGCCAAAAATCAAGTCTGGCATGCCTTGATTCCGGCAGTCCTTTATACAGCATCCCTGCCGTATCGTCAAGACCCTATTCCCTAAAAATAGCGGCCAGCATGACACAAGTAAAAGGACATCATCATTGTCAGTCGAACATTTCGTCGTTTCTCCCACTCTCGGCGGAGATTCATTGACCCGATTTCGAATTGAGAGCAGCTAGTTCGGTTGCTCCTTTCCTGCTTTCCTGTGACGGGCGCTTCTTCTGACATGCTGCACGTCAAATGAATCCTGCAGCCGAAAATCACTGCCTTTTGGCTGTGCACAGAATGCAGGCGAGAAAAGGATCTACATCTCTGATCACCTTCCATAGATATTCGTCGTTGAAGCTCTCAAATGGTGCTCTCGAGACTCGAGCTGTGCAAACCACAGGAAATCTAGAGGGCTCCTCTTTGCCATGCCGCCCATAGCTCCACCTCAAGGCCTCTTCGAGCTCCACGGATGCCGTGCACCAAGTGGCTCGGGTGTCTACATGTTTGGGAGCTACTGCGGAAAATAATATCCAGGCATCCTGGAGGTCTGGCTCGTATCCCGGCTATTCTGAGGTCAACAGGGTGAACGCGCTCATCTTCGTCGCGCCTGTCCACACAGCCTTCCCTTCTCCCTGTGGATATTTTTACACTTACACCACCAAATTCTACAAATTTTGCTCGTCAGAATGTATTATAGAATTACACGTGTTAGAAGACAAGAATTAATGAGAAATTTTTCAAAGATAGTCGTCGTCGTCGGACTTACGGAAGTGTTTTCAGTTGGGTACTTATTGAAAGGTGACCATGAGGCACAAACTGCCAGCAGCACGCAGGTGTGAGGATCTCAGTCATCGTGTTCGAAGTGCTGTGTTGCGTTCGTTTTCTTCCTGCACCCCAACTCGTAACAATGTACTTTCGCGGCGGCTATCTTAGTGGCGTTACTTGCCTTATATGAACACAAGGCCGCGTAGTTTTTACTTCCGCAGCGCCTTGGCTTCCACCACGCGACACAGCGAAGTGATCGTGAAAATGGTAGGCCTTCCATGACATGGATACGAAACCAGAGGCGATGTTGGGCGTGTTGAATATAGCGTTCAAAAGCCAAAAGTCCGGAACGCGGGATGAAGGATGAAGTCTCTCGATATACAAGAGGGAATAAAGTAGCAGGAGGTTGGGCGGCATGCCCTGAGGGGGGCCGCAAAATACATCTAAGGTAAGCGATTATCTTGAGAAGAGGGAGCTCGCAGAAAGCGCAAGGGCCATTAGGACACAAGATCTGGAAACAGGGAAGCGAGGAACGTCAGAAAGTCGTCCTCTGTCCTGAGTTTATTGAATAGAAACTTAAATATCGCCATGCCCGTTACGTGGTTGAGCTGCTGGGGCTTTCTCCCTTCACCATGGCTCATTATAGCCCCTTAAGTTCGTCTTCTTCAATACATTTCTCCTGTCTTTGTTATCTGAATGAACACAAGGATGTCACACGCAATGAGCAAACGAGGCTGGACAGTACGGCATACCTTGCAGCGCCTCACGGATCGAGTTCGCCATGGCGTAGGGGCTCCACACTGCACTCCCCTCATGCCTAAGCGTGTCTTCCGAAACGAGGGGGTAACAAAAGAAGGAGAAGCGGAGGGATGGGTTGGGATGGGATGGGTCAATTGGAATTGGAAGAGAGCGGTCTAGCGACGCGAAGCTGCTAGGGGGACCTCGTCACAGTCGGTCCCGAAATATCTTCCACGGAACAGCTGTTGAATGTGATTTTGCGATGACAGCCAAGAGGAAAGGGAGACAGAAAGTGGGAGGAGCGGGGCGCGTAGGGATGTGTGACGGTCCGGCCTTACCGTCACGGAATTGACCGAGTAGCCGACACGGCACCGACGCGGCACTTTCCTTTTTCACCACGATGTTTGGTCGTGCTCGACGCCACTTGGAGTGACGAATGTCGCACCGTACCCTAATACCGACCATCTCTCACCTAATGTCCCTACCCACTACAACACCAGTGCCGGGTGTTCTCAACGGCGCGTCAATTCCTTCACACCGTCCTTCACGAGGCGGCCACAGAGGTGGCCCTCGACGAGGGAGAGGTGCACGACCACTAGGTGCGCTTCGGGATGGTCTACCGTCTCCTTCAGGTCACCAACACGGGTTACGCGACGTGCTCGGTAGCCCGACTGGCGTGTCTAGAGGTATGGCTACGGCTGCAATACGTCCCGTGGTGAAAGTCCACGTAGCACAAGTGGAAAGGTCCGCAACGCCGTCTCCTACTGGAACTATAGGACGGCATTTCTCAGACAAGACGTTCGCAGATGCGCCGATCTCGAATGCATCCAAGGCGGGGATAAAACACAAGTACGTCGACTTTTTTCTTTGTTCGTTTTCGTGAAACGGATGCCGACCGAACGTGAACGCTCCTAGGTTCTTGTCTGATGTCCAAGGTTCGGTTCATCGTGGTTGTCGAGTATATGCTGTTTGCTGAAAGGGATACTGTGCAGCTGCTACGCTTGACGCAGCTTTGAGTGGGAAGGATTTGTTAGTCCAGGCTAAGACGGGAACAGGTGGGTTTGTGTCGCTCGTTTTTGCTTGCTGTTGCTCAAGCTAGATGTACTCGTGCCATAGGAAAGACTATCGCGTTCCTCCTTCCTGCCATCGAGCGTCTTCTCAAAGCACCGGCTGCCACACGTCAAGGCATCTCCATCCTCGTTCTAGCCCCTACAAGGGAGCTTGCGCTCCAGGTACGTCGATGACTGGCATACATTCTCATGTACGCTTCATTCTGTTCTCCACTGCAGATCGAAAAAGAAGCACACATGCTCCTAGCACACCACCCATTCAAAGTCCAACATGTCATCGGAGGGACCAAGTATGTTTTTTCGACTTTCGACACGCCTTATCTTCTATATATACGACTAACGTCTCTTGTAGCGTAAATACCGAGTCTACACGTGTGCTCTCCTCTCCTTGTGACATCCTCATCGCGACACCTGGTCGTCTGCTTGACCACCTCCGCTCCTCGGCCCTTCCAAGCAAACTCTCAGGCCTCAAAACGATCGTATACGACGAAGCCGATCGACTTTTGGATCAGGGGTTCAAAAACGACCTCGACGCCATTCTCGGGTTCTTACCACCGAAGGAGACCCGGCAGGCACTGCTGTTCTCTGCAACGATTAGTCAGGAAATCAAGAAAGTCGTAGCTGGGGCTCTGAAGCCTGGGTACACGTTCGTGAGTACGCTGTTGGAGGACGAGGCGAATACCCATGAACACGGTAAGTTTACTCTTGCACAGATTGCTTTGCTTCGAGGTCCTCACGCACCCTGATAACGCATATAGTCAACCAAACGTTCATCATATCCCCTCAAACATCCTTCCTTCAAACTGCACTCGACGTCCTTCAAGCCGACCTTATTTCCCACCGCTCTTCCTCCACTTATGAGTCAACCTCGAAGTGCATGGTCTTCTTCCCGACGGCGCGCCAGGTTTCCTTCGCAGCCGAGGTCCTCTCCCAGCTACCCGGTCTTCCGCCTATCCTCGAGATCCATTCGAGGAAGAGTCAGGCTGCCCGCACCAAAGCCGCCGAAGCGTTCAAAAAGGCTACGAGCGCTGTGTTGTTGAGTAGCGATGTCGCTGCACGAGGGATGGATTTCCCTGGGTGAGTTTTCCGCTTTGCTGCGCGTTTCAGAGGGGCTAATGTTATTGTGGTGCTTTCCTAGTGTGACCCTCGTCCTCCAAGTCGGTTTACCCGCCTCGGCCGACCAATATATCCACCGACTGGGACGTACAGGACGTGCGGGTGCAGGTGGGCGAGGGATTCTCGTCCTTTCTCCCGAAGAGGAGTTTTTCCTCCGCACACCCGCGGTCCGCGCGCTTCCCCTCAAACCCGCCACCCCTCCATCGTCGTCGTTGACTTCGAACCCCTCGTCATCATCATCCACCGCCCTAACCAAAGCCATCGCCAAAGTCTCGCCCGAGACCAAAGCGCAGGCCTACCGCGCCTTCCTGGGATACTACAATGCGTACACGAAACCGATGAAGATGACCAAGGCCGAGCTCGTTGAGATGGCGTGGGTGTATGCTGTGGGTGCGTTGAGGTGGGAGAAGGCGAAGGGTCCACCGAGTTTGGAAGCGAAGACGGTGGGGAAGATGGGGTTGAAGGGCGTGCCGGGGCTGGTTATTGAGAAGGGGCCGAGTGGGAGGAGGAGGGAGGGTGCTAGTGCTGCTGCTGCTGGTACTGGTGGTGCGATTGGAGGAAGAGAGGGTGCGAGAAATGGGAGGGAGGGAGGAAGGCGATAGATGATAGATGAATTGTTCGGCTAGACTTGCAAGCTGCGACTGTAGATCTTTCAGTTTTTTTGTTCACGTACACATAGCAATTGCCTCGATAGAGTGTAGCATTTAAAAACGGGAGAGTTTGGCGTCTGGTGAACAGCTTAGCTAGTCGACAAGCAGTTAGATATGGACGGAAGCAGCTAACTTCACTGACACAAGTGACCTGTCGGACCGTCGACCGGACAGACCACTTCGCCGTATTAATTTCTTAACAAAATCAAGATCTCGTCAGATAGCTCAATTTATCTGCACGCGTGTTGTGGTCCGGAAGCAAGTGGAGAGACTCGAAACATCACCAACGACGAGCACACTGGCACCCCAGACAAGTGCGCCACACGACTCATTGGTCCAAATCCAAATACTTGGTCTACTTAGAATTTTCGGTTTATGCTCGTTTCTTGTTGAAGGATGCTGCCAATACTCGAGAGAGCAAACTTCGACAGAATTCAATTATGCTCAATAACGTGAATTACTAAAGTTTGAAAGAGAAGGGGATTATAGGTGTCCTGCTCAGCTTCTTCAGTGCATCAAGCAATTTTCGGTCTTCCTCCGAAACGGAAGCCTCGCTCAGTGCCTTCACTTCAGTCGAAGAATCGAAAGGTTTGCCATCAGGCTCGCAAACCGTCCCAGGTTCCGGCAAGGTGCCATTTACAAAGTAGTTTCGGATGTGTTTTTGTGTGCAAACGGAAGGAGCGCCCAACGAAGTATGCTTTCAAGTACGAGGGAAGTCAGCCTGTAGGAAAGGAATGGCAGGCAGAGCTTATGCTCACCCCTGCAGAATCTTGCGTGAGGACAACAGACCCATTGAAGAAGCCGGACATTTTCTTTGCACTGATCATTTCCGAGTCATTGTCGGCAAAATGAAGAAAGACAACAGAAGGGACTTACGCTAATAACGGTGTGGTAGGGTCTATGCAGGATGATTAGCGAAGTAAAAACTAGAACACGAAAATTATCCCACCTGCCGTGTTTCCGACCAAGAGAATGGGGTGACTTGTGTTCGCGTCAAAAGGGCCTATACCGTGGTCAGACCCATAATTTAAAATTGGTGTGGGAATGCCCACCTTGGAAGTGATTCTTAGGGAATTTAGGCCACCCACTACTTCACCTTTAGCAAACGGGCTATGCGAAGGACAAGATGGACGTACACGCAGTCCAACCTAAAGCGGGACCACATGTCACCCCATTGCGAAGAGTTGGCCATCATATCGAAGTACTCTTGTGAAGACTGTAAATCACCAGGAACATCATCTCCGTCATTGCATGGAATGCCAATTGACGCATCAAGGACGACGTCAAATAGGTGGGCCGATGCGTCACAAGAGCACTGATAGGGCGGAAGGCTGGCCAGTTCAAATAAGCGTCGACCATCCCCGGTAGAAAGCTCCGCTAATCCTTGAGCGAGGGTTGGAAAGAGGTCGTAAGGGAAAAAAAGGGACTCAAAGACGGCAATGCGAAGCAAGTTGTAGTCCAATACACCATAGGATGTATCAGTCCTTACGGGAACTGGTCGTGCACGAACGGATTCGTACAGTTTGCTCAGAGTTTGACGAATTTCATTGGCGGAAGGCGCCCAGAAGGCGCATCCTTGTTGGCCTGCCCTCTGTGCAGCCTGTGAAGAAGTGTTCCATGGTCTTGTCTGCATCGACTAGATTCTGGGTCCAGAGCGCTGAAATAATGTAAGCTACAGGGAGAGAAAAAAAACAGGAATGGAGATAGAACACTTACTAGCATAATAATCTTCAGAGTCGACGACTCCATCAATAACTAGACGTGCTATCTTGTCCTGCCTGGGGGTTAGAGTACACAACTTGGTGATGCCTGGAGCCCTTCTCTTACGGGGAACATGGCGGCAAAGGTAGCACCAAGGACAGATCCATATCTTCGTGGAACACGGATGAGCATTGAAGGATCATTTCTACAAATTGACTTACGAGAAACCCCAATACTGAAGCTTCTTCTGCCCATAGGCCTCGACGATACGCAGCATGTCTTGCGCAGTCTGATCTGTGTTTATATGCCTAAGGGACCCGTCATCCTGTTCTGCTGCAAGTTGTCCGAGCAAGGTGGCTCGAGCCCAAGTTCGAGCTATCCCCTCGTCGGAGTTGTTCACTACCCTGATTCCCATTCTTCCCCACAGCGCACGCTCAACATCAGTCTTGAAGAAGGAAACGCGTGGAAGAGAACGACCGGTGCCTGTTTACCGTTGGGACCATCAATCCTGAGTGCGGAAAGGTAAAGCGAATTGCGCACCTCTTGGGTCAAACCCAATAAGGTCGAACTGAGGACCAACGATAGTAGCAAACATATCCCCGGCCGTGATAATGAAGTCCACGCCACTTCCTCCGGGTCCTCCCGGGTTGAAGAGCACAGGCCCTCGATAGGATTCTGACTCTGCGGCAACGAGAGCGGGCTTGCGGACCAACGCGATGATTGCCTCTCTGCCTTCGGGTTCAGAATAGTCCAATGGCACCTAATAAACGTTGAGAACACGAATTTAAATTGAAACAGAGGAACTCTCACAATAAATCGAGCACATTGCAATCCTGAGTAACAGTCTTGCCAGACGAGGGTCTTCTGCGGAAGAACCTAATCGTTGTAGTTAGGGAACCTGTCACCAGAGTGAGAAGCCACGAAGACGTACGCCTTCCCAAGAGAATTCACCCTCTCGTGCATTCAGCTGTGATTCGCCAAATCCTGCACCCTTGTTGGAAAGAGGTTGATCGAGCTTGGAGAGCGAAGGAGAAGCTAATAGAGCCAAGGTCGCGAGGACCCCAACAATTCCGCGATCGCTGAACATCTTCAAAGTTTTGAAACAGGAGATGTACTGGGAATCCACCATCGACAAAGGGTTAATTTATAGGACGACACTTGAATGCAGGGACCCACCTTTAGAGCTCAACATTCAACACCAACGAACAACTGCGTACGCTGTGAAGTCTTCGGAAACAGTACTTATCCAAGCAACAACATACTTAGTCTCCTTGATAGTGTAAGCGTACTGTAAGCGGCCGTCACCCGCGAGACCTGGCTCACTTGGTAGCGGGAGAAGCGTCGTCAATGCTGGCATTACAGTATAAGGGCCCACAAGGCGATAGCCCCAAAGGCAAGAGCGCATGTCAGGCAGTCAGGCCTTCCTGTTAGAATCATCCCGAAGTGAAAAGCCATAACATGAGAACTGCGGTGGAGGAGACAACGCGAAAGATGGGGCATCTGACGTTGATTTGACGGTTGGTGTTCAAGTTGTTCAAGGACGGCGTCAGCGGGCCGGATCTGACTCAATTCACACGTACTTCAGTTAATTCGGACAAGTTACCTTCTAGTGGCAATGACATTCCTATCCGAGTCGGAGCAGACATCGCAACCGAATGCTTTCGTGGGGATGAAGCGGCCGTTGGTAAGATACGCAGCAGTCAAACGATAGATGGGTGCATACTCGACAGATATCCCTGTGCTCGAAGGAAGTTAGACCATCTCCATCCAGGTCTGAACGAACCATGTCTCCCACATGAACTTGAAACTTCCTTGGAGAGATTTGGGAAGGCGGTGGCGAGATATCATTCCTTGGACAGAAAGCGGTGATGGAGCCGGACTTTATGGCCAAGAGGTGAGTGAGCTGTCGTTCTTAGTGGAACAACCTCGGTATGACTACTATTGTATACTACTACAAGTGTCAAGAATTGGCTACGATCGAGCAGCCTCTGCCCGAGGATTCCTTCTTCAGCTTCGTCCATCGACTCTTGCTGTCCGTAGGTCCTAGAGAACTCGGCGTCCCCACCGTCTGGATGTGCATCGAGGTTGGGAAGCGACCGATAATAAATTTGTCACTACATGCTGCGATCCTTCTCCTCTACCTACAACCCACGTACTGTCTCGGAGATAGACGTCCCAAAACATGGATGAATACTATTTAAATAGTCAAGGAGGGCGAAACACCAAAGTTCAAATGAAAAAGTACACAACATAACCAATCGCGCACCCTTGCTCAACTCTTGTGCACTGTTAATTCATGTGAGGCTCGCAACATCGGACGTTTCCTTCGTCTTGAAGGGTTCAGGGTGTGTCACAAATGTGGTGCCTGTCGTCGCAGAGGGTCCTCGGGCGATGGACTGCGCCACACCGCGAGAGTTCAACGACGCGAGGAGCGCATTGAAATATACTAAAAACATTCGGTGAGAACATGGAATTGGAAGAGGTCCAAGGATGACGGGCGGACATTTCGTCAAGAGAATGTATACTCCAAAGTATATGAGCGAATCGGGCGATAAGGTGTACTGTCAATTTCGAAATGAATAATGGGTGGTAAAGATTCAAATTGTGCATACCGCGATCAGGCATCCAAGGGCGCATATACTGGGCGGGAATGAGATAGCGCGTTCACATGTTCTGCGGTAAATACACACCTAGTAACCAAGCCTAAAGAATTCTAGTTAGCTTCCAGTAGAACGAGCGGGAGATGTGCCAAGTTTTACCTGTATTGATGGCCAACGCAACAAGAAATGAGATCGTTGAATCCATTCTGCGAGCCTCTGATCAGCCTGAATGATTTCTTCAGAACACGAAAACTGATGAATTACCTATGAAAGCCAGTTCTGCACCGAATTAAGAGCGTAGAGAGCGAAATAGCGATGAAAAAGTCTGCAGCCACACAGGTAGCGAGGCCGCTATAGAGCGCCCACTGTAAAGATGTCGACCTCTTTTTATTCGCTTAACTGAACAAGACACTCAGGGCTTACGGAAAGTCTGTGAAATTCAAGGTAGGTCGTTAGGGTGAAACTGGGCAATGATGGGCTAAGACGGAGGTTCATCCGAGGATTCAAAGGGAACGCACCCTAAGGAGGCCAAAGCTTCATAGATCGAGTCAGCATGCCGTCAGGAGTGCTCTGGTAAGGGATTCACCAAAGGCTACGGCTGTTACAAATTGCGAAACGATACCGTGAGGGGACATGTACTGCTCAGGAGACGCATTCCCACCTGTGGAGCCGACAGAGAACAGAATCTGTACCCGTCAGCAGGTTTTTCATTAGTCCTGCTGTCTTAACACGAAGATTGTTGGCCAACTCACGATAATTGCCAATAACGAGCAGGCCAGAACCTTTTGCTCCTTGAGAACTGTAGACCAATTAATGGTTAAACACAAACGTCTACAACCTCCCAGATATTACTAACGCATGTATATCCTCCCTGAATAGATCCTAATGGTTTTTAACGTTAGCTAATATTACATCCATAATATCGGACTTGAAGTAGGCTACTCACAGACGGATGACGAAGTCACTTGTGGCCGCAACGTACATCTGAGCTAGACCAGACCTGGATACCAGTACCGCATCCGAAACAGTCCAGGAGTTGAGATTCACGGCATGAAATATCACGCACCGAGGAAGGCCGGCTAGAGTGTAAATATTGCCACAATTCGAAACAAGGCTGAAGTACAAGTTGTGTGCATTCAGCCCAATGTGGACCGTATCCGCAACCCTCGGCGAGAAGTTAGACAAACAAACATCACGGCACCTGAGTACGATGTGAGTGAATCATGGTCAGACACCCTGCGTGAACGAAGCGAAAAGATTGTGCATACCGTAGTTTTGAGGTAGGCATTGTCTCTTCTACCATTGCTGAAGAAAATGAACGTTTGACTGCAAGTGACGCCATAAATTCTGTGGACAAGCGTCGGTCAATAGAGAGTTTTTCCAATATGAATGGAGTAGACGAGTACTGACGTCGCGGCAAGCAGCATACCGATGTAAGGTGCCCCAAGGTTCTTGTCCAGGAAATGTGCTGGGAGTTGTTCCATCGTGAAATTGCCCAACGAAGAGTGCACGGCCTTTAAATTCAGTTCGCGTAGCGAGTGATGGGGAAAGTGGGTCGAAGAACTCTCCACCTTCACCCCCAGCCATATAAATGTGTAAAAATTAAACCTGATCTGCGTCCCAACAATCAGAACCTTGCAAATGTGTGGGCTTCGAGAGGCCACTGACCAGCATCTGAGGTGCTAAACCACAGTCGTCATCACAGAACATGTGTCCAGGTCGTCTCGAATGTGCCCTCGATGCCTAACTGCCGTGGCATCGTGATGTACTTATGACCGAAAATAATTCGGGTAGAAGGGTAGGAGCCCCGAAGCTGTGAGTTCAGGGAGTGTTATTCCATTATCATCTTCAAAACGGATAGTGGACTGTGTTAAGGTCTCTGGTACTCACTCCGCAAGTAAGGCCGCGATGACGAGAGCGAGGAAGACATGCAACAACATGGGCGAAGGTTTGGTGCACAGATTCGGCAGAAGTGTCAATCACGAACATAGGCTGTCTCTGGCGCATGCGAGATGAGACAACTTGCTGAGGTAGAAGATTATTGTTTGATTAGAAGTAGCACCCATAATGATGTCCAGATGGAGCGTTGAGAACTGTCAATATGAAGGGAGGGAAATCATCCTGGAAAGAAGTGAAATCTGATATGAAGTGTTAGCGATGGTTGGAGAAAGTTGGAGAATCATGAAAAGAAAAAAGGGACCTTTAGGCACCAGTACAAAGAACAAGTGGAGAACGAGAATGCGAGTGTATTATAGACGGCCAGTAAACAGCCAAACGTGCAGAGACACGCGGCGAGATGTCTCATAAGCTGCGCTCGTTAGTCGCCAACACTTCCGGGAACAAGGTCGTCGAATCTGTCGTATGAGGACTGGTCATCAGATCCTACATAAACCTCGTTGCCTGGACGACTCGCCGGCTGAAGCCAGTCCGACATCGAATCAACAAGACCGAGAGCGAAACAGTATGGGGATTAGCCGTGCACCACGACGGGCCTGCGTTGAGAGTTCAAATGTTCAGTGGTCTGTGAAGGCCGACGTCAAGGACGAACGGACATTGTTGAAAACTCCGCGTAGATTTTTATCCCAAAGCCAAGGACGAATACCTCAGCCAAAGAGGTTGATCACGATTGGTGGTAGTCCGGACGGCGCAACCAAGTCGCTAGCTCGCCAAAGGCGAAATCTGTGGAACACCCATCAAGGAATGTATAGGTACAATGAGCGGGTGTCTTACCTGAAGGGCCACCGGATGAAAGTTTCGGTCGATTGCAGTTCAGAGATGGCCCTGATTCGAAGGAACAGGGAAATATAACTTGCAATTTCTGTCACCGAGACAGACCAGAGTTGTTTTCTCTAGCCCATAACCAGTGATGAATGGCATCGTGTCCGAACTTCGTACCAGGGGCTTTCAAAAACAGATTCATTAAGCAAATATTCTGGTGGGCGACGATCCACAGGTTAAGCACGGGAACGATAGAATCGTTCGGCACTGTAAGGTCTATCTGGGCGAGGTCAGGCCTAGATACTAATATTTGTTAGCCTTGTTATCCATCCATCCAGCAACTTGAACAGCGAGAAGAGAACCTAAGAGAACTCATCGCGTGGAGCCTTGAAGCTTGAAGTGCGATGTGGTATTGAGTTGGGTGAGTATGAAGCGCTATCTGAAAGGTGTGGGGGAGCTAAAGGGCGACAATGTTGGCGACAACAACGCGTTTCGGTAGAGGTCCAGCATTGGCGGATGGGAAAATTCTCGGTCATTTCCGAATCACGCGATTCTAACAAGTCAGGTCAAAGACCTCTTATTCAAACACGCAACGTTGAAAGGAATGCAGACCTGCTCGTAGCACGATGCGATCGATCCGTGAGGCTGGACGTGGCAAAAGCGAGGAAGTAAGCTCATGTCGTCAATTACAGTCAAGGTGATGCTGTCACGACGGTACGTGTCTATCCTGCCTACACCTCATTTCTTTTCCTGAAGCTGTCCAGGCGATAGGTGTAAAGTTGTGCTCGATTTTTATTACGACAACCTACCGAGGAACACTCGCCCGTTCTAGGGCTGGGGCGATATTCGTCGGTTTGAAACCCGAAGTGAGGGGCGCGACGTCTGGGTGAGGTATCAGGCAAAGGCCTCCCCTTTACGCCTCTTGTCCTGGACATTGATGGAAGAACTGTGCACAGCGACTCTGTCTTAACACCACCCACCTCGGCTGTTCAATTCTCCGCCCTCGCATTACACGCTCAGATCGCAGCCGGAGTCCTTATCACCCCTCACCAAATCAATCTGGAGTCGCCTTCCGCGCTCGGGATCGTGCAACCGACATCCCAGCCAATGCAGGCTACCCACCATCCTGCACTCTCACATTCTCGATTTCTATTTCTGCCTTTTGTGGCCATCAACGGCCAAGGCACTCGAAATCGAGCGTCGACCTGAATGTCGACCCCATCTCGTCTTTGTTGCCTCAAAGCCGACGGAACACGCCTCCGCGTCGCTTCGGAGCGATACGAAGACAGATCGACCAGAACAACAGAGCACTGGAGCTGACGTTGACGTCCGCCACCCCGAAAACTCGAACAACAACATTACCCGTCAAGGCAAAGACACCTACACTGGCCATTGTGTCTCTGTGGTCCTCTTACCTCCTGCGCTCGCCGATCTCCTCCCTGCTTCAAGTCAAGGATTTTACCCTGTCTCCATCGATTACGGTGGATCGAACTTTCGCGATTGGATGGTGCAGTGGATCTCCTAAGAGCACTATGTAAGCCAATATATAATTTCTTTCTCTTCGCTCGTTCCTTAGACCACTGCTCTAGGTTTTAGCCATGAAGATTATCACTCAGCACGAGCCTCAGTCGACCCTCGGCGTCCGACTCTGTCATCACAAATTGCGGTCACACTTCATGCATAACCAACAGAACGCCGACTACTCCCAACACCGAATCCGAATACTTGGCACGCACCTGCCTGGAAATAATCGACTACTTAGGTGCTCGCATGTTTCTCGTATGTCGATTTCTATCATTATCAAACATCTTCCCCGCCTGTTACTGATATTCTTTAATAGGATTGTGCAACTGTGTTCTCCGCTAGCACCTCTAGGAACAAAGTCGTCGAATCTGATTTGTTGCACATCAGATCCTATACAAATCTCACCGCCTGGACAACTCATCGTCAAAAGCCTGTCCGACTTCAAGACCGTGAGCGAAATAGCGGTGAAGAAGCCAGCCGCGACACAACGGAACGCTTGGCTGTGGTCGAGTGTGGGCGGAGAAAGATCGATCGTCGTGCTTTCTTGAGGTCCTTTACTGACCTGCCCTCATGCCGACGGTCCGGCTTTGCCGTCGTGGAATCGACTAACGGCGGTCGTTGACAAAGCACGTTCCATTTTCACCTTCCTCGTTGTTGGCGTAACGTGAATGGATCCCTAATACCAACCACATCTCATTTAACGTCCCTACATGCTGCAACGCCAGTGGCGTGTGTTCTCAATGGTATATCAACTCCTTCACACCGTCCTTCCTTCGAGAGGGATGGATGTGAGTCTGTCTGTTTTACAAGGCGAGGCGAGCGAAATAGGACGGATGCAGGGGACGGAAAACATGGATGAAATTACGCCCAAGCAGAAAGATTATGAGATCGTAGCATTCCTTTTTGTGAGTTGACTTTTTGTCCATTTCAGTTCTTGTCGTGCTTGAGCCTTCAATTTGACTTCTTCGCGGTTTCTCTCAGGTTGGGGTGTAGCAGCTGGTCGTGCAGCGCCGTGCCAGCGGGGACCTACAATGCCAAACAAACAACCACGTCACGTCAACAACCCACTGAATGAACAACCGACAACAAGGGCCACAATTAAAGAAGGGCGAACACACCATGGGGAACACATGCTCGTTTTTCTCCACCAAACACTCCATCAAGACCGGCCGACTCCCATCATACTCCAAAAACTCCTTCATCTTGCTCTCCAGATCCTCCATCCTCTCGCACCGAATCGCATGCACGCCCATCGACCTCGCCAACAGCACAAAGTCTGGATTGACCATGCGCGTGTGCGAGTGGCGATTTTCGTAGAAGAGATCCTGAAGCTGTTGGACCATGCCCTGGAACTCATTGTTTAGGACGAGGATCTTGACGCCGATGGAGTACTGCGAGGCGGTGGCGAGCTCCATCGCGGTCATGCTGAAAGAAGAAGAAGAATGTGGTTCTTTATTGATTTACGAGGATCATTCCGTACATGACCGTAAGGGAACATCCAATCCTCGGGCTATCAGCGGCGTGACCTAAGTAATACCCTAAGTGTCCGTGATCATACCAATTATCGTGACATCCCGTAACTATTTACACTAATCAGGGCTTCGATATACCTAAGCATAAGATCGCGTATATTCGCACATAGTAACGCCCTAGCTCCCGAAAGCAGCCGTTCGTGTGACTGGCATCCAACACAACCTCCCTATGGGTTTGGGTTTGTTCCATCATTCACGTGCCACGCGGTTCTTTGGCGGTCCGTGTTAGGAGACGACTTTAGCCGTTTCGTGTAGTTTCACTCCCACCCTCCAGTACTTTTGGTATTAACACCTCGGGGTCGGCTCTAGCCGTCTCGCTGGTTTGCTTTACGTACTCTGGGAAGTCAGCGCACCGAAACACCCAGCAGGCTCCAGCAGATCATGTGAACCTTGTCCCGAAGGGTCGGCTCTAGCCGTCTCGCCGCATAGCGGCAGATCCACACAACCTTGTCCCTTGGCTCCCTATTTCCCTTCCTGGCATAGTCATTTTTTCGATGACTAAGGAGAACCAGGTGACCCTGATATCATTATGTGAGCATGCATAGGTACGGTCACTCCAGACCCTTGGGTCTAGAACACGCGAGACGTAGTCGCTCCCTAATACAGAGGCCCAGACGGTGTCATCCGGGGGCGTGGAAAAGTCACATGGTGTCTAAAGTGTGTTTATCCATGCAACCAGCAAGAATCGAACTCGAGAGCTCAACGCAAGCCTGGGGGTAAGTCCGCAATAGTGCCACCTGAGCTACCGCAGCCCCCGCGGTCATGCTGAAGGAGGCGTCTCCGTCGATGTCGACAACGGTTTTTTGGGGCGCGGCGACTTTTGCGCCGATGGCGGCGGGAAGGCCGAAGCCCATCGTCTGTTAAAAGCGAAGAAAAGGTAAATATATGCGCTGAAAAGGAAAGGAAATAATAGAAGACGCACCCCTTGACCACCTGACGTGACCATCGAGCGTGGGTGCTTCCACCTAAAGTGTTGTGCGGCCCACATCTGGTGCTGGCCAACACCCGTCGCGACGATGACATCGTCCTTCCTCTCCCTCGTCTCCTTATCCAGAGCCTCGATGACCTCCTGCGGCTTCATCCTCGCCCCCGGTGCGCTCTTCGCGAATGTGAACGGGTACCTCTCCTTCCACTGCTTGATATCCCCAAACCACCCCTCTCTCGGTTTCGCCCTGATCTCCGGCACCAGCGCCGCGAGGTTTGCAATCACATCGCCCACGATAGGGATCTGCGCCTCAACGACCTTATTGATGTTCTTGGGAAGGATCTCAAAGTGGATGATCCCACCATGGCCCTGAGCAGCTGCGAGCTTGGCCGCGGGGGCGAAGGCATCGACTTTACCCGTGACGCGGTCGTCAAACCGTGCACCGAGCGCGATGATCACGTCCGCCTGCTGCATCGCGAGGTTGGCATACGCGCTCCCGTGCATGCCCAGCATGTGCAGGCTCTTCTCGCTCGTCTCATCGAATGCTCCCAAGCCCTGGAGGGTCGTGCATACGGGGATGTTACCCTTCTCCGCCAGTTGGGCCAAAAGATTGGGTCCCATGGGTGACGAGAGGACGCCATTGCCCGCATAGATGACGGGCTTCTCCGCCTGGTTGATCATGTCCGCCGCCTGGTTGATGAGCTCGGCGTCGGTGGGTACTTCGGCCATCTGTAACGGGTTCATGGGTAGTCCGAGGTGGATGTCGGGTGTCGTTGCCTTGTAGGACAGGGGCGAACGCAGAATACCGGTTGTGACGTCCTTGGGCAGGTCGACGAGGACAGGTCCAGGTCGGTCTGAGGTGGCGATCTCGAACGCTTCCTTTATCCGCTGGGGAAGCTCCTCGATGGTCTTCACCATCACATTCCACTTGGTGCAGCTTCTCGACATGCTGACGACGTCCGCCTCTTGGAAGGCGTCGGAGCCAATCGCGGAGGTGGCTACCTGGCCGGAAAAGACGACGAGGGGGATACCGTCGGATAGGGCATCCTGCATGGGTGTAATGACGTTGGTCGCTCCAGGACCAGAAGTCACAAGGACGACTCCGGGGAGGCCAGACACACGAGCGTATCCCTCCGCCATGTGTCCGGCTCCCTGCTCGTGGCGAGGTAGGATGAAGTCGAAGTGGGGTGACTGGTAAATGGCGTCGAACACTGGGAGAATGGCGCCGCCTGGGTATCCGAAGATGTGCTTGACCCCATGACGCAGCATCATCTCATGGAAGATTTGGCCACCTGAAAGGCCAATGAAAGAGTGGTCGAGAGCGGCATTGGGTGCTGGTCCTGGACCTTCAACATGCGGTGGGGGCGGTCTTGTGTTGCTCAGGTCCTGCTGGAAGCCTGGCGTAGGCGTCGGTCGGCTAGTGGTAACTCAGGTCACGAACATACTCTTTAGAAGCAGTGCGACGTACACGGCAGGGGCTGGCTCTGCCTTTGCGACGGTGGATTGGCTGCTGTTGCGAGCATGCTCCCTCACTCTCGACTTTGCGTCGATCATAGAAAACGAGGTCGGTGCGACGGTAGATTTGCATCGAATGGCCTGTGCTGCTTTTGAGCCACTTTTGGCGGTGAAAGATCTTGCGGCGAGGATCATCTCGGGGAGGAGGAGGAGGCAGGGAGACGACGAGGTGTTTCTGAAGTCCTGAGCGAGAGAGCGAGCTTTTGAGCAGAACAGGCTCCTTACAAAAAATTCTACACGGCAAAAAGGACTCCTGACCGACCCCCAGCCAATGCAAACCCAGCAGTTCTTGAAGGGGACCTGGCCGGCGATCTCTCAACCAACCAACCATATCAGGACCTCCACGTCGGCACCAAACCCAGGAAGCTCCAGCATGTCATCTTGTCCGACTCGTTCGATGGCTTCCCTGCATTGGATTACTTATTCCCCCTGTGGCGTCTCTTTGAATAGCACTCGACTATGCCATCTGAGCAAGCTGACAACATTGCCCTCTTCACTCAGCCAACCCCCCTTCGGCCTTCACTGCATGCCCCCAGTTCCAGTTTTCGTCCCATCCTCCTTTGCGCCTCAGACTCGGGCTCTGCTGCACAGGTCTGTCCTACATAGCATCATATTGATTCCCCATACATACACCACCTCTCGTATCTACGGCTTCTGTCTAAATCAAGCACAATGAGTCCTAAGAAGACATTTTGGCCATGGAACGACGTATGAGGAAAGAGGGAGCATGCCCAAGTGACGTCTGATCGTCTTTTCTTCCGTAGATCATCATCTTCCGTACACCGACATCGTCATCTATCCTCAAGGATCAGCTAGAAGCATGTAGATCTGTACCCCATCCAAGTCACTGTGTGATGATCTAACCACAGACGCCCTTGCCCCGATCTATAAGTGGAACGATTACTTATGGTTAGCCAATGGGAACCGGACGGAAGCTGCTGCCAACGATAGCAGACACAGAGCCTCATACCTAAATACACCCTTGAATTAATTAGAGCATCCCTGAGCGTCATACGCTGGGGATTGGCCATCCAGAGTATCAACAGGGCTATGGATGGTGTAGGAGGCTCAGATAATGAACGCACTGGCAGACAGGAGCTTAACAGAGAGCATTTCCCTTGAATCCAGCCACGCTTGCTGTCTGGATCTGCGATAGGATCCCAGCGGGTTCACAGATCTATCCAGTTCACCGGCGCATCTCTATCTCTGCTAATTGTCAATCCTCTTCGTATCAGAGCATGATGGTGCCTATACGGTCCAGTCCTTATGCGGCGTGCGCCCCCTTAGGGCATACTTCTGTATATCATCCACATCCCTCCTCGCGGCAAGTTTTGTGTCTCGATGTTCCAAACAAAAGTAGGGACTCGGAATTTCTTTCCATTCTTAATGGGTAGGTATGAGGGGCCGATTGGAAATTTATTCCTACCAGGAAATATTAACGTAGAATTACTTTTTCAAGTAATTTGAGTTGCCTTCCTGTACACAGCCAGGTAGCCTGTTCAACCTCAGGCTCACCTGTGCTTGATTGAACCTCAGACAAATGATGGCTAGGCAATGGTTACAGCCCTTTGCGGAACTTAGGGCGCGGGCCGTTTTTTTTTCAAAACGGGTCGAGCTGATGGTTCGAGCGGGATCGGGACTCGTTCGTGGAATAACTTCGTCAATTTAAGCCCGTTTCGAATAAAAATACAATCGTTGGACTCGGATTGAAATTCTGCGTTGAATGGTGTATAATATGTGGGAGGAATGTCATAGTAGGCTGAGGCATTTCATCCGTGCTCATTTTGCACCCCTTCAATGAGGTGGCTACAAAATCAAGCATTTTCATTACCCGTCTTCACGTAGTTTGCATACAGAAGATACTTTTACATGGAGAATACACTATTCAATAAAATAATCCCCGATGTATGGAGTATAGCATGCCCGGATTGCGAGAGATTGCGAGGGCTTCCCCCAGTGGTTTCATCTGGACCTGGGACTGCCTGGAACCATGAAATGGACAGAGTTCTTGACATGTTGGTGCTACACTGACACGAACAAACCGTATCTATGACCGATTAGGCCTGCAGCATCCTCTGGACATGGGTAAAGACAGTGTTTGAGCAGCCTACGAGAACTGGTGTTGGGCTGTCTTCATTGTATTTCTCTCAACTAGAAAAAAGATATTTGCAGTTTAGTTTGAGTAAGTACATAATGATTTTGTAAAAAGGTGAAGCTTCTAGGTAGTTTTCAGGTTGGAAAGTGGACATCCCCTCATCCACATATGTATGTGCATTGTGAGCGGTGGCGTTGCCCCACCAACTTCGCCCTGGGCTCTCATTTAATGCCCTATTTCTAATGTAAATGATCTCTCATTGTAAGACAGCTTTGCTCAAGGGAGAATTAGCCCAAGAGGAGAGCTCGACGAAAGCGAATGGCCACCACCTCATCAGAATCTTCCTCTAGTCAATATTCCTCTCATTCCCTCACTCTACCCCACTTTTCTGGACACTATTCAATGCATAATTTCAATCCGAGTCCAACGATTGTATTTTTATTCGAAACGGGCTTAAATTGACGAAGTTATTCCACGAACGAGTCCCGATCCCGCTCGAACCATCAGCTCGACCCGTTTTGGGAAAAAAAACGGCCTGCGCCCTAAGTTCCGCAAAGGGCTATAAAAAGTAGCAGGTTTCAACGAGGTTAGATGTCCCCCTGCTTAACCATTGGTCAATGCCACTATGCACGGCGTGCAATGACAACCACAAGCCATATGGCGTCATCATGTGTACACCGTCGGTTCGGCACTTGGGCCCATCTCGTTCCCTCTCTTTCGCATCGCTGCGCTCACATTCTGGTCATTTGAGATAGGAAGAGCCAATGTGTTAGATGGTACATAGGTTCACATAGGTACAACCACAAATATTATACGAACGTAGAAAGACAAAAACGCAAAAGTAGAGCGCACCTCTGAAGCCCTCCCCCCACCACCCAATTTTGCTATGCTCCATGGTCCCTCGATGACAGCACCCTCTTCATGGATAAAAGAGATTTCCGCCCAACTCTTCGGGGCAGGACAGTTACGCGCTCGAAGTTAGTAGAATTTGGAGTGCTTCAGTGTTACAGGAAGGCAATGATCTAGGGATGGAATAGTCAGCTGTGGTGTGGTCCTCTAACAAGTGAATTTGGGAGCACATACCTTGGTGGAGGAGCACCCTGCACCCGACATCTACCACTCCCCGCAACTGCCCTTGGAAGAAAGATTATACATGAAACACCTGTGCCACTCAGCGTGGAGCCCACAGACGGCCGTTGGCATAACACATCCAACCACAGGTGTACACGAATTCAACCTTCGCGCCACATACATCGCGGAAGGGAGAGGATTGGGGCGGCGAGCAAGAGGGGGACATGGTCAAGTTGAACTTTCAAACGTTGATTAGGCGACTAATACCGCCCGCAGGCAAATAAATGCAAATAAGGGCATCGCCCTTTGCCAGGACCCGGGAAGCTTCTGCAAAAGCTTGTCCGGGCAAAACCCAAAAATTCAGCCTCAAATCCGTATCCTTTAGGCCCTCAGATCCGCATTTCCGGACAAAGGTCGCCAGGGTCCTTCTTTAAAAGGTAATTTTTTTTCCGGCGCCTGCGGCACAGAATTCGCTGCATCCTATGGCAAGAAAGCAACATCGAACTCGCGCCCACAAGACGCGCGCGATCCGTGGCTGAAAACGGCAAAGACAACAGCAGCCTTAATCGACACCTGTCCCTCGATCACCTTGCTAGATGGCCAAATGGATGATGCCGCAAGAAATCGGGGCAGCAAGTGGGGGGACGGTGCAGCAAAATTAGGGCAGCTAAGCAAGGGGGAGAAGGGGAAACACAGGGGTGGCGAGATGACACGAGGATGGAGGCAAGCAGGATGAATGTGGCTACACGGCAGCAAGACGGCGAGTATAGGGAGGGCGGCAGTTGAGACGAGAAGGAAGAATGGCCGTCTTGCCAGCGCTTTCGTGTGTCTCCAGTACTTACGTGTGTCGGGTATAACACCATTCTATAGACCATTTTCCACCACAAAAATACGATGTAAAACACTGAAGGAAAGTAAGAGCCTACTACTAGTACTGGCTTTTAACAACTGACCCCTATGAGAGCACCTCCTTATAATCGTGATGTAGACATAAATCCGGGTTCTTTCCATGGCAATTGGCTGACAAGTACCAGGGGTTTGAAGGAGCAATCGCGTCCTCGAAGGGACGCGTCGTGGTCACATGGAAGTTTCAATAGGCGAGAATTGGGCCAAATATGGTGGAATCTCGGTAATTTCTTCATGTTTTGAGCTTGATTCGTAGAGCTGCAGGTGTTGGCCACATACATTCAATAGAAATTGCCTCGGTGTCCATGGGCTTATCAAATATTTTTGCCCTCCGAACCCCCTCAAATCCGCAATTCCGGACAAAGATTGGCCATATTTTCCCTCAAATCCGTATCTAGGCGGACAAAGATTTGGCAAATTTTGGACCTCAAATCCGTAAAAATCCGGACAAGCTCTTGCAGGAGCTTCCCGGGTCCTCCTTTGCCTTCGTCGCTTTGAAGACTCATATCTCCTGAGGGGTCTACCACTAAGGTGAAAAATTTTAATACAAGATACAGTCTACATATCTCTCCATAATTAACATATTAATTTGTACGTCAGACTGCAGAGAGCCTCCAGGATGAGGGCGCGATCCATGTTGAGTATGTCACATGACCTCCTCACGGCTCGTCTGCTTAACCCCAGTGCCAAAACTGCGTCGTGTGGCAGACAGTCTGGTGAGGGAGCATCGAGGTTGAAGCCATGATTGGAGTCCTGATAGTTTGGATGATTTGGAGGGTATGGGTCCTGGCGTGGACTGATAGGGAGGACAATAAATATCGTAAAGAATCCAAAAAGAATCATTGGTGATTATCTCATCGGTGTTCGCTAGTAGAGCGGACGTCGATGCTGAATCCGAATTGCGTTGAGTACCGGAGAATTTATGATACAGGGAAACTTTGACTGGAACTTTTGTCTGAGGAGAGAAATCAGCCCTGGGACTTTCATGACCATGAATGGGATGAATGGGACGTACCGGAACTCTTTCTTGGAGGAATGTCCTGCCGGAACTTTTTTTTCTCGAGGAGAGATGCCTTGCACAAGTTGAAAAAGCTAGGCAAAGATTCCGACAAGTCGATCAAAAGCAGGCCCAGATATGTCACAAGTTTGAAAGCAGGTTCTTGTAGGAAACAGTATAGAAATGACATAAATTCAGACATATCTAAAGACCCTTCTGCATTCGAACGCACTGGCTACAATGTACAGAAGGAGTCAAGAACCTCAAGCAATTTTCCTGTTAAGGAGAATTCCGGCCCAAATGGTGCTATGCCAGCTACAACGAGAGTATCAAACCATACCAAGAAACTCCATCCGAGCCAGCTCATTGTCCACAAATACCCGATGACTCGAGGCACCCGATGGACACCGAATCTCTTGAAGATGGCGATGATGGCATCTTCAAATGTGATAGCGACGGCTTGAGTGAGGAAACAGATCATGTTATCGATGAAAGGCTTGATGTCATGAGTGACGGTGAAGTCGGCCAAGGCATGGAAGAGACCAGAGATGAAGAAGGCAATGTAAAGTTGGGTGTATGATGATCGAGAAGTCCCCTTGGGAAATCCTAGAATCGTGTTTGTAAAGTATTGAGCATGTGTGGCCACTCCCTGAACAACGACGGATCAGAGAGAAACCCATGATGCATGGAGCAACATACCATACGGATGGCTTGATGCCAAGTTTGCCTAGACCACTGAATTTAGCAATTGTTTCCTTATGCGTCACGATGATAATGACTTACCCCCAGAACTTCCGGACTGTTACTGTCTCATCCAACGGCCCGAACCACCACGGCCAATCACTTGGCTCTGAGATCCCCAGAGAAACGAAGATAGCAGCACCCAACACATGGGTGGATTGCATCAAGGCATACAGGGAGAAGAAAAATAAGACCCCATTGAACGTACGCCAGAGGACCCATTGCGCATCTAAAATCCCTTGCTCGTGCAATGCACCAACAGCATTATTGTGCCGAACCGCAAACTCCAGTGCATCGCGGAGCAGGAAAAAGGTGGCAGCCCACTTGAGTTGGGACCAGACGAAGGCCCAACGTGTGTGGATGCTGGAGCGGCGGAGTCCCCGAACTTCGCAGGACCAGTTGGCGCCACGAGTGTTAAGGATAAGGTTGAGGCTCCATCGCAATCTTGAAACGATGTCTAAACCCGCTGCTGGTATGTTCTGTCCCTTCTGTTGGAGCTCTTGCAAAGGATTCTTGGTGAAGAAGACGAGGTAGCAGGCCCGGCTGAGGTATTGCGCACCGATGAAGCCCAATTGAAATTCAGTCGTGGCGGTAAGCGGGGTTGGAGAGGGAACAAGGACGATAGATAAGTAGACGGCGCAGACGATGGAAAATGTGACAGAGCGGATGGGAGATGGTTTGAGGGCAAGAGAAAGGACGAGAGAAGCGATGAAAAGTATAAATTTCGACTGGGTCGTTTCGAATAGCTTTGGAAAGTCCATGGGAGGATCTATGCTGTTTAATCGACAGTCTTACACTCGACTCTTATAAGAACTTACGGTCTGATGATGAACCTAGAGTATAATGCATCGGCATCCTGTGTTGGCGTCATAGCCGACGATTCGAATCGAGTAAGCGGTTCGTGAGGGGAATTACACGAACGGGATTCAGCAGAGCATGAGGGGAGTATCCGGAGAAAAACGAGGGTGAGGGTGAGGGTGATAAAGGACAGACACGGCACCAAACCCAGTAGTTGAGAACGAGGAAGCCCGTACGGCCACACACGTAGATCTCCGACGCAGCATCCCAGCATCCCTGACTAGTTTGATGGCTTTCATGCATTGGATTAATTATCAACCCAACGGTGGCTCCACAGACGTCTCTCTGAATGGCACTCGACTATGCCATCTGAGCAAGCTGACCACATTGCCTTCTTCACTCGGTCAACCCGCCCTCGCTGCGAGCCCCCATTTTTTTTTTGGCCTGTCCCCCATTACGCCTCAGATTCCAGTGCACAGGTCTTGCGCTACGTCATGTTGACGTCATGTTGATTTCCCCCTTGCGCTGTCTAAATCAAGCATAACGAGCCCTAAAGAGATACTTTAGCCATGGGACAACCTGCAAGGAAAGAGGGAGCATCCCCAAGTCACGTCTGATCATCTTTTCATGGGGATCTGTAGCCCATCACCGCGCGATGATTTAACTACAGACACCTTTGCCCCTATCTTCAAGTGTTGCCCCGATCCATAACGGCTACGGTTAGGCAATGGAAATTGGACAAAGGGGGCTGCTGTCAACGATAGCAGACCGGTGCCTCATACTCCAGCACACCCTCGAATCGCTGCCAGCTGGTGTTGCGATGTTGGAGCTGTGCATAGTCTGCTACAAAAAAGTATGATTTCGAGTCGAATGTCAACTTTGAACGTCAGAACAGGGAGGGGCTCCGCAGGGATACACATCTCAGAGGGACAATGGAGCAGACAGTGGATGTGAGAATCGTGTTGTCGATAGATTGTCACAACAAAGAGGATGGACAAAATCTCTATTACTCGGCTTGGAGCTGGTTGTAGGGTGGGCATCGGTGGTCTGCGGGGACAGGGCATTAGTAGAAACTTGACGCGGGAGGGATCAGTGTCGGTCCCGTGTGGAAGATAACATTGTCGCAAGTGTTGAACGAAGGGGATCCTGCTGTGGTCGTTCTTTGCCTGACTACAAACTATTAAGCAGGGGTATTTGCGCCCCATATGACAAACACCGCCTTCAAGCTTTTCAAACGGACGTCCGTAGACTTCGCAATATCACCAGATTGGGCCCGCTTCGCCGTAAATAAGCTGTCAAGGTGCTATTATATGCCCTGCGGAGCCAACGGGAACAAAAGAAGGCCTAGGGAGAGCGAGGTCGGAAGGGAAGAGGCACGTATTGCATACCAGGCAGTATGAGAGAATGCGGTATGCTATCAAATGTGCTGTGGACAGTGTAATGGAGGTTGCTTGTGGTGTGACTTGGTTGAAAACTTGAACCCGCATTCGCATCCCACTCGGGAACGGGGTGAAGCTCGATGAAAGGCCAGGAATTTCGTCAGGGGAAATAACCAATGCACAGACATGGGCAGTGACCAGGGCACAACAGCGATACGAATGATAAACTAATTAAAGCGAAAAGAAATTGTCAGTTGGCCTCGATACTACGCAGGAGAAGACATACCACACCGACGGACGAGACGATGCCTCGGGAGGAGACGGCGTCTGAACTGACGACGGACCCTTTCGACGTTCTTCTCTGGATGAGGCGGCATCTCATTTATGCGAAACCAACTGGTCAATAACGAACATACACATCAGCACCAAAGCACATTATTGAAAGTGAAATTTACTCACTACGAAGGATGAGACGGTGGCAACAACGCTTATGGGCGTCAGCGGGCAATGGACCTCCCTCAATTGTTGCAATGCTCCTGCCGTCGTCAGCGTGTGAGCGCCTTGCTTCAGTATTGCTCCGTGGAACGATTTCTTGTCCGAGGGCACACAATGCGTAACCGAGATTGAAGGCATGAATGAAAAGGCGGGGGTAGCTCGCTGACAAAGGCCTCCCGCCGTGTTTGCTACCATGGAATGAATGGAGTCAGCTTCGGCGAAACAGGCAGAAAAAACAGTAGTCGGAAGGAAGCAGGAAGTGCGAAATATATACCAGGCGCGGTCCCAGGTGTGAGTCCAGCGCCTGTTTTCTCACTAGTAGAACGATTCAGAATGTATGCATCGACTTACCATTAACAGCCCACGACGATAATATTTCTGTATCCGAAAGCAAGTAATACCCGTGTTCCATCGTCCTTTCTAGATAACAAAAAAATTGACTACAGATTAGTAAAATATGTTGGCGCGTCATTGGTGTAAACCATACCGATTTTGTGCTCACAAGCTCGAGCTAACCCAAACAAGAACCAGGTCAAAGCCGCTCATACCATCAAGAATCTGTCGCATAGACAAAATTTCCAAGGTCGGATATGTCATATATGCGACCTATTCTCGTGAGACGAGCGTATTTTGCCCGAGAATATGCTGTTCATCTAGAGAGAGTCTGAGGTGAGTCTCCGAGTCGCTCAACCGGGATACTTGGCATGACTTACGGGATTTCAGCGACTGGCAAAATCGCTCTAGAGGAGAGGATCGGCTGCTCAGAAGGATACATGAGGCCATATATGAATCTGATTGTAGAGGATGGGTGGGCCTGTAATGTTAGGGCAGGCTTAGGTCGACGCCAGATTGACCGGCCCTGAATCACACCCAACCCGGCCCGTCCTTCCTTGTCCTCTCCGTTCTTTCTTACAGGATCTCCCACAGCACCCTAGCCTTTGGCCTCCTCCGTTCCTGTCCCGGATCTCTGCTCCACAACCACAGCTGTACCATGGCTTTTACCTACTACGATTTCAAGATTCTTCCACCGCTACTCCACTTTCTCGCCACCCAGCTCACGCCGGGAACAAGAAGTCTCGGAGATGGGTTTGGTGAGATGGGGCTATAACACTGGATGATTTAAGTACTGAATGCTCTCAGTAGTACGTCGCACTCCCTGTTGCTAATTTAGAATCATTTGGCTGACGGCGGTGTCCTCTTAAGGCATCGAACCCTGTTCGTCGTGCCCCGTCCATCGTGTGCTGGTGCCGAGGTCAAATTCATCCGACCGTTGTGCTCTCCCAGAAGCTCGACCAAAACTGCCAGGCGAACGGATGGCCTTCACGCGCACTCCAGCCCTCAAGCTTTCAAACTTCAAGCGTCAAACTTCACGGCCTCCTGAGGACCACTGATCTCTGTCCCTCCTACCCCCCTTAACGCACCGAGCTCAACCGTTTACGTTTCAACTCTGGCTCCTTTCTACATATCCCAGGCTCTACCATATTCTATGCAGGCGTGTTCCATCTGTATGAGGCGTATCTGGGCTGCGGCAACTTCGGATCTCGTGCATTGGTTGTCTGTGACATGAGGTCTACGGATTATCCTGGATTCATCACTCAGCGCCAATTTCCCTGCAGCAGGCAGCTGACACTCCCGTCCTGGCTCACTACACCCCATCTCCCTTCCCTAGCTTGATAATCCTCTCACTAACCTCCCTCACCGAGTTCAATTCCTCCACGCTCGCACCAACACGTCGCGCCCCATCCAGGTGCCATGCAATCTGTCGCGGCGTGTCGACGGCGATGAGTGCTGCGACGAGGGTGTACGAAGTCTCTAGTGGGGTTAAGATGTATGTTTGTGTTTGGGCAGAGGAGGAGGAAGAGGAGGGGAGGGCCGTCCCGTAGACAAGGCCGTAGCATGTCGTTCTCACGGACCAACCTACAGAAAACGGGTCAGGTTTTGTTGCATAATGCGATGAAGCGACGCACCCAGATCAGGATAAATCGCATCCAGCATCCCCATCACCTCCTCCGCCGTTTCTCCATACAGCGTCTTAAAAAATCTATTACCGGCTACCTCATATCCTTCCAACGACAGGTTTGGATTTCTATCAGTTCAACCTCCGATCAGTTCTAACTCTGAGACTCTAGAAGACAAGTGAAGAAAATGGCTGGAGCCTCACCTCAGGAGCTGTTTCTCCCTCAGCTTTTCCGGCATGGCCTCATGCAACGCCTTCAGCCCATTAATTGCCCTAGGGTAGCCACAGATGTGCGCCGACTTGAACACCGCCTCGCGCATCTTCTGCGCCAGCAGCATCTCCTCCTGCACTCCACTAGGTTGGCTCAAGATTCTATTCGTGTTCGCAGACCGTAGATCTGCTAGAGCATGCTCGAACACCCTCGGTACGCCTTCTGGGCGGTTTGACGCGCTGAAAGCGACAGCGGCGGCGATGAACCACGGATTCCTGAAGTCTTCTCGCCAATGAACCTAAGACACGCTATTTTGAATTCGAAGAAAGAGAGAGGTGCGTACATGACGAGGATGGATTGGATGCATTGAGCCCTTTTTCAGGGAAGAGGGCCTTGAGGCTGTTCAGGAACGTTGAGGATATGGATCTGCGCAGGGGTATGGCCATCGGTGCGGGGGCTCACGTCGATACGGGAGGAGAGATGGTGAACGTTCGAGAATGAAGCGTTACACCCCCGGGTGCTGCTAGTTTATATACTCCAGTTGGGGATGAGTACTGAGTCCTCTAACAGTGGTCGGAGTTACACAGCGGCGAGGGAGTAGGCGCACCAAGGTTTCCTAGAGGAGCTGTAGCTTTCCAGTGCATCTCTTAGTACACTACGTAGGGTCGGGAGTTCCTCGTTTCCAATCATCAAAGTGAATCACCAGCGGACCAAACGAACGCGAAAGCACCGAGTCTACAACAACAAAGAGATGGGGCGCTCACCATTTTCCGCATCGGAAGCCAGCCGCTTCTTGTATAGTCCGTGCAATGCTGCATATCTCAAGATGTTCGCTAACCCGGAAGGTAACTCAGGGGCACCTTGGATGGGGTTCGAGGTAACCAACTTCGTGGCCAACTTACCCAGTTGGGTATAAACTCCAGTCGGGTATGATCAAGTCCGGCTCCGTTCCAGTGACTTCCATGGAGCGACCATAACTGGGCATACACACCGTCAACACCATCACCGATCCATACTGCCGTGTCCAGTCTACTACAGCCGTGCAAAATGAGAACGAAAGATGATTATCGCCATTCCTTTGTATATAAGCTTTGAAGCCCTCCCCATCCTCCATACACATTTTTACCTTTCTTCCAACATGTCTACGGATACTCAAGCTCTTCAAGCTGAGGTCGACCGTCTCCGCCTCGAGTTGAAGACTTTTCACGTCGATGCTGGCGTCGAGAAGATCTCTATTGGGAACTACCTCCTCACCCGACTCGCGCAGTTGGACGTAACTGTATGAAAGCGTTATCTGTTTAGATTTCTTGGTGCTGATCATAAATCCTAGTCGATGTTCGGCCTTCCAGGAGACTTTAATCTTGGCTTCCTGGCGAGTCCGACTCAGAGGTTCCTGGTCTCCCTATACCTATGCTAATTCCGTTCTTGCAGGATCTGGTCGAAGACCACCCCCAGATCGACTGGGTCGGAAATTGGTATGCAGACTCTCCACACCCTGTTAGAAGAAACTCTGAGGGCAATTTAGCAATGAATTGAATGCTGCCTATGCAGCTGATGGCTACGCCAGGATCAAAGAGGGTTCCATTGGCGTCTTAACCACGACGTTCGTCCTTCAAACATGCATAGTGCCCATTTTCGTGATCAAGGACCCTTGCACAGATTCGGTGTTGGAGAGCTCTCGGCCATGAACGGTATCGCTGGAGGTGAGGGTGTCTATTTCTTGTGCCTTTTGATACTCACCCTATGCTTTCATCAGCCTTCTCGGAGATGGTGCCCGTCCTCCATATTGTGGGAGTACCAAATACGGTCCAGCAGAAGACCCGTCCCCTTCTCCATCACACCCTCGGTGACGGCAGGTAAATCATCCTATCTCCTCCTGTAAAAGTCTACGTTTAGCATCGCCTACTAGATATGATGCTTACGGCAAAGCCGCCTCCCAGTTCACCATTTGCCAACAATATCTTATGGACACACAAACTGCAGCGGAAAAGATTGACCACGCTATAACAGAATGCATCACGAAGGTGCCCAACTTTTTGTACCACACCTGCGGAGGGTTTGCTCATTTTGATCCCTCTAGGCCCGTCCGGTCTACCTCACCCTTCCTACCGACCTCGTCTATCGAAGAGATATCCTCTGAGCGATTGAAGATACCTTTGTCTCACGATATACCCTTCAACCAACCCGAGATGGAGCAAGCCGTCGTTGATTTGATCTATGGCCGTGTCAAGGCAGCCAACGGTGACGTTGTTGTTATCGTTGATGCTTGCGTTATTCGCCACAGTGTCCGAAAGGAGGTCGACGAGCTTCTCAAGGTGACCGGTTTTCCCGTTTATGCGACGCCAATGGGCAAGACTGCTGTCGATGAGAGCTATTTCCGCTATGGTGGAGTGAGTAACTTCCATTACACCTCAATACGACCTCACCCTTATCATATTCAGATCTATATCGGCTCGTTAACACCTCCCGACGTCAAAGAGAAAGTCGAAAACGCGAAGCTCATCCTGTCGATCGGTTCACTCGGCAGCGATTTCAACACCGGCAATTTCTCATGGAACATCCCTAAGACACGCCAAATTGAGTTTCACTCAACCTACACCGAAGTCAACTTTGCCCGATTCGATAACATCGGGATGAAGCATATGCTGCCCAAGCTCTCAGAACGCCTCCGTGACTTTTATCCTCCCGGGCACAGACTTCCGGTTCCGGCGTTCATTAAGCAGCTTCCCGAAGAAAACACTCCCGTCATCTCGCATTTGTGGTTTTGGCCAAGAGTCGGGTACTTCTTCAGGCCCAAGGACGTTATCATCACCGAAACGGGCACCGCCAATTTCGGTATTCTGGACGTTCCTTTGCCTAGCGGTGCTATTCTACTCAACCAAATTCTTTGGGGTAGTATCGGGTGGTCTGTTGGTGAGTGAAGCAAGCTCGTCTAGTGCGCTTTTCTCGCTAACTTTGCGTAGGCAGCACTCTTGGCGCAGCTTTGGCTGCAAAGGACGTTGGAATGGAACGAGTCATCCTGTTCGTGGGTGACGGCAGTCTGTAAGTTGGCCTGATCGTCGATTATCATTTCAGCATCGATTGATTATTCATTCTAGGCAATTGTCCGTCCAAGAAATTTCGCCTATGATTAGGAAGGGCTTGAAACCTATCATCTTCGTTCTGAACAACAAAGGATATTCGATTGAGCGATATATTCATGGAAAATATCGGCGAGTTCCTTTTGTACCGCCTTTGTAGGTCGCCTCATTGACCATTCTACCCAGTGGCTACAACGACGTCGCAAATTGGAAGTGGTCAAGCCTTTTGGATACCCTGAACGACGGCGGAAAACACTCCACCGCCAGCTATACCGTAGACAACAAGGAAGAACTCAACGAACTCTTAGACAACGAAGCGTTCGCTGCCGCTGACAACCTCCAGCTCGTCGAGGTCATGATGGATGCTCTCGATGCACCTCAGACTTTGGAGAGGCAAGCTGAGCTCACGGGCAAGGGTAATGCCTACGCTGCATAAAAGCTTCTGACTTGGACTTAATTTCTCAACCACCTCTGTGTACTGTTTTAGATGTGACAAATAGAATGCACGTTATGCTGCCTCCGTCAATGAGATGCTGGCTTTTGTTTATTTATTCATGTGTAAGCAGTAGCTGAGAACGAGGAAGCCCCAGCATCTCAGCTTCCCCAAGAACCGACAAGTGGTATAACTCCCTATGGAACACCGTCCGGCCCGCTGGTGCCTAATGATCATGTTGTTGGGCCAAGGATCGCATCCGCCTGGCTGAGCATGCCCCCCCCGGGATGCAGATGAGTTGGTCGTCCGTAGGGATGGGCCCGTACGCGAGCTACGTCCCCTCGAACATCGAGCGTCCATGACATCTGGACAGGTCCTACGCGCCTGAGCACTGGCCACGGGAAAATGATACCCAACGTCATGCTACCCGGCCCAGAGTCGAAGATGAAGCACCCGCGTTCGCGCACGCTATCCGAGGAGCCCAAGGAGGAGAGGCTGGGCGGCTCGCACGGGCTTCATACGCAATGGATCATCCAATGTTGAGTGCCCTTAACTCTGAGGTGTTGGTGTGTCCTCGACCTCTTGATGGGCGGACCCGAGTCCACCGCTAGAATTTGTAAAGAAGCTACATATGAAAAGGGCTATCAGACGGGTGTTTGGAATCGGGAGGGACGGACCAATGACGTCGACTTACTTATGGTTCGACTCGAACTTGAAGAACGCTTCTTGTCGTACCGTGCAAGATTGTGCTACCAGCACTGTGCTCCAAGTCTAAAAGGGCCCCTCCTTCAACGTTGTCAACTCCCATCATGCCCATCCGGAGGAACCAACCCCCGCAACTCCGCCAAACACTCTACGATCTTTGCCCGCACCTCCCGCGCATTCTCGAGCAGCGGCCTGATGTTCTCGGGCGTCATCGCAAGTTTTTGGATCGGGTCAGGTTGTAACGACGTAGAGTCCGAGGGAGTCGGGTAAGGAGGCATTGAGCGCACGGTGCCTGTTTTGGTGGCAGCATTTGCGTTGGTGTGCGTGCGCGCCGGTGTGGAGGTGTTGATGTGGTTGAAGGCGTTGGGCTGCTGATCCGGACTACGATGTCCCCCCTCCCAACCAGTGGTCGTGCCCGTCCGCCGGCGTCCTCTCACCGTCGCAAAGGCATCTGAAGAGTCGAAGTCAAATGCCGAGTCCATGTGGTCCCAGTCCTCCTCCTCGCCCGTGCTATTACTACTGCTGTCCTCTGCGCCCGTCGGGTGGTCGCAACAAGGTGGCATCGACGAGGACGGGCTGGCACTCGAGGGCACAGACGATATAGGCACAGGCAGGTCCTCAACAAGCGTCACCGTACTCGCGGACGCTCGATTCTTCGTCTTCGTACCCAGACGAAATATGGACGCAAGTGACGGTCGGCGGGGGGATGGTTGCAGTTTCGGTTGTGGTGCAGTGTAGTACGACGACGGCGCTGCGTCCTCCGCATGGGCCCTCGAGCTCTTGAACTTCAATGCCCGCAGCATGTCTCTGATCCCCCTCATGCCTAACTCCAACCTCGAGCTCCCAGTTCCCTTCTCCCTTCCCCTCGCCGTGCGCTCCTCTTCCTCCTCCGGTAACGGGAGTGTAACCGTGCTATTCCCCAGGCCATCACCACCCCATCTCCACTCCCTATCCACCTCCATCGCCGTCGTTGTGACTGTCTGGGTCTCTTCGGCGGCCACGCTTGTGCTCGTGCTACTGTTGCTGAGCATCTCGCGCAGAAGCACGACCTGCCGCTGCCGCTGGGAGAGGTCGTGGTCATGCCAGCCCGTGGAATTAGTGGGTGCGCTCACGAGGGCGGATGGTGGTGGTGCGTGTGGTGGTTGGGTGGGCAAGTGCTGGCGACTGTGAGCGGGAGTAGGAGGGGAAGAGGAAGAGGAGGAAGAGGGGTGCGGAAGGGCTGGGAGAGGCTTCGACTGATCGCCGGCACTGAGGGTGTCGGTGCTCGCCCGTTCTCTACCCATGGAATCTACAGAAGTAGCAACCGCCACTGGTGCAGATGCACTCGTATTCAGGCTGCTACGGCTCTCGTCCGGGCCACCTCCACCCAGCTCGACGAGTAACTCCGCACACTCCCACGTTATTCGATACTTGGAGGTTATGCTCCAGAATGCGGAGGCCAGCTCCTTATATGCGAGTAGGTGCTCTTTCGATTTCGATGGCTGCTCCTCCATCTCCTTCTCCTTTGGTTGTTCGTGTTGAGGAGGGAGGCTCAGGCGGCCATTTGTATTCGACCTGCCACGATTTTTGGGTTTGCGGATGTCACGAAAGGCGGAGAAGAAGCCAGAAGTTGTATGTATGGAGTCTTTTGCAGGGGGAGGTGGAGGGTTTGAAACCAAAGGAGATTGGTGCTGGTGCTGGTGCTGGAGGTCGTGCGCTTGGGCATCGAGCATCGCCTGTATCTCAGACGCGAGGGCATGGTACGTCTGTTGGAACTCCTTGATCTCTATTGAGTTGAAAAGCAAATGCATTAGCACCGTCGTTCAGCCACGTTTGAAAAATAAAAAAGAAAGCGAGACGCGAACACATCATCACGAAAATGACGGAAAGTAATTGAAAACGAAAGTGAGAAAGAATTCACCTCCAACATACCCCGCAAACTCCTTGACCATGTCCAAATCTCGCCTCAGACCCACTTGTGCCTGGCTGATGCGGGTTGGGATCTGGAGGTCGCCCAGCGAGTTCCGACGGGCGTATTTCTCTTTCTCCTTCATCAGTGCCCCCTCTCCTGCACCTCCTGCCTCGTGAGCATCCGAATCACCTTCCCCCACAGCTTCCGAGGAAGAAAGGACTCCAGCAGCGCCCGTCCGGCCTAAAGAAGCGCTCTGTTGCAGAGGCCTCCCATTCGACGGTCCAGGTGCGAACGTAGGTTTCTTCGTTGCCGGCACCGACGGTTGTGGATCGATACTCGCGCCGCTCGTGGCGCTACCGAGAGGGGACAAGTTGGTCGGCGTGACGTACGCGGATGAGCCAGAGACCGGAGAGGAGGGCGAGAAGGCTGCGGCGCGAATGTGCAGTGGCTCTGGGTGGGTGTGGCCCTGGCAGTGGGCAGACGGTGTCGATGAGCTCAGATGATCCTCTTCACTCGCAGAAATATCACTTGGGCCAGAGACACCCGCCGTATGGCCAACCGACTCTGTGCCCGGGCCCATCCCGCTCGAAGCGTACCCTCCACTTCCCCGACCCACCCCTGCGCTCTTGCTATTTCGTCTTCGCCCGCTACCCCCTCCGCCTCCTGTCCCAACGCTTTCGCCTCGGCCCCCGCCACCGAATTCGAAATCGTCGTCCCAGTTCTCGGCAGGCTCTGAAAGCAACGATGACGCTGTTAGTACACGCAAAATGAGAAGAGGAAAGAGATACGAGGGAAGCTCACCTAGTCCGGGCGATGGACCGAGTGCTAGTGCAACGGCGGCACTGGCGGCCATGACGATATCGATCCTGTGCTTTTTCCTGCGCTTTGGCCGATCATCCACTCGTCAGCAGCGTATGGAAGTATGTGTGGGATCCTCTGAGCGTGTTCGTCCTTTGTCCTTCGTTTGATCAATCGTCGTAGTACTCGTGTTGTCGTGTTTGCGGGTGAGACGGGACTTCAGCAGATCGCCGTCGATAGCGTTATCCGTCGTCTAGGTTGAACGCTGACGCGCACTAGGTAGGGGCAATAGGAAAAATGAAAAGTTGGCGTTCGCAGTGGTCCTGTGGTTTGTCTTCTCTGGGGAAGAAGCGTCGGCACGATCGTCCTTTGTCAGCTTTCCCAGGCAGATCACCCGTGGGAAGGTGCTATTCCTGCTTTCGATCCCCAAATGCGACATACTATTTCCGACTAAAATCGAAATTTAACTAACAAAGGCTCAGCGTTTGGCAAGCAGAATCACATAGTGTCCATTTCAACGTCATCCGAGCCGTAGGGGATCCTACTTATGTTGATCATTCTACACATGCGTTCAGACCGTTTCCTGTGGATGGGCTATGAGCTTACCTGGCCGTTTTCAATCCTCTTCAAGCCATCTGGAACTCCCGCAAGGCCGTCTGGAAGCACTTCGTATTTGTTGGCCTGCTTATTCACCTTGTAAACACCTCTTTCCAAAAATCCAGTGATTGTATCTTTATACAGTGTTTCCTGTAATTCGATATTGGGTGGTGTTAGGAGATCACCCATGACTTTGAGGATACTTTTGCCCTCTTCACCCTTCACCACCGGGTCATTGGTGATATCTTTGCACTGTTTCGGCATTATCTTCGGAGACTGCCAACTCAGTCTGAGATCGGTCAGCGAACAGACATGGGATGCGCAAAGTCCAGAAATGGCAGTACGTCGGCAGTTGCTCAACCGCGAGTGATGCCCCTGTGATTACATCAGGCGCGCCACAGTGCCGTAATCAGGCGATAACCCCCCCTCACGCACACCCAGCTAGTCCAGGGTCAAACTGCATGGTACCTGGGTGGAACACCCTTACCTCAGTGGAATCCCCGTAGTGCAAGTCAAATTGGGTAGCACGAAATGTTAAAATTGGCTTACAGAACCAAAGCAGTTTAGGGTAGCGGTTAAGCCCTCTGACGAGCCCCTTTGCAAGGGCGAAAACTGCAAAGACCCGGCTCTTTGGTTCGAGCCCCGAGACCTACAAACCATCTGTCCGCCAGGAGCCAGAAGAGAGAGCCCCGTCTTCTGGGAAACCTCGACGGCTGTCGCGTCATAGACGATCTTCACCAATTTCCCATTCATCGCCTTGTCGACGTGAAGCTTCAGCCGTCGAAGGCGGGTTCCTGTCTAGGACGTGCGTTGCACCTGGCACACGCATAGGTCTTGAGCCCTACCGTGACCATGATTTGCTGCAGGGTTTTGCCCTTCGAGGAAGGCGCTGGACGTGAGAGGCCTTCACTCCCAATGAACCGGAAATTGAGCAATAAATAACCGAAAAACTAATTTAACTGACAAAGACCACGGAGTGATACATGGGATAACGAGAGCATTCAAACATAGGGAGGTTAAACATCGGCCGCGATGTCTTGCATGAGGAGCGTGAGTGCGTCTTGCGAGCGCGTCTTGATAGAGCATTGGAAGGGTTTGACATGACTGGGAACAGGCATCCATTAGCATCAACGCCAATCTTCGAGCTCACGCAGCGGACAAAAAGGAAGAAAAGAAGATGCTTGCCTGACGATGGCCGTGGTGAACGCTATCTCAGGCTCGATAGCGCGACCGTCCTTACCCACGGGCTTAGAGATATCGAGCACCGCCAGCGTGGTCACCATCTGCATAAAGATAGACGCCTCAGCGACGTGCTGCCCCGGACACACACGCCGCCCGAAGCCAAACACGAGCTCGCGAGGGTCAGGCTGCACCGTACCGTTACCGTCCTTCTTGAGAAAGCGTTCGGGATTGAAGGTGAATGGATCTGGGTACTGCTCGGCGTCGTGCATCATCGCCCAGATGTTCGCGATGATGGTCGTCTTTGCTGGGATAAAGTAGCCATTGTAGTCGTCGTCGGCAGCGGTGCAGTGGAAGAGGCCTATTGGGCTCGAAGGTGTCCAGCGGAAGACTTCCTGCATGAGGGCGTCGATGTAAAGCATCGAGGGCCGGTCTTGTAATGTGGGCAGTCGTTGTTCTTTTGCGATAATTGAATCGACCTCTGCTTGGGCACGTTTCTGGATTTCCGGGTAGAGCATCATGAGGAAGTAGAAGGCCTTGACGGCAGCGACGGTCTGACACAAAGGAGGGTGATTTAATATTGCACGAACTTTCTCAGATATTAAATGATTTACTGTGTCGGCACCGGCTGCATAGATGGCCCCTCCTGTGAATAACACAACCTCGTCATGTTCAGCTTCTGAGACTCGTGGATCCCTTGATTCGAGGAGATGTGAAGTAAACGAAGGTTCTGCTGTTCCGGAAGCCTGGCCAAAGAGTATCAGACGCAAGTCGGAGGAAACACGAAGGGAAATACTTGCCATTTGGGACTTGACCCACTCATGGGGCTCTAGTAAATGTATGTACATCTGTTCACTCCAAGCCTTCGCCTGCCTCTTGAAACTAGCTCCAGGGAACCAATCCGGAAGGTACTTGACTGTTAGGAATGAGAATCGGTGCGCTCTAAAGTAAAGAATAGCTCACGAGCAGGGATAGAATCGACGAGCCACTTCCCAGGAGCCAAGGCTAGCGAGGCAACCCTCGCACTTTCTTCCGCCATGTCAATAAAATGATCTTTTCCCTCATTAACTGTGTACCCATAGGCAATCTTCATGGTCGTAGCTGCAGCGTTTCTACATGCAGCCAAATGTGAGCAAAAGACGGAGAGCAGGACCAATGTATCTACCTGCGGAGATGCTTGACCAGATTCTGAGGTATCTGGGAGATGTTCGCGACCATGATGCGCGCCTCCTTCTGCAGGACGGGCCAATATGACCGAGTGGCGGTCGGGTTGAAGGACGAATGCATGTATTTCCGGTATGTCTTGAACCTCTCGTTGAACGAGCTATCTGTGACTTTATCAAACCAGAGTCAGCCTAAACAGAGGTGGTACGCACATATGAAAGATGCTCTTCTCTCGTTTCATGAGCTCGCCACCCATCGTCGGGAACGGCCTATCCGAGTACACCGCCGACCTCTTTCCTAGCAGGTCCTCGGCCACCGCAGCAAAGTTGATCACAACTATTCGCCGTCCTAGAACATGGAACGATATGAAGCCAATGTTCCCTGCATGCCCTGGAGGTAAGAGAAGGACAGCTGCGAGAGAGGTGACACGGCCTTACCGTGCTTTGTCCCCCATTCTGCGTAAGTTTTCCAGAACTCTGTCTTTGGGTGCTCTTTCGCAACACCAAGGATTGGCAGGCCTTTGGGTCCGGGAGGGAACTTCTGTCTATGCCAACGAGAATGAAGATAGAGAGTGACTAGAAGCACGACAAAGACAACAAGGGGCAGTGGCATATCTTGCTAAGTTAGAGCGATTTCAGAGAACAAGAGATAAAGGCAAGTTTGCTCACACCTTGCCAAGGCGGGCTAGATTCTTTTCCATCAGGGAAGAAGCGTGGATTTGTAAAACCTCGAGGCTATGATTAGAGAGGGTTCCGTCAGGTCGCAAACAAGATGGACAGAAGCATGCTGGCACCGTAAGGAAGCATCCAAAGCTAAATATGGCCAATTACAGGCTGGGGACCGGCATACCGAAGTTGAAATGTAAGAAAACTGTAAGAAAACCTAGCACTAATTCTCAGTAATTTGGGAAGCAAACGAGCGAGATAGAACTTAATTACTTCGGCAACGACGTAAGTACATGTCGAAGAAGGACAAGAATAGGTACATAGGTAACGGCACCTCAGTTGTTTGGGAAGCAAACGGCTGAGGGGAGCGATGCGAGTGTATAGATTGTAACAAAATATATACATATACATATTTTAAATGGCAGTTGCGGCGGCGGCGCTAGAGGCTGGGCACGGGCGCTAAAATGGAGGGTCGGCTATTTGCTGTCCGTCCGCTTGCCAAAGTGAGCGCTTGGCGCACTGTCACCTCGTTCCTTATGTTCTTTACGTGCAAAATAATCGCATAAGGGTATCAGATCTACCTTCTTTGATGTCGACGCGTGTTTGGAACACATTGAGGTACTTACATATATATGGGCTCCGTTACGTCTACGGCACTCAGCATCGAGCCGCGAGGACGACTTTTGAGTGCGACGGCACGGACGGCAGCTTGAGTAGAGGGAGCGGAAGGAATAGCAGGCAGAGGAGGAGGAGGAGCAACGGGAGCGGGATGTGACGATCAAGCGGGGCCCGGAGGGCCGGCAGGAGATGTCGCGTTACTGTTCGAGGACACGGACGGCGAGGGGCGGGCTTCATCTAGCCAAGGGGGATGGGTTCAAGACGGGGCAAGGAGAGGCGGAAGTGGGCCCGGGGCGGCGGTGAGCGGGGGTAATAGCTGGAGTATGGATAGAGGGAAGTGAGAGGAGACAGCGTGTAAAGCGCTAAGTAAGGCGGTGTCGATCGCGAGCAACGCGCACATTGGCGACTCTCTCAGCAAAGCCTGCGACGTCCTTCCAGGTTCCTTCCTGCCCGTCATCGCGTTCGGAATACCCTCCTGGTTACTAGCCGTCCTTTTCTTCCAGAGCTCTTACGACAGTCTCGTGTCCCTCCCGCTCTCCTCGTCCCGGAGCCATGCCACTTCCCCTTCGCCCCAGGCATCTTTCCAGGTACTTCCAGTAAGGGCCCGGCCTACGTCGGCAGGAGCAAGAACACCAGTTATCCCATTGTCCTAGGCTGTCACTGCTGTTCCGAATTCGAAATACTTCTTTCTACCTCGTTTCACGCTCCAGCATGGGAAATACAACCCTGCCGACGCATGCGGGACGGTTGAGCGCTGCACCATGGCTTCAATTTACGCGTTTGAGGTCTCCGCCGCCGCCGACCGTCTCGAGGGTACCTTCATCGATGCACAAACATGGAAACTTCAGATGTCGAACTTCGAACAGGCAGCTCAGCATCGCCGCCCGTCCCGCCCGACCCCGCCCGACTCGGTCTGAAGAAAGACTTGCTTGCTAAGACCGACTTCTGCGCAGGTTCTGATAGAGCAACGAATGCTGTCGACGCCCAGGGGATTTATTATGCCGTGGATACACATATCGTCATGAGCCTTAACGGCAGAGCGAACGAAAGGCGACAGACACATATATAAACCAGTGGGATCGTCCAAAAGCCATCTGCAATCCAATCACTTGCCTATCTTCCTACACACATTAGACTCTACCATCATCCCGTCTCTCAGCGCATTATCATGACCACCCTCATCACAGGCGGCACCGGCAAGACAGGAAGCAGGCTCGCCAAACTCCTGCACGCAGCGGGGCACCCCTTCATCCTCGCCTCCCGTTCCGGCACTGCCCCCGCGCCCCTCTCCTCCAATCTGGGCGTCAAGTTCGACTGGGCCGACCCATCAACATTCCAGAACCCCTTCAGTTTTGTCAGCGGGGGGGAGACGAAGATCGACCGCGTGTACCTCATCGCCCCGACGGCAGTGCTCGACTCGCTGCCCCTCGTGCAACCGTTCGTCGACCTCGCGGTGGCGAAGGGCGTGAAGAGGTTCGTGTTACTGACTGCGACGTTGAGCGAGTCTGGCGGGCCGGGTCTTGGGAAGCTGCACGAGTACGTCGCGGGTCTGAGAGGGGGTGTTGAGTACACGGTCTTGCGTCCGACGTGGTTCATCGGTGCGTGACTCTGTCCATTGGATTTGGAGAGCCGTTCTTTTGATAAGTAGATGTTGACTTGCCCATGGGTGATAGAAAACTTCGGCACGCTCTACGCCCATAGCATCCGCGAGAAGGATGAGATATTCTCAGTCATGAAGAGCGGGAAGCTCCCGCTCGTCAGTGCGGACGACATCGCCAAAGCAGCGTTCGACGCGCTCTTCGCAGAGCAGAGCCCCAACACGGACTACTACCTCGTCGGACCCGAGTTGTTCTCATACGACGAGGTGAGCGCCCTTCACATCCAGAAAAGCCAGCCCGCTAACAACCTTCTAGGTAGCTGCTCTCTTCACCGAAGTCCTGGGAAGGAAGATCACCCATAAGCACCTGACCGACGAAGAAGAGCAGGCGCTGTACCAGTCGTTCGGGCTGCCGAAAGAGTACGCTGCGATGTTGACCGCTGGTGAGGCGTTGGTCGCTAGTGGATCAGAGGAGCGCTGCGTTGGGACGAGCAAGACGATCACGGGGACGCACACCCTGCGGCAGTTCGTCGAAGCGAACAAGCAGATTTGGACCAAGTCGTAGATGGAAGGAGCAGTGATAGCGCGGATTGATTGTAAACCCCTGTATAATATACTCGAACAAGAGCAGCTTGACTGTATATTGTGCGTTTCGCCGCAGAGGTCCAACCATCTGAAAAGGTGAGTGTAAGGGTGAGCCAAGGTACGATGTCGCGGAGTAGATGACTGGTTGAAGAGGCAAGCATGGGAGACTAGCCTGAGGGAGAGGCGTTGACTTTGAGCATCGAATGCGGTTGGTCAAGAGCCATGAAATCCGTGACTGCAGGTATGGAGGTTGTAGAGGGAAAACTGCCCACCTATGGACCTTGCGATCGACGGAGATGGAGGAGAAGTGTGTCACTGAGGTCTAGGGAACGTGCATGTTGATGGACGGAAGAGTTGAACGAGAGGGTGACCAGGGGAAGGAAGGAATGCGTGGAGAGGTGTGTTATGACTCGGCGGAAGGATGGACGAGGAGATGTGTTGAATGGGGCCCGGGGAAGAAAGCTCAACAGGCGATGTCAATGCGCCAGGCGGTGCGGAGAAAAAGGTTGGGACATGTTCTTTGTGCTCAGGCCAGCGGTTACAAGAAGGAAGCACAGCGTACGACTCCAGGATCAGGAGAGTGGGAGACTATCGCAGGAGCTGAGGGAAAGGATGGCCAGCGACCAGGACGGATGGAAGCCGACCATTAGATTGCCACTTGACCTGCCCTCAAGCTCGAGCAGGCTCCTCGGACCTCGCATGCTTGCCCTTTGAACCTCAGCTAGTCACATCGGATCCTGGATGGCGTTCTCTCCTCCTCTTCGCCCATCGCATTCCCCACCCCCAGGTCGTTCTTCCCCCCGACTTCGTCACTTCTCGTTCGGCCAGGACCTCAAGTCGTTGACGGCGCTGACAGTAAATACGGTCATTGCTCAAACACTCAACATTGGGAGGAACGCAGACCTCTATCCTAGCACAACTTGAATGCGATCCATCCGTTTTGCAGGACATGGCACCAGTGGAAAGTTGTCTCAAGATACCATTCCACGAACGGTATGTCTACCCTTCCCGCACCTGACTTTCTTTGCTAATGTGGCACAGGCAGTGGATTTAGAACCCGGTAATGACCTCACGACAGCCAGAGGTGCCGTTGGAAGGATCGGATACCATATGGGAGAGAAGGCTATCGACTGTCCCGGGGCTCCCCGCCGCCGTCGACTGCAGTCCCGTCCTCCCATCTCTTCTCTTGTCGGTCAGCTCGTTATGAACATCAATGGGAAGAACGTCCGCTACAGCTCTGGCTGCACACTGCCTACGGCCCTCGCTGTTAGTTCCTGCGCCCTTACACTCCGCATCGTGGCCTTATCGACGTCAACTCGCAGTTCTTTCGACAAACTTCAACCATCGGGGCCGACGTTCCACGCCAAATTAACACTCCCATGTCCGACGATCGTCGATGAGATCTTAAATACTTCGGTCAATCTCGTACATCTTATTCTCGTCGCTCTCCTCCTTGTCCCAGTCAACAAATCCTGCCATTGACCGTTCCTGGAGATTGAACGTTGATTGTATGTTATGTCGGATCTCCGAAGAGCAAGCTGTTCTACACTCGGGCCCAAGGTATGTAAAATCAACCTCCGCTTTGTTTTTGTTTCTTTTTTCCCGTTCCTCAGACCACGCCTCCAGGTTTCGAATTTCAGCCATCACTCGGCACGAGCATCAGCCAAACCTACACGTTCGACCCGGATTCCGTTCTCGAGGAATGCGTCAACCAATGATCTGTCGTGTACAACCCCCCTGAAGTGCGCCCTGGGACCTTCCGGGCCTCCTTATCCTCGACCCCACTTTACACCATCTCAGATGAAGAGAGCACCGCCGATCCTGCACCACACCCACACCCACACCTGACTATGGTGCATATACCAGATCTCGCCTAGCAGCTCGAATTTTTCTCGTCAGTCAACCATATCGCTTCGAGCGCTTCTGAGAAAATCTGAATGAGGCATGGTAGACGTGGACAAGCGCGGTGCTGCGTAGATGTGCGGGCAAGTGTATGCGATCGAGGAAGCCGCTGTATTGTGGGCGAGAGTGTCAGACTGCGGCAAGTCAGGCTGGTATGCACCTTTCCTCGACGACGCTTACGCCGAATATTGCCACAGGATTGGAAGAACCATCGGAAGTGGTGCACGCATTCACCAGCTGCACACCAGAGCGGTAGACCTGACTGAGAGCTTGCAGTACCAGAAACACCTTTCGAAGGATAAATGAGGCCTCCATGTGGCTTCGCTCTTGACTCGACCAGGTGTTCCCCATGTGAAATGACTTGACGCAGTGGGATCCTAGGCTTGAACATTGCCTGAACGCAAACGCATTGCTCGCTTACATATATGTCAGCGTCGAAAGTCACTGAAGGCTCACTTACTACTTGTCTTCCACCATCCATGTCTTTCCTAGCGTAAGTGCCATCCTATCTTTCGAGGATCCTGCTCACGGCTCAATATCCAGTCAGACGATGCCTCCCTTCGATTTCGGCTGGGATAGTACCCTCCCCAAGAACGAGAATGGCCCGGTCGAGTCACCAGCTCAGGCCGCTTCCCTCGACGCTTCAGAGCTTTTTAAACAGCAACGATACGGACTGATGTACTTATTCTGCTATCTTCCCGCCGAGGTTGGGTACCGCTATCGCGCTCACGAGTGTGCACAAGAGAGCTGGGCTTTCCGGCACGTGGTATATTCTCTCCGCCTCACGTCGCGGTCGACGAAAGCGGTACGAGCTGGCGCAGCAAAGAAAAATGTTGATGACATGTTGGAATATGGGCTACGGTAAAAGCTCTGAATCTTGCAATTGTCCTCTTTTCTCTGACCTTAGGCTCGAATCATATAGGCTCAGCACAGGCGTGGGCGGCCTTCCTCGCGACGCAGCCAAGGCCATGTCCATTTTCAAGGAAGTTATGACAGGGAAGTTCCCTGAAGGCAAACGCGGCCTCGCAGCCAGCCTCGCCGCATTCCTGGCATACTTTCGCAACGAGAAGAAGTATTACGCTACTGATGCCACAGCTGCTGCTGCAGACGTGATCGAGGCTGTGGAGCTGTGCCACACCAGCTGCCAGCATGGCCACTATGCCTTTATTTCTGTCGCCGTGGTCGTCGTCTTCATAGTACTGCTGGATATTGTGTTGACGGGAGAGATGTTGAATCGGCCGAAAATCGGCTATCTCTTCTCTCTGTACTATGGGTTCCAGGCGGAAACTGGATTTCAGCCTTGGAATTCAAGATATTGCGCCGCATGTGGAACTAGACGTCGCTCGTTCGAACTCCAGAAGTGTTCCGGACGCTGCGGTCTGTCAAGCAAGCCCGTCTACTGTGATCGACATTGTCAAAAGGCCGTAAGTGCTTATTGGACATGGACCACCAACCAACATACTCATAGTAAACTGCGTACTCCATTTTCAGGACTGGAAGAACCACCGAAAGTGGTGCATTCTCCCGACAGCCGCAGAAGATGAGCTCGTTAAGGATCTTGGGCTTTACTCTATTATTCACCTTCGGGAACCGCGGTTACAAGTGTAGAGTAAGGTACTACGACCACTGAAATCTGCGGGAAAGGTTTATTGCATGCTATATGTACCATATTTATATTCTGCTTGAGGTAGATAATCTGCTCACCACTGACGCGGAGTGCATTTGTTTCGTCGGCCGGGCCGCCTCTGCCGAATATTCTCACGACCCCCCAGTTCTTGGCAACGTGGACTGTAACATAACCGCTTCCACTGTATTTTTCTGCGAGCAATACGCCAACAACAGCTATGATCAATGACATTTATTCTTATTTCAGACCTCAAGAGAAGTATGAGCTGATGTACATGTCGTGTTATCCACCGGCCAGGATCGGGTGCCTACTCATCGCACAAGAACGGACAGAAACTTCCTACTTTCGTTTGAAGCATCGGGATACGAAGCTTGTGCAGGAAGAAGCCGCGAAGAGAGATGTGGATGACATACTGGAGTGTGCCCTAAGGTGAGAAGCCTGAGCGTAGTTTGCGCCTTCTTCTCATTCTTGGAATATCGCTAGGATGGCCACAGGCGCTGGTGTCCCTCAGAACGAGGACGTCGCTATGAAAATACTTATGGATGTCACCTTTCCCGCCAATAAACGGGCCGTGGCTGCTACTCTCGCCTCACTCCTGTTCATTCACCGGACTGAGTCGCGCGAAGATAGCTTTTCGCGTGCAGTCGGACTTTGCCAGCTCAGCATTCGACTTGGACATTACGCCCACATTGCTGTCTTCCTTTTCCTGATGTGCTCTCAGGAGTTTGATATCGTCTCACCTCCCAATGAAAGACCGGATGCTGGTCCACTCGGTGTTATCTTCGACGAATATGACCGATTCCAAGAGGAGATCGGTTTTCAGCCTTTCAAGTCGACGCATTGCGCTGCATGTGGAACCAAACGACAGGTGGGCGAGCTTCGGAGGTGTTCGGGGCGATGCTCTCCCTTCAGAAAGCCGGTGTATTGCAATCGCGAATGTCAAAAAGCCGTAAGTGCTCCAAGACTAGCTCGATTATCAGATTCTGTCTGCATATATTAATCTCTCGGACGAAGCACAGAAAGTGATGTGCTGCCCCAGCTACAGAAGAGGACCTGGACAAAGACGCTGCGGTGTATCGCCACCTCTCCAGTGCAGGTCAATCGTCGTGACCTGTCATTGTTGGAAAGTATGCTCCGGCGTACTAGGATTAATTTCGGGTCTCAGTGTGCTTATCGGACAGACATCCTTAAGGTGGCCTCTCGGACGACACTGGGTCACCTGGGACACATTCACCATCCTATAACATACCTTTGGTGCACATGTCTTTGGCCGAGCGGTCGTGGATCCACTGTTCTTGACGTTACACTCAGCCCCGAATCAGATGACTGGGCGAGGGCCAACAAAATGTTTCTGTGGTCGCCCCACCGTTTGCATCTATGATCTCCCTTTCCCACTGCATTCGTTCCCGACTTACTGGAGAGCCTAAAATCATTTTCATTGGGGACCGCTACGACCCTTCGAAGGTATTTCCGGTGCTGTAAAGTCTGGAGCGGACCCTCGACATGAAAGCCTCGTGCGCATCTACTGGACCCTCCTGTTCGCCTATGATCCTTTATTGAATGTCGCTTGTGAATAAGCTCTGAGAGCAGCTGAGCACTCCGGGGCTTCTGGGGAGAAGCACGATCAATGAATCCAGGGAAGGCTTCAAGTGTTCTGCCGATCTATCGTTTACCTGCCCACCTGCTCCCCACTTGCTCCCTGAGCGAGAAACAGGATAACCCTATGAGCAAAGCAGGGGAACATGAAAGCGACCCAATGCGTTCGCCAATGTTCCGGGGTACATTCCTCAAACTGGCAATCTAACAGAGAGACAGCCAGCACGACATGTAATGAGCGCCGCTTGCTAGATTGCAGTCGCTAACCCCGGATGAAAGTCTGAACATCTGGACGTAAGAATTGAGCGTACCCCAGAATAATTAAACAATTAATTGCCGTCAGATGCCCCCCTGGGGTGCTCCCCGCTGGTCCCCAGGATGCATCCTCGTTCTAGTACGTACGTTGAACAGAACTTAAGATTCTCTAAGGTCGACTGGAACGAGATGACTTGGGAGAACTTTTCCGCCGACACTAAAGAAGAAGAGTTCGGGTGGAGTTGGAAATGGGTATTACCATACCAAGGCATGGCGGTGTGTCGCCTCCTCGGATGCAAACGCGGATCGCCCTCAGGGGCAGCTGCATGGGCGCTTAAATCCATTTCTAGCAATAGCTGTCGGGACAACTTATAGCAGTGCTCTCGCACACCCCACGAAATACCCCAAGTTAGAATGGCAAAGATTTGTTCATACGTCAGACGGACATAAAGAATAGAAACACCACCAGGCCGGCTACTACCCATCGAAGACGTCGCTCCATAAGGTATGTACGAAACGTCCCTGGGGCTTGGGATGGCCCACATTGTCTCCGAGGACTCTAGAACCTTCGCGGGTAGCCTCTTGTTTTCGAGGCCCAAGACATGAGAAGGATATCTTTTCTATGACGCGTGTCAATGGGCATCAAGAAGCGAGATGGAGGCGCAGCAGGGTTTGAGCTGATCGGGCGTGGCCTTCATCGGACTCGTGTACAACGCGTGTACAACGCTGATTATGCGTGTATGGGGCACATTTCGCTTTTGTTTCTCATATACTAATATCTGCTTTATCGTCGTCAATCTACGCTCCGTTAATCACGTATCTTGCTTTAGCGCTTAGATTGAAGCCTCGGAAGAGTCTGAGTGACCGACTCTTTGACTCGGAGAGACTCTCCTGAGTCCTCATGGTGTACGCACCCGAGTACAATGGAGCTCGGGAGTCCAGTGTTTGTCAAGATCAAATATATCCAAGAAGCTAGAACATGAGGCAGGAGGGTGTCCCAGTTATTCGGTGACGAGGCAAGAGAACGTTTGATCCCTGCAGTCAGGATCCTCCTTTCCTGCTATGCCATTCCCTGTGCAGCCTAAGGGCATGAGAAGGGGCGTTATGTCATAGGTAGTGACATGCAAGCTGTCTCAAATCAACGCCGTGAAGATAGCTGTGGATCGCGACGTCTATTCTTTACTCTGACTCGGAGTACGAGACTTTCCTTGTCAAGCGATAAAAACATTTTTGTCCTTTGTATAAAGAGGAGCACGCCTGCCGGAGCGATCTCGTTGGCCTCCTCGCTTTGATCTCCCCACCTCCACCTCGACAGCTGCCGCCACCATGTCGATTTCACCTCAGAATTTAAAGGGCTGGAGACGGAGCGAACGAGCTCCGATGGAATGGGTTCTTGAGAACCGACTGGATCATATTCTCGTCGTGAGTCCAACATGCACTCTTCAAGTTAGAGCCTAAGTTTATATATAAATTGGCTCACAGAACTACGTCCGCGTTGTTGACTCTCGCCACAGCCGCTTTGGGCAAACAGGCTTCGTCCCTCGTCGTGCTGTTGTCTCTGAAGTAGGCCTGTCCAACGACTTGCTTTCGACTTCAACTTACAATGTTCTCGATTCGTTTCTCTAGATCGACGCCGTCAGGCACTATCGTGTAGACTTCGAGGACGGCACTTCAGAGAGACTCTCGCAGGATCAACTTCAACAAATCCAATACCAGCCCCCGCGGTGAATTTGCGAGAGGCTGATGTTTTCCCTCTAGATCGATCATGACTTCTGGCCGAGTTCTGGACAAGTCCAACACAACAACTGTACAGTATCCATTTCCATCATTCACGGACCTCCTGTATATTAGTACCACCAAGCTCACCACATACATACACTGTGTTATAACTCATGGGAATAGTTTCATCATAGCACTTGGTCTTTCTGTCGTTCTGTACAAATACATAAGCGTATTCGCGAAGTTTTCGGGGTACGGACATACGTAAAGAAGAGAGGTAATGCGAAGCATTAGACCGAAATACTCTCTGGTGGGCCGAGATAGCTGCGTTGAAGACCTCCTGTGTCTGCGGTGAATTGTCAACGCGAAGGCCGAGGGAAGGATGATACCAGCACTCACTGATAACTATCTTTTGAATCGCAACTCCGGCTTCCATAGCGCCAATCTGTGAGCGCAGTCAGTGGTTAATTTCATTTGACCTAAAAAAAGAGAAAAGTAATAAAGTACCTTCAGCGTGTGCGCTCCAGTCGATACTCCGGTGAACGTGGTCGAGGTGGTGATGATGGAGTTCGCGACATACCCATCCGGGCCACCCCATCCCGCAGGCAGGTCTCCGGGAGCTTGCATAGCGATGGGTTGCACCTTGACTGCGGGAAAGGAATCAATTTGTACAGAGAAGGTAAGTGGGCGAGTTCTTTCATTGAAGTTGAAGGTAGGCGTCATATAGACGATGACGGTGACGTTGCCCCTCCCTTGGAGCGTGTTGAAGTTATAGAAATCGTACTCCCTGAAACGTTGCTTCAGATATCCGGTCGTCACGGTCCGGACGATGACAAAACGTACAAAAGAGGCCCGGCTCCTGCCTCGAAGGCAGTATCGGTCACAGGAAGAGGAGTGACGGCAGATACGGTCCGTCCCAGTCCCGGTAATTCCGTCCAAGAGATATCCTGAACAATCGTCTTCCGAGAGACATGTGCTGCTTCGATCGAAATTACGCCGGTGCCCTCGACGAACCCTATTCTCGGTCTCTTGGTCAACCATCGAGGGAAATAGACGCAAGATCGAAACTTCGGTCGCACCTTTAAATCCGCTGGACGGAGAATTCTTGATGGCCACGAACATGGCAGGCACAGAAAGTGTTGGCTGCTCAGAAGCGGTGGCGGTGAACGTGATCTGGGCGAAGTTGGAGCCAGCTGCCAGCTGGCTCCAATCCGATATGCTGGCGAATACACGCTGTTCAGGAGCCTTCGGAGAAATAGACCCTCTGGCTGGGGTGAGCTTGAGCCAAGTCACATTTGATGTAGCGGTGAAGGTGAAAGGAGCGGGGCCGCCAGCGCCCACGTCGAAGTATCGGTCGGCGATGGGGGAGAAGTTGTCAATTGTGACTGTTGGCGGACCGCAATTGTATCCCTGCGCACACTGATTTGCGTTATCTCCTGGCCTGAATGACAAAACTCAGAATTGTGTACGGTGCGACGCAAAGGTGGAATTGACCATGCTCCCAAATTGCCTTCAGGGACGATTCTCATGGCACCAGCCAGCGCCTGCTTCCTGCTCGAAACGCGGTTGACCGCGGGCATACTGCGTAAAAGCATCAGCTTTCATTTAGCGCTAACCCGGGATACCGATAAGACCTACGTATTAATCATTGGTTGCTGCCAATAATAGTAGCCAAGATCTGGAGCAGGAAGAAGAACAAGTCAAGCTACGTCTAGGGTATCGGATTGGTTTCTTACGGGTTTGGTCCATCATACTTGAATATTGAATGCGATCAGTCGCTGAATGAGGACATTCTTTGAAAAGCGTACTCACTGGTTCCATTTACCTGTGGCAGAAATCAGAATGCGAACGATTTGACAAGCATAGAGGGCTACTTGCCATCGAGCAGCGAGTGGTACTGCACTTCAATGTCATAGTCTTTCTCGAAGAATTCCTCGACGCTATCAGCAAGCTGGTTGGTGCTGTACTGCGAACGTCCGAAGTTTCAGGACAGCCATCAACGCGTCAAAAAAGTAAGTCATCATACCCTAGCTTGTGATGCATGCAGATTATTTTTTCCTGCGTTAATTAACTGAGAAGAAATATTAAGCAGAAAGATACCGGAGAAGAGTACACAGAAAAGACGTACGAGTTTAGCGACGTTGTTGCTTGCAATTATAGGGTGGTGCACAAGCTGGAAGAAGGCGGGCTTCATCGCGGACGAAAGGCTGTTATAAATACTCGTCGACGCAGCCTCTAACCTCGCCCAGTCTGCAAGAACGTTCTCTGCTCTGTAGTTGTACCCCACAACAAATACATCAGCATCCACCCAATTCCACACGTATCCATCGGGAAAAACCACTCACTCCCGATAATTAACCAAACTATACGTCGTCGAATTCAACGACTCGTGCTTCCTCCTCGCGTTGAACCTTGTCAAGTTCGCCACGAGGCCCGTCACCACCTCTGCCCTTTCCGGGGTCAAGTCAAACTCTCGCGCGGCCCACTGCGTGACGAAGCTGTTGATGTTGGCGTGCGTCCAACGAGTGGCGTTCCAGCCGTACGAGAGGAAGAACTCGGTTTTGCGCTCGTACGGCTTGAAGTCGCCGACGTTGACGATCCAGAGACGGTCGGCTTTGCGCTCGATCGCAATTGACATTTGCTGGTACACCTATAGACGACGGCAAAATATTTACGTGAGGCGCGGGAAGAAGAGAGGGGAGAGACCTTCTCGAGCTGCGTGGTCGTTATCCACTTGTAGTTACGCGGATCGCCGACGTAGTCGAACTAACGTATATGTTAGCAAGAGGTTGACACGACTCAGGACAGTTTAAAAGACCCCTACTTACATGATAGTAGATCCCCGCTCCTCCTGATCGGTCGCGTTCATCAGGGGTGGGGAATCGGCGAATGTTGCCCCAGCTGCATACGTTTCATAATACTCAGCGATCGATTTAGTTTGAATGAACACCACAAACGCTCACTTGTCGTCCGCCCAAAGCAGAGTGATGTAATCAGGAACCCGCATGCCCCCGTCATAATAGCCCTCCACTTCTTTATCTGGAGAGCATCAAATCAATCAATAGGAAAGGCACAGAGAGAAACAGGGGAAGGATGACTTACAGAGCGTCCAAACCTGCGGGATCGCCGAAACGTCTTGGACACCATACATACCCTGCAAGATCTGCGTCTGGTTCGCAATAACGCTCTCGAGGAGCATGATGTTCGTTTCTTCCGAAAGAGGCACTAATTACCAAATCAAGACACATGTCCGAGTCAGCCCTTCCATCCCGAACCAGCACGACGCGACATGCCAGAAAGAGGCAGAAAGGGTTACTCACGATCTCCGAAACCTCTCATACCCATCGTATAGATTGACTCGAACGGCTTCGCCCTCTCCGCACCCTCGAGCCAGTATTGGTTGATGTTGGCCGTGTTCGTCGTGTAGTCCCATTTGCCCCTGCTTGAGTTGAATTCGTTGGGCGTTGAGCGCATAAATGGCTCCTGGTGGCTAGAACGCAGTGAAATAAAATATGAAATTAATCGGAGATGGACGTGGATAGGGCACGAATTTACCTGGTGCCCATCACGACGCCGTACCGGTCCGCGAGGAACTGGTTGAGCGGATCATCAACACAGAACGCGCTGCCCCACATAGCTATAGAACCGTGGAATTAATCAAATTAGGTCGAAACATGAATAAGGTCTCGACTTACCGGGCCAGAGGTAGTTTCCCTTCAATCTGAGGATAAGCTCGAACCTAGAATATATGTCGTTCAGATGTTCATACTCGTGTCCTCGTATGAGAGAAACGACATTACGTACATCTTGACGTAGAAATACCGATTGAACGGGCTATTCAAGAACGGAGACCCGGTGCCATTCGTGAACTTCTCCATGGCCCAGTTCTGGAGGGCAGGCTGCTCGTCATTCAGGAAGATGCCGCGGTACTTGACGGAGGGTTCGCCGTGCGAGCATCCAGAAGGTATGAGGAATATGTTTTGCCGGGTCGTGGTTGGGACGTCTGCCCACCTGAAGAAGAGAAGCGGAGAACGCGGAAAGGTGAAGGATAGAGGAGGTCAGGGGAACGTCCGGGCCGCTTGGGGATAAAGATAGAGGAGAATGGACGGTGTGCTGACGTACCAGTACCAAGGGGAGACGCCTAATTAAACGCGAGAAGAGGATGTGGTCAGTGGTATGTTTAGCGGAAAATAAGAATAGCACGACGTAGCAGAAATAACATGACATTGGAAGTGAAGGCTCCAGGCCACAAGACGCGAAAGAGAGAAGAGAAGTCCGAAGGAATGTGTGACTCACCAAATTGTTCTGAATGGTCGTATAGCGCATAGATAGTCCCTCGTTTGTCCGCTCCAATGATGACATACGCGCTGGCGACGCCAGGCAGCGGGTTCTGCACAACCTTTGCCGTGAAGGCCTCCCACTTCCCTTCAATCGACGATACGTCCAGCTGCGTGTTGTTCACGACCTGGCTGATCAATGACGACTTCCCGAGCGTGCCAACGATGATCGGAGGTGTCGAGGGTCTGGCTGAGGCAGTATAGTTGGTCAGACTGGGTCTGACGGATGTGACACGCTGGATGTCGGCAGCGAAGTCGTTTGCCGCGAGCTGGACGCCTGGCCATTCGTCTTCAGCGATGAGGATTGGAGCAACCCGTCGGCTGTTCACGACGGCGAACGCGCCCCTAGAGGCGGTGAATGTGACGCATGTATCTTGTCCGATGGCTTGTACGCCATGAAGAAGAGCAAGTGTGCCCAAGAGGCAGACCAGGATGCGTCCCATGGTGAGTTGTAACGCAGGCGCGACGACGAACCGGGAGAAAGGGCGGTCAAGTGGGTGTTCGATGAAGCCCACGCATTATATGCATCCATGGGAAAGGCTTGCGACAGGTCGAGCGAAAGGCTCAGCAAAAAAATAGCCAGCGAACGAGTGCGACATGCAGCAGCAGGGAGCCTCGTGATGCGCTGAGAGGGCCCGGGCCGGAGTATCCTCGGGACGAAGCCTCGCTGCCGGCAACAGTGCGGAGCGATCCCTTACAAGAACAACGGTGATACCAGCACTTCTCCCGAGTCTATGGTCGTGCCGTGAGTCTTCTGAGCCAAAATGTGCTTTCCCAACGCAGGCGAAGATACCACCATCGAAGGCTCGAACGATTTGCGGTATTCTCGTTGAAAAATGCACGTCTTCTTCAAGTACCTCGGATCTGGACGTTATGGTTTTTCCTACTAGCCCCGGAATGACAGAGAGAGGCGGCCATCAAATCAGAAAGACAGAGAAGCGCGGGTGCGGGGAAAACAATTGAAATTCTTGGTCGACGCGTGGCTGATGACTGTTGAGTTGAACCGGGGAAACGCGCAGCCTATATTGCGGGGAAGACGAAAGAGGATTTAGAGATTAACGTTGAAGAAGAGCGATCCGACGCCCAACGGTCTGCTATGCCGCCCGGAAAGAAGCAAAAAGACGGAGCTCGACGAATGAGAAGGGAAACCAGAAAACTTTAGGAGAGGCGACTCGTCGGAGCTCGTCGGAGCTGTCTTGCTTGGATGGGAAGTTATCACCAAATACAGACGCCACCCGGGCCGGTGACCTCCTAGCATCTCTGGCGATGAACTTGCTTTCCTCCCTGCCACTCTCTCCGCCCTTAAGTCCTTCGAGCTGAGCTATCGGGGTCTACTCCTAGTATTAGTAAGCATCACGTACCCTCCATCCGTTTCTGTTCAGCTCTCCCTTAGGCCATTAAATTCTCTGAAGTGAGGAGACGAAGAGCCATCAGATCGCCTAAAGGTACGGTGAACTCAGGGTTGCATATCCATATCCCTCCACTACTTACAGTATAGGCATAATGGATATGGCTACATCCCAATCTGACATCCCAAACAGACTGAGAGTGTCTCCCGGAATAGTCCATAATAACGGCGCCAATAGGCAACTAATAAGGCAGGCTTCTTACTTCCTACACTAAGGTACGATGGTGATCCGCCTGGGTCACCCCATCCCTTCGGGCATCTGCCTTTCTTCCCGGACCCACCTGCGCTCATTTTCTCTGGTTTGAACTTCTAAAAGGCACATATTCTGCCGAAATGGGCCACAGGCACTTCTATTCTCCTCGCGTGCCCTCCTTTTTTTTGATTTTCCGACAGTATTATACCAGGTACAAGGACAGAAGGACTTCTCTTGCCAAAAAAGCGCTCATCCTCTCTGTCGTCGAGGAGATGCGGCCCAAATTTGGTGTCCTCACGATTATGTTCGCTGTTGTTAAGGACATCAAGACCGACTATTCTGGTATGTTCCAACGCACCATTTTCGAGAGGCTCTGAACATATTTTCACGGGTAATTCGTACCTTAAGTGGGTCGAGAAATATGGCCCCGGTTTCCTGCTCAGACTCACTTCTGACAGTGGGGTACATTCGGGGATGTACGTCTACGAGCCATCGCTCGACTATAATTTTAGACCCGGTCATGGCAAGGTTTGGCTCCGGCAACAGCAGGCTTGTGGGCACAAATGGACCCATTGAAGCTCGCCAGCGAAGTCGACGGTTTCTAATCCCAAGCATGTTCACTTGAACCCAGCCGAATGTAAGCGGCTGATCCTGTGAGGCTCGGTTTTGTGCGCCACCTTGTAACGTTACTCCCGCTACTTAGATGTAGAGTGCACCATCTTCGAAACAAATTTCAATAACAAAGTTTGATACCAGGCAAAGAACTTCTAGAAAGCCGCCTGGAAGGAAAAGATGAGGATGTTTCCTAGATATTCATTTAGACTCTCTAACAGTAGTATAAGGGGGAATACGACTTACACTGTGCAGAAGGAGGCTACTTTGCCGTTAGGTCGAGAAATAGGGGCTTCACTCCCAAATTGGTGCATTCCGTCCCTTTCTCGGCCGCCGGTAAATGTAATAGATCGAGGTTTGTTTATAAACCAGCCGTTCTACCTTACACCGTGTTGCACCTTCATCGTCTCTCCCATATTCACGCGACCTATCTTTGAAGCAAGCCCAAGGAGAACACTCTTGTTACCGCATCTCCAGCCATGTTTAGGACTAGGCCCTGCTTGAGGTTCTCGGCTACGAGGATTCGCAGCCAGCGACACACCTCTTCAGTTAGCGTCTGTCCCATCTTCGACACGAATCCTTAGCTGATCGTAGCTGACCTGCGCCTCCATAGGCTCTGTATCCCGCTTTCAAGGATCCTCCTCCCTCATTCCGCCTGCTACACAGAACGCTGGGACCAGGCGCATCCAATGCCCCGCCAATACGTGCCAACTTGACCACCTTAGCTCGAGAACCCCCGACTGTAAACGAAGCTCTCGAAGAAGCTAAAGAGGCACTGCTACAAAGGGGCCTTGATTCGCAGTCATTCTGGGAGCAGCGCATTGTTTGGGGTGATCAGGATCCCTTCCAGTGAGTCCCGCACTGTTTCCTCGAGCCTGTCCTGGTCTTCACGCATTTCATGGTCGCGAATCGCAGACACGTAAACAACGTGCGCTATAGTGAGTGAGTCTGGTTACCTCAACCCCAAATCCCATGCTAATCTGAGCTTTTTCGTACTGGAAGTCCGATTCTTTGAGTCAGTGAGTCGTCGCCGAGCGCCATACCTGCTCACCCCGGTTGTAACTAAGCACACCGTATTCCTCGCAGGCTCGTGTCAAATGGATGCTGTCGCTTGGAGAGGAGCTCGGTGGACCAAGTCGAGCGGCAGCGATGATTAAAGCGCAGGGATTTTGCTGATCTTGAAGACCATCGAAGTCCAATTTAGACGTCCGGTGACTTTTCCGGACACGGTACGTTCATAAATTTCTCCAGAAATATCTCCCTTCATGCTTATAGTCGGATTATATGATTCTGTAGCTCTTGATCGGATACCGCCCCGTACCTCCTGCTAGCGATCATACCGATCTCGCGACGTTCCATGCGGCAGCATCGGCATATTCACTCTTGCAAAAAGCATTCATCGCCCATACGAAAGAGGCTTTGGTGTGGTATGACTATGATACCCTCAAGAAATGCCACCCGGGAGAGAGAGCGCTGGAGGTCCTGTGGGGTCGCGTTAGGAAAGAGTAGCATTGTGCAGTTCGAGAGGTATGCGTACCCAACACGCTTTGCTCCATGCGATAGCTCAGGACGTGGACTTGGATCAGAAGAACTTGGATCAGAAGACCACCTTTGGAGCCGGCAAATTTGTTGCTGGCTAGGGCTTCGAACATACATTTCTCGAAAATATGGACATTGAGGTCATATGTAAGAGTTCTGAGAGATAATACTGTTGCGCGGTAGCTTTGTCTGGCATATCATTTTACGAATCCTCATCTACTCCTCCTTAGAGTCGAACAATACCATGTTCTCCCTCAAAGCCCACGTCGGCTTGGGAGGGTTTCCCGAACCAGGGAGCTTCACGCGAATGACAGACTGCAAGTCCAAGCACTTATCCTCTGGATCCACCGCACTGACGGGACGCTGTTCACGAAGCAACCTTTGTCATTGCTTCATCACCAACGTCAGAAGGACCAAACTTACCGTCACGTACACAGCGGTGCTGATACTTTCGCCATGCTGGAGGATATTTGAATGCCGATCCTCACACTATTTAAAGGGGGAGGAGCTCACCATCTCGTAACGACCGGGGAGTCCCAAATCAGGCCTCAAGCCCCGAAGCAACGAGCCGGGTGGGGTATTGTAGACAAAGCCGCCGAAGTATGTCGAGAGGAACTGGTACTGGGGAAGGTCAACGAAGGGCTGGTCGGTCATCCCTTCGCCAGGGTGCGCGCCAGTGAGAGCAGGGTTGCGACCGGCCTTGTACGGAAGAGTGGGCTTGACGAGAAGTGCCTTGCTGCTGTCGGCGCTCTGTCCGATCCAGAACCACCCAGAGGGAATCGGGTCCTTGGGCCGGTAGATGGAGATTGGCAACTGCGAGGTTCCGTCAACTCTCTCAATGCCGACCCACCTACCAAGAAACTTTCAGTACAGAGAATGCAACAAGCGGGGGGGCGAACGCGTACTTTCCAAGGAGCGGCCTGAGTAGTTGCTTGACCTCGAGCCTGACCTCGTCTGGAAGTATGTCCACCACCGGAACGACCTCGGTGACTTCGATGGCTCTCCAGAACTCAGACTTGTCAGTGGAGGCGATCCATTCAGCGGTGTTCTGGATCTTCGTGTAGTCTCCGCCCTGGCAATATAATGAGGCTGTTAATTCAACATTAAAAGAAAGGGCGCACGTTAACAATGTACTTCGTCTCGAGCTTGCGATTCTGCGCCGTAGTAATGGTCGAGCTGGTATTTCCATGGCCAGCAGTAACACCAGCACCCCAATCCTTGACTGCAACTTCAAGCCCGGCCTTGACATCTTGCTTCACTTCGGTCTCATTCTCCTACAGAACGAAATAAAAGTGGGTGAAGCAACAATAGGTCAAACACATACGGTCCTCTTGAATGTCTCCTGGGTGTGAGCAGAGAGAACCCCCCCAATCTTGGTCTTGGTTCTGAAGACATGGCCGTACTCTTCGAAGACGTTGTGAAGCGCCTCCCTCCTGTCAGTCAAACTGGACTTCCCGAGGGCGCTCTGGATGGCGTTCGTGAATCCAGAACTGAGCTTCACGACGTCGTCAAAGCCCGATCCGGGAGCGCTGAAGTCGATGCGACCTTGAGGGAAGAGATAACGAGAGGACACATACATCGACTTCTCGGTCTCGTCGTTCTTCCAAGTCGAGCTCTCGGAGTACTCGGCGGTGGCCGTAACACTAAGGCATAACATGCATAACATGTTAAGACAGTTGTATATAGGAAGGACAACTAGACGTACTAGGGGGCTGATGCCTTGACAGAAACCGAGTTGTAGTTAGATTCCATGAGCTTCTGGGTAAACTCGACCTCAACAGTGGTCGTCTCGATGGTAGCTACATTGTTGATGACAGCACGGAGCGTGCTGGGGCGCTCTATGAGCTCCCTGGAGCTAAAAATGGGGCCATCACGGGTCATTATGATGGCTTTGAGTAAATTGTTGTCATCAATCTGATGAAGGGCATAAGGCATAAGGGACATGAAAAACAACACGACGGAAAGCAGGCCTACTAGCTTGTTGCGTCTGACAGGGTCAGCGATGACGTCGTTGAGAGTGTCTCCGCTCTGACGCTCGCTACTGGCCACCGCCCTCTTGGTGCGGAGGGTGGCCCGGGGCAAGTCCTATGGCAAGTGGTCAACATGGCACACCACTGGAGGGGAGAAGACGACGAACGACAGTAATAGAGCTGTCTTGGAAGCGAGCCTTAGCGACGGCACGCGCCTGCTCGTCTGTGAGAGTGGATTGCATAGCTGAGATGGCGTCGAGAGTCAAATGAAGTTGTAAGTTGGGTGGTTGGATAGCTCAAGCCCAGATATTCGAGAGGGTTAAAAGGTCCCAAGTAAGTTCGAAACGCCTACTCCAATTCGCAAGTGGGCAGACGTCGCTTCGACCAGAGCCTTTCAAAAAGCGTTAATCCCCACTAGTGCCGGGAGTCACCCACCAGTCGCCACCAGCTAGGGGTTGCATCTGTCCACCGTCTCTTCTGGAAAGTTCGATTCAAAGGGCTTTCTTCGAACGCCTCCAAGCTGGACGTCAAGAAGTTGTGCAGGAGACCTTGTGACTGTAGGCTGCGCCGGAAACAGAGTTATCTTCGACGACAGTGAGGTGCTTGCGCGATCCGTATTTGCACTTGGGTTGCGCCACAGGTTGCTGCATACCTCAAATAGGCTCTCGTCGCTACGGACACAACCCCATAAGGACTCCGGCATTTCGCGGTCCGGCCAATCCTGATCCCTGTTGACAACGATATGCCACACTGACCTATGGAGGAAGACGTACTAGAGTCGCAATGCGTTCAAATCGCCAGCTTCGATAGAATGATCATCGGCGCCAGGTGGTAGTCAAGCATTGAAGCTGTTAATTCCAGACCTTCCTTAGCAGTGCTGATCGAAAGGTTGAACAAGGCTTACATGTGACGAGGGCTTTCAATTGAGCGACTTTGAGGGTTCTCGCCTGCATGAAGGGACGAAGAGAAGCTCAGACGCCACGGAAAAGTCGAGCAAGAACGTTGAATTCGGTTCAACGCATCGGTAGACCAAGTAGCTTGTCTCCGCCGTTGGCAGCAGGAATAGAGGGTACAGATAGTTCTGTAACGTCGTAGCTTCTTCCCTCCGCTTGTTGGGACCAATTTACGAGGTTTCGTATAGGGTCGAGGCTGGAGCAAAGTCTGATTCAGCAAATTGGTATTAAATGTTATTGACAGTCTGAATAGAAGTGCATCGGACTCACCTTGTGTGCGTCGAGAAGGAACTTCAAGTACGAGGTGATCGGTAATACGTACCCTTTGTCATTTCGTATGCAGGTGTAGTGCGTCGCTTGGTCGAACGGAACTTGGCAACTTTCTCGTGTATTCACAGGGAGCCGAATAGAAAGACATGAAAAAAGACCACATCGGCCGAAAAGGGGACCACAGGACGAAGTATAAATAACCCTCTGGAGAACGAAATCTTCATCCCAAAGCACTCACCTAAACGCACCACCAACAACCAACCGCTCGAACGCCATGGCTTACGCTCAATGGGTTATCATCATCATCCACAACGTCGGTGCGAAGCCTCTCAAGCTCAAGAACCTGAAGCCGTCCTGGGGAAAGCTTCACGCCGACGGTAAGCCGCTTCCGCTAGCCACGAAAGCTGTTTAGTACTTACTATCAACCGTTCTCCGTCCTCTTATCGACGGCAGGTGACAAAGATACAGAAGTCTCCGCCAGCGCCTACGAGGGCAAGGTCATCGGGCCTGACGAGAAGCTCCAGCTCAACGCGTGCGGCCGTTCGGATGCGGCCGAAGGCACCACGGGTACCTTTGACCTCGTCGACCCCAGCGAGGACGACAAGGGTATTCGCCACTTCTACTGGGACTGCCCATGGGGCAGCAAGACGAACACCTGGACCGTCAGCGGGTCGAACACCAAGTGGATGATTGAGTACAGCGGCCAGAACTTGGACAGCGGCGCTCTCGGTACCATCACTGTTGACGCTTTGCGCAAGGGTGTTTAAGTGGTGAGTGTCTCACGCGTTCGTTGGAAGGTCTTGCTAATAGAACGTTGAAAAGAACCAAGGAGTTGCTTGGTACAAATGCGGAGAAATTTAGTAGCGAATATGAAACGAAAATGGGTAACGCACTCTCTTACTTTCTTCTTCCGAATCGTTTCCGTACTGTGGTAGTCGTATTACTTTGCAATGTATTCTTGTTGTAGGATGTTTTTTTTCTACCGTTGAGGCTCATGCTGGTCAGGAAAAAATTGGGCCGTTGATCTACGGCGCATCCAGAAGGCTGTCCTGAACGATTGTTGGATTGTAGGTATTCTGCGTATTTGGAGTATACTTATGATAAAATCTGACGGGATGCGAAGAAGACCGCAACGGCGGATGTATTCGACCAAAAGAGCGTTCATGATAGACTCCTCTTTGCTGGAACATACCATCGTTTATGGACTGGCCAATGCTACAGAAAAACAAATAGCAAGCGATGCAACAATGAACGTGTCGCGAGACACACACACCTGCTTCTGACACGTCTTATCGCAATAAAGCGGTTTCATCTCCTTAGCACACTTCCCGGACACACCGACTGAGCTCGCTCTTCGATGTCGCCTTTGCGCCACAAGAAGCTCACGTCCTCGCAAATCCAGGCATCTGGTACCCTGTCTCCTTTCTGAACTCTTCATACGCCTTTCCCAACGACGGGTAAGTTTATATTCCTGCTCTCGTTCGCTATCGCGCCTGGCAGTCGTCGACACAAGTGAGAGGGAGCCGCGAGAGAAGAGACCGACCGGACATGCAACGTTTGCTAGAGAGAAAACTTGCGCCACCTCGTAGGTGGGTGGTGCAGCTTCGTCGCCTGTGAGATGGAGAGCGGCCACGTAGAAAGCCGCGAGATTTGCGTCTATCGCACGCGTTCGTGCAGGGTATTGCTCGAGGCCGTTAGTGATATCTCAGAAGATGGCGAAGGCTGCGCCAAGATTCAGCGTGACGCCAATACCTGTTTCCAGATTGTCGTGTGTATAAATGAAAATGACACGTAAAGAATGAGCGAGTGCGACAGAAAAAGAGCATTGACGCGTGGACACACCGAACACCATATCCTCGACCTCCTTCCTCTCTGCACCTGCTTTTATGAGATCGATAAGCCTGCTTATGCATTTCCTCAATGTCGGTCTCAAATCCATTCAGGAGCACGTTTCCCGGCTGGAGGATGTACGAAGAGGTGGCAGAGACGAAGCAGGTGTCATACATCGCGGTGTAGTGGACTTTGTGCATTTGCATTAGTTGATTGATGGTGGCGGCCATTTCTTCCAAGATTATGAAGTGTAGAGAAAAAGAGAAAAGGGGAAAAAAGCGAAGGAAATAGAGGCTAGTGGAAGAAAAGAGTTAAAGCCAGACACGAGGCTCAGGTGCCAGGGCCTGCGAAAATAGGGGACTTTCCTAAAGGGAAACAGATTTCAAATTCCGCCGTTGCCGCGTCCCCGGGCCGGGCACCTCCCACTCTCTTGTTCAGCTTTAGTATCCCAAGCAGGCGAGTTCGTTCGAATATGATGCAAATACAACGTGGATCCACCATAACAAAAGATTAATACACCTTCAATTTATCCCCCGAACTTACGTTGATCTGTCAAACGGCCTATCAACGCGTTTCCCTCCGCACCCAATTCCCACCTCTGTCACGGGCGCTTGATTCCCATCTTGTCCTTCCCCACCATGCACCTTTGGCTCCCTGCTCTGTTTCTCTTCCTCTGGGTGACATTGACACTCTCACTCGACGTCTCGCTCTCCCCTGAGCCGTTCCTCTCCTCTCAGATCGACGGTCTGCTACAGTCAGAGCTAGAGAATAGGCAGACCAAAGTGTGCTCGGATCCAGGAGGAAGTGAGTCGAATTCCAACTCTTTGCGCTTGCTGAGATGTTTATTCCTCACAGCATTCTGCGACGCAACCAGGTGCTGTGCGACGGATCAAATCTGTGTAAGCTGACGTTCGACTGACGACGTCGACGATCTGGGAGCTCATTGTCTTGTTCCAGTGCTCGACAGGATGCTGTCCGTCGACTAGTCTGGTGCGATTTACCCTACTATACATGGAGTCGCTACTCATTCTACACCTTCGATAGTGTTTTGGAGCAAGGTGTGTCCGCTGTGAGAACTACTTGTATCTGATGACTGAATGGGAAATTTGGTATGTAGATGCTGTCCCGCTGGCTCCAGAATTTGCGTAAGCTCCCTTCAACGCGTCTTCAACATTCCCATGATTTGACAAATATATGCCGTAGGACGGCGCCACAGCATGTTGCCCTCTCGATCTCACCTGTTGTGGAAACGGCTGTCAGTGAGAACTTGTTCATTGGCCCATCGACCTCACGCGTTTGTTCAACTTTAGGCTGTGCCTTTTCGGGAACCGACAAGATACACACACCATTTGTTTACGAATCAAGTACACTGACGTTCCTTATCTTGGTACTAGTCTGGCAGTAGATGTGAGAGCTATCAGGCAGGAGTCATGATAAATCCTCCAAAATACAATGGCCATCCAAGATTAAAACGTCATTTGCAATATAATTTGACGTACAACGGAGCACCTTTTGGCATTGGAAACTCTGCCAACGTACCGGGGAACTCACTCTCGAGCTTCGACGTTCAACGTTCAACCTCGAGCGCTCTCCCCGGTCGTCTCGGCCGTCATTTTAAACCTGAGGGCATTTATCCATGAAGTGAGAGACAGAATAGATCATCGCCAGTTACACCAAATTATGTCTAACTGTTGTCTTCAGTCGAGAATCCGACGTCCATGATCGCTCGAAGGTGATCACTATACGTAATAGTCATCCACAGGAACCTGGATATATTTATTGCGGTGTCTCTCTTTAACGGGTGAGAAATACGTACCCGAACCCAATCCAGCTCAACGTGGCAGCAATGCTGTTCGTAACTGCAACACCGTGCTTATCCACCATTGGTAGAATGAACGCTATCGCAATGGACATTATGATGGAGCGGAAGCCACTGATGAATCGTGAGCATAGCCATGAACGAGGCAAAGCGTGACAAAAAAAGCTCACTTGTTCGCAGCCATCGCTTCAGCACTTCTGGAATGCATCACGTCTACGACGTAGGCCGCTGAAGGGCTGAGGACGAAGTCGACCTAAAAGGCGTTGAGCTGACCATCTTGAGAGGTTGAAGAGGGATACAAAAGCGTACCCCGATCCCGTTCATGAACAAACAGATCAAGTTCAACATCAGGCCAACCCTCCCATGAATGTACTCCGTCAACAGTCCAGAAAATAAAACGGACAGAGGGACGAGGAAAAGCGCGCCGAGGATTGTGGCGCGCAGGCGGTCTTCGGGGTACCAGACGCCGCCACGCGCTTTCTGGTATCGTATGACAAGTTGATCGGACGTGCGACCGGCAAGTGGCGCACCGACTATTTAAGGCAGGCGATCAGAGCTATCTCCGCGAGAGGAGTAATCGGGGGTCTTACTCATATTTCCGAGACCGGCGGGGAGGAAACAGGCGCCAATCAAAGCTTCGTTCGTTATGCCATAGCGGGCTCCCTGGTAAAAATGATCAAGCAAATATATTGATGGGCATTATAATTTGACGTACGATAGTGTAAGCCAACGGTGTCAAGAGCACTAAGAACTTTGGGTGAGTATCTTCCTTCGTTTTAACTGAAGAACTCTGTCATACAGACCGTAATCAGTAAAAAGCGTCGTAAACCCGGCAATAGTCTGGGAAGGTTGTTGATGTCATTCCTTCACGCGGAAATCAGGAAGAATACGCACAACAGCCAGAAGGTTCGGACTTCTCAGCAGCCATAGTGGTTGCAGGGGATTGATTAAGATAGGTCTCCAGCTTGGAAGGGAAGCTGAGCCGGCCTTCTCCACGCCCCGTTCGCCGGGGTGATAAGTCTCTGGGAAGAAAAGAAGGATGCAGAAGAACATGACCAAGCTCACGACGCCGAGACCAAGTTGCATTAGACGCCAGGAGAAGTAGTGTGCCGCAAGACCTGTGTACAGATAATTAAGCTAAATTTATCCTTTAGTTGGAAGGCAGGAGCGAACCTCCAGCCAATGGAGCAAGCGCAGGACCAAGCAGGGTAGCCTATCGATTTTTTAACGAGCGCATATGATACATAAAGCCCCTGAGTGTACCAAGAAAAAAATCCCCATAGCCTGTCCGCGCTCCTCCAACTTGTAGATATCTCCAATCACACCCAAGCCTACAGCCAGCCCAGGAGACGCGCCTATGGCTTGCAGAAACCGCCACACCATCAGCTGGGGTATTGTTTGGGCAGAGGCAACTCCCAACGAGCCAAGAAAGAGGAGAGGTGTTGCTGTAAGGTATACAGGCTTTCTGCCATCTTTAGGGAAGAGAAGAGATAAAGCTTTTGAACCTGGGTTTTGATTGAACAAGGGGCTTACAAAAGGAAGAATATGAGGCGCCGAGGAGAGCGCCTAACGAGGCGGCAAATACCAAGAGGCTTACAGCGAGACTGGAGCGAAAATGGTAATTTTCTAGTTTTTGCTTAAGGACTGGCGATGGATCCTACCTGATGACTGCACCTGTTGAGTTGAGATCCTTGGCTATTTGAGGAATCGAAGGAACGAAAGTTCCTGAATCGAAGGCTTGACAACAGTTAGTAGGACAACTACTTAAATATAGAAAGTATATGGTGCCGACTTACGAGTTAGAAGACCAGTCAGCGAGGCAATGGCCACGATCACCCTCTTCTTCGCTGGACTGAACCTCTTGTAGACCTCCTCGTGCTTCGCCGGTCGTAGCAAGGGCACTTGCTCAGAGTTGGTAGTCATAATGGGGAAGGAAGAAGACACTTGAGTTTCAACCAGAAAAGTTTCGAAGTGGTGTCATTTCGACAACCCTGAGTCGTGCAGATGTTTTGATGCCGTAAATAATGATCAGATGTTCGATTTACTCGTTATGTGAGTAGTGCCCACGGCTCCTGACGCCTAGGTAATCATTGAAGATGTACTAAGCTGCGTTTGGATCTAGATAATGCTTCAGTTTTCGAGAAACCTGTGCTTCGAGCACAGGGGGCGTTTAATGAAAGATCGCCCCAGCAAGTTGCAAAGGCAGGCTCTGATACGCGGTCCGAATCGTTCGGGCCCTCCTGTCTCTATATGCTTGAGGTATACATACACTGCATTTCCACCATTACAGCACGCGCTCTCGGGGTTTTCCCCGATGAATATATCGCAAGATGTGTTTCTACCCCCTGCAGTCTTTGAATCAACCCGGCTTTTCAAAGTACTGATCCAGCATGTATAAATTCTACTGATCCAACCTGGGTTTTAGATATTAAAACTACTGATTCAACCATTTTGATACTACTGAATCAACCTGGGATAATTGTCCTGATCTAACCTGGATTTAAGAAGTTCTGATCCAACCCCCAGATTAAACTACAATTTCAGCATTTCTTATGTACTGATCCAACCCAGATTTTTGGTTTATAAAACTACTGATCCAACCTGGATTTTTGGTATATGAAACTACTGATCCAACCTGGACTTTGGGTTATGAAAGTGCTGATCCAACCTGGATTTTTGGGTTATGAAACTGCTGATCCAACCTGGATTCTTGATTTATGAAAGTACTGATCCAACCTGGATTCTTGATTTATGAAAGTACTGATCCAACCTGGATTCTTGATTTATGAAAGTACTGATCCAACCTGGACTTTGGGTTGTGAAACTACTGATCCAACCTGGATTTTGGGTTATGAAAGTACTGATCCAACCCAGGTTTTTTAATTACTATATTTAGAACAGACCTATTGATTGGCTGATCAGATTAGATGGGCCAGGACATCTCTCCCATTTACTACCACCATCTTCTTCTATACTGCACACAACATCCTGCTATGCCTCCAAAAGCTTCATCTCTGTGCTATGCTACTGTAACTGAAGAGAAAGATGGTTCTCTTTCTTGCACCTGTTCTCCATTTGATCAGACAGGAAAGGCCTGCTATCACATCTTGGCAGTCAGACTGCAGATTGATCATGGATCAGTAAAGGACTATATTGGTCTGCTATATTCTTTTTATTTCTCTATTAATGTGACTTATGATCCTTTAGAGCTTGAAACTAGTCAGAAACTTCGTGGACCAGCTGCAAAGGGCCAGACACGAAATCCTATCAAGGAAAAGACAGGCCGGCGTCATCAAGCTGCTTCTGATGCAACAGTTACTAGAGATCTGGAGAAGATCTTTTTGCGTTTGAAGGAGGAAGAGGAGGACTCTGATTCTAAGTCTTTGGCTGAAAGTCCAATTTCTGATATCAAAACCAAACAGGCCAATAAAGCTCTGGTGTCTCAGCATCCTCAAACTCCTCAAAAAGGTGTGTTTATTACTTGTTTCAAAATCAATGCTTTACTTATGCAATTTTAGGCCGAGGTGTAACAGCAGGCAGACATCCTGCTGTCACACCACTTCATCCAAATCGCACACCTGTTAAGTTCAGTCAGAAAACAGGACCTAAGCCCAAGCCACACAATTCTCTTCTGCCCTCTCTTCCAAACTCTCCCATCAAGCCAGTCAACTTTTCCCCCAAAAAATTACGAATCAGAGAATTTCTTCCAACAGCTAATGAAGTACATGCTAAGCTAAGATACCTTTTTATAACTTACTATTTAATTAGGAGGCAGATCTTCTTGATGAGCAGAAGCTTAGTGATCTAGACTTCAGTCGGTGGAACAATTCCACATATATGCTCCGCCAGGATGAAATCTCTCTTTTTGTGGACTTGCTCAACTCAATCAATACTGGAATCTTGGGGTCAACATTGGTTATTCCTGATACATATGCCTTTCCTGCACAACAACTTGCTAAACTTGACTGGACTCTGACTGACTCTATCCCTGTTGGGCTTTCTGGTGATGTATACACTTTTTATTCATTTTTTTAAATGTTACTGAATGTCAAATATCCAGAATATAATTGCGGAGGACTCTCTGATTGGCTGCTCTTGGACAATGAGTCGGTCTATCAATCTTCAACATTGTCTGATTTTCAACCACTACAACAACCACTGGCTGGTGTTTAAGAAAACCTATCATGATCTGCAAGATAGTCTTTCTTGCTATGAGCCATTCAAATCTCATGGACGCCGATTTGATATTGGTGATCTTGCTTTCTTTGCCCAATTTTTTAATCCACGATGGTGATCATATGGTACGACTTAT